AGCTCGGCGGCACAGCCGCCGCTCAAGCGGCTTGCCCGTTACACCTTGGACGAGCTGGCTTCGCCTACAATAGTTCGACGGCCTGGGATTACTTCCATATTAATTCCGTGACAAAGGGCCCGGATAGCCATTATCTGCTATCTGCCAGACATACATCTACCATCTATAAGATCAACAGTTCTGATGGCTCGATTATTTGGCGCCTTGGTGGTGAATATTCGGACTTTGAGCTGGGGCCAAATGTGACGTTTGGATTCCAACATCATGCAAGATATTTGCCTTCAAGTGAGTCTGGCGTGGACGTGATTTCTTTGTTCGACAACTCCGTCTATGGTTCAGAAGTAGCGGGAGGTGGTGATCTGGAAGTTCACCTATATCCGTACTCCCGCGGCAAGTACATCAGACTCGATCATGCTTCCAAGAAAGCCACCCTTGAGCTCGCATTCTTGCCACCACAAGAACCTATTCTGGCCAAATCTCAGGGTTCACTTCAAACGCTGCCCAATGGAAATGCTCTCATAAACTGGGGATCTGAAGGTCAGGTTACGGAATTCAGTTCTGATGCTGCTCCAGTTTTTCATGCATTTCTTGACAGCGGCACTCTACAAGATAAACTTCAGAACTACCGTGCATTTCGATACAACTGGACAGGCATATCTCCAGAGATACCTGCCCTAGTCGCTGAGCAGTCTACTGATGGAATCGATGCATACGTCAGCTGGAACGGCGATACTCGCACAAAGGTCTGGCGATTTATTTGGAACGAGATTACTGCCGAAGGTAGATTCACGAAGAGCAAGGATATCAGACGAACGGGGTTTGAAACTCGACTCAGGATCACTGCCAGTCTTGGCGAAGTTGGCAATATTTATGCCGAAGCTATCAATGCTGCTGGAAATGTTCTTGCCGCTTCTGATGGTGTTGGAGCCGCAAAGGCGTATTGGAAAACGCCCAGCGCCCATAAACAGCACATTCTGAATCAACAAGAGTTGTGACCCGTGCAACGCCCTGGTTGTACATTAATTGAATAGTACCAGACAGCCAATAGCAATACTGGGGTCGCCAGAAGTTTGATCCTCTCATGCTCAAATTTTTTTGAGAACAAATATGACTTCATCGCGCAGGGTGTTAAGATTAGTGTGACTGAACATGCCGGATAGGAGTGCGTCTTAGGGGCTCGTGACTGTCTAGGAGGCATGCGGGTGGTCTTGATCGCAGTTCGGTTTGATATAAATGCAAAAATTGACTTTCTTAGGGGTTGGGGTGTGTTAGACCTCACGGGGGCCATCCAATTGCGGCGTTCTGATCGTGGGAATCAATTGGTAGCTCTTCGATACCGATAGAGCCTCTGTTCAAGACCAGGTCGACAGTCAACAGGATAGCTATGTAGTCTACTGACAACACTAAGGCACAGTACGCAGTCAGAAGTGATGAGTAGATTGTTGACTTCGTAGCAAGGTACAATCTATGGTCTGTCTAAATACCAAGCTTTTCTGGCCAATAACGTTAAGGTGTGGCCCGCAAGTGGGTAGCGGAAGTTGTAGAAACGGAGGAGGAAAGTTTTACTCCAGATGCTTGGCGGGTGTGACGTTGCGCCACCCTATTGACCAATCATATTCACCAATTTACTTCTAGCACCTATGATCGCGTTATCATCCCATTTCATCTACACTCTTGAATACGGGCCGAGGAGGGGTTCTGCGTCATTAGCTTGGCGTCCCCCGGCTTAAAACCTGGAGGGCCGCCGCCAGATTGATTATACCATCGACCAGCAATCGTGTAGTTGCGTTCGCCGTTGTTAGGTAGGGTTGGCCCGATACTCCGGCTAGGCAACACGCCTCGGCAGTCTGGCTTTGGCGATTGTACAGCCGCGGAAGACACTGATCTTTGAGTTATATAAGAGAACTCCCGGCCAGCAGTAAATTAAGCTTACATTGTGTCCTACCAAAGCGATTCTCTTCCTTTCATAACCTTTGTCATCATAACCATGGCGGTAGAAACATCAACTACCACAACGGCGACGCCGGGGTTGGGCAATGTCAAGTACAACAAGGACTCGGTGAAGTCTACCTGGCGAACTTGGGATCCGAGTCGCTATCAGCTCGCCCATCGACTCCTGAAGGATGCTGATATCTTCCACAACGACCTCGCGCGGCCGGTCCCCGTGCACCCAAAGACGGCCAAGGTGCCGTACCTTCCGCAAAGCGAAATGCATCGCTGGATCATCACACACGGCGCGTGGCCTCTCATCCTTCACCAAGTTTTCGTCTCTGTGGTGGGGTGGAATATCGGCCACGTCGGGTCGTTTGTATTTTACTACGGCTGCCAGCGACTGTTCATGACGCAGCTGATGCGGATGCTCCGTGAAATGGGCCACACGTATGGACACCTCGACGGAGATGTACACGAACGGGACGGCGTGCCAGATAATGGAGTAGGTAAGACGCTCACGTCAGTGTTGTTTGCGGGCATCGGCCGCGCGCTGCTCTTCGACATCTTGACGTGGGACGACGCCGTTGCGCCGATCGACTCACGCTGGGCGTGGATGCCGCTCGTCATTGGCGTGTACGGCATCATCTTGGACTTTTGGTTCTACTGGTACCACCGCCTCATGCACGAGGTAGGTTCGTTGTGGAAGTACCACCGCACGCACCACCTCACTAAGCACCCGAATCCGCTCCTCACGCTCTACGCCGACGGCGTCCAGGAGGTCGGCGACATCATCGTCATGCCGCTCCTCACCTTCTACACTATGAAGCTCATGGGCGTGTCGCTCAACTTCTACGAATGGAACGTGTGCAACGTCTACCTTAACTTTGCCGAGGCAACGGGTCACAGCGGCCTGCGGCTGCTAGGATACGTGCCGAATCCGCTGACACCGGTGCTGAAGCAACTTGGCGCGGAGCTCTCGATTGAGGATCACGACTTACATCACCGACGTGGGTGGAAGGGTAGCTTCAACTACGGGAAGCAGACAAGGTTGTGGGATCGCGTGTTTGGCACGTGCACGGACAGGATCGAATGTCTGGACGAGAATGTGGATTGGAACCATAAGGCTTCTATTCCTTGGTTTTAGATATCGTGGCACAGCTACCGGATCATTGTATACTGTAGCTTTGCGTCGTGTCTTTTAGCTTTTGCCTCGTACTTGGGGTGTTGTGCAGATTACAAAATAGCCACTATATTATCACTATAAAAGGGCTAGAGTGAGTCCGTCCATACCAGAGATTCTAGCCTATCAGTATCTGTACATGTGTCCCTTCCCTTTGAACGTCAAAGAGATTCTCGCTCAACAGGCAGTTCACACTGACCCATTTACAAAGTCTTATCGGTCTCGTTGCTGCGATATGCCACGGCGAGAGCGGAGGACTTCATTTTATGGGAAATCATTGATATCATTTTCCAATGGTGGCTGGTCGTTTGGTAGAAGATTGCATTCACCAGGACTGGCCAAATCGGGGGCGGACCTGCGAACGGCCCTTTCCCTGTGCTTCAGCCACTAAATGACACGGGATCAGGCGCCACAGTCTGGCTCCGCCACAACGCAGCTCGCCACCATGACGACAATGCTAGAAGCACTTGCATGCACGCATCATGACGCATCTGGAGCATACTAACGATAAAACTGTGTCCGTTATAAATTCAGTCTAGTAGTAAATACTGCTCTTGGGATTCTCGGCTTGTAACCGGAACAGGCAGACAACGACAAGCCGTTGACGTCGGAGCCTGCGCGGGATAGGCGGGCTCTGACAGATGCCAGTCGAGGCGGGTCCTGTAATATTGCAGGTGCTGATCTCGCAGCCAGCCTCGACGCAGGGTGCCCCCTTTGTGAGAATACGAATGTGCAGGAGATGGCAGATGGGTCAGCAGAACTACGTTGAGCTTGTCACGATTGTTTGCAGCTGTACGCGCAACAAACACTGACTATGACGCATGTAATTAGTGTAATTCCGCGTGTTTCAGTCACCAGCAGATACATCAGCGAAATATTCCAAAAATATCACAAACTGCGCCACAACATTTCTTACTGTGCTGTAATGGCTGGACAGCGTGTTGGTGGATTGGTGGATGCTAGTTAGTGGTTGGCGGTTTAGTTAGCGCAAAACGTCTTTGGCAGGTCCTAAACTTAGCCAGCGCCGACTTTTCCAGTTTTACCCACTGCAGCGCGGCTTCATGAAGCGGGTTCCAGCGCTTTGCTCCATTCCTTCACTGGCACCAGCCTCAGCAATCTCCCTTCGCGCCACAATTCGCCCACCCAATACCACCACATCATGTCTTACCACCGAGACAAGGAATTCGTCCACCTCGCTCTAGTTTCTGCAACCTCCCATCCTTGCCACTGACTTGCTCATTTTCTGCTTCTTCATTCTCTTGCGATACTCTCTTTCGTTGATTTCATGTGCCCTTACTTGCATTAATATACTCTTGCTTATATTGTTACACCGTTGTCTGCATTACATCACCATCCTAGCGCCCCCCTTTCTTGCCGCCCGACACGCCGACGACAACTACGACAACCTCACCAGTCGCGCGCAAGTTGACTTTCGGCGCAAGTTGGCCCACAATCAAGAGCGCAGAGCATCCTGCCATGAGACGAGCATGACGAACTAATACTCCATATCTCTCAACTCTCAACCTTTTCATCATGGATCAGGGCTCTTACAGCAGGCCTGACGGTCGTGGCCATCCGACTCTGTGTGTACCATGACAACGCACGACCCGAATTTGCAGTTTTGACACGAGCCGTGGCTAACTAACATCTTTGTTCTAGCTCCGCTTCCTCGGCCGCCAACAACAACTACCAGGTCAATGTCAGTCGCCAAAAGACCAAGAAATGGGTCGAGGCCAAATCGCAAAACTATGACGGCGACGACTGGGGCGCCGACGAGTTTGACGACGAGGAACCAGAGCCGCAGCTACCTCTGTCGCCTCGCGGCGGCCCTCACTATGGCGTCGCCCAAGGCGCTTCTGATGTGCCGTCCCTGCATATTCAAACAAACCCGCCGTCGCAGCTGCCTCAGCAGCACCAGCCGTATCCGCCGCCGCAATCGCGACCCCCTCCTCCCGCGAACACGCAGACTCAGCATGAGTCCAATAACCCCTTGCAAGTACACCCGAGCTCTTCTGCACCGCAGTCTTCTGCACCGCAGTCCGCTGGCGGCTTCCAACCCCAGAGTGCTTCTTCGACATACCCTCTGTCGCCTCGCTCGCCACCAGACAGCCTACCCTCAACCACCCCGCAAGCCGCCTCCACGAGCAAACCCCTCCCCTTTGTCCGGCCCTCGGATATTTATCGACGGATGGAGGAGGAGAAGAGTCGCGGATCCTCTGAAAGCTCGCGCCCAAGTGCCGAAATTGCATCCAACGTATCCAAGCAGAGCTCGGTTTCACCTGCAAGAACAGCTGCCGAGCCCGTCAAGCCTCAACCTCCAGCTGCTCTGTTGCCCGCGCCGCGCACTGATAGCTATAACTCTGTCTATCAGGACTTGACAAAGCCTCGCGCAAGCCATGCACCGCAGCAGCCCGCCGTAACCTCTCCACCAAGAGCAGGAGCGCCTGCACCGCCGTTTGCGACGCCCGACGCCAATTCATCCCTCGATACAGTTAAAGAAGAGACAAAGCGCCTATCTACGAGCCCCAAACTTCCAGATCTCGCTCGCATGTCTGTCTTCGGCGCCGACTTTTTTTCCAGTGGATTTTCATCGCTGTCATCAGAGCAGATCTCTGAGCAAAAGATCCCCGAGGTACCCAAGGTGGCACCAGAATTAAAAGTGGATAATCCTGCAGCACATCAGCCGAACCCATCTCTTGCAGACGCTCCGAAGGCCTCCGTGGAAAAGACCCTCTCCGCTTCAGCTCTTCCAGTCGTCATGGAGGATGCATCTATCAAGCACGAAGACGTCGAAACGACCGTAAATCAGCCTCCGTCTAGCGCAACTACAGCTCCCGAGTCGCGGGAACCGGCCATGCCAACGGAATCCAAGCTATCGGATTCCAGCAAACAGGCGGCGACAAGATCATCCATTGACACCACGCGTTCGGTTCCCTCGGCGTCAGATATTACTCCGACAAAGCCTCTGAATGTACGCAAAGAGGACAGCCCGGTGCGATCGTTCGAACCCCCACCAGCTCTTCAGCGCGAGCCGACGTTTGGTACAGATACATCTTCCCCCGTCAAGGAGAGCGATATGTTGCGAGATGAAATCATCAAGACACTCAGCTCCCCAACTCAGCCCAGCAGAGAGGCAGCTGAGGCCGGAGCAGCTGACGGCGGAAGAAAGGGTTCGCAGGGCCGTACCCGGGACAGCACCTATACTCTTACAGACTACGATAGCTACTGGGCTGATGCGGATACCGCGCCCACGGCTCCCCCTCCACCGCCCAAGACGATATCCATCGTACCGGATGAAGCTATAGAAACTACTGCGGTTGCATCACGAGGCCCTGCTTCTGCTACCACAGAGTCTTCGGAAGAGAAGCCGAAAGTTACACCACCAGCCTCACACGAAGGTGTTGCTGCCCAAGCCGCACATCAAGTGTCGACCGGCGCGGCTTCGGCAGCTCCTGCTGTTGTCTCTCCGATTCCTCAGTCCGCCTCTCCGCAGCGGCCTGCAGAAGCCTCGATTGTGTCTCCCGTTAGCACAGATCTTCGGCGCAGATTTTCGTGGGAAGCAGAGTATGCATCTAAGCCGTCACCTACGGCAGTAGATGCTTCCGCGGCGACCGCAGCGCCGCCACCCGGGCCGGCTCCCAGCGACCCCAAACCACAACCTGAACCCGTGCCTGCCCAAGATAGAGAGCCTGGTTCTTCTCCTGCCAATGTCGCTACACTCCCAGCCGTCGCAGCTACGGACAGTGCCTCGCCAGTATCAAAGCGTCTTTCGCTTGCAGACGAGAAGGCCCTTTCCACAACCACCTCGAACGAGGTTTCCGCCCCTGTCGATGAGCACCCCGCACTAAGACTGTCTGAACCAGCACCGGCGCCAGCCTTGAGCATGCCGAGAACCTCCAGCGCAACTGTGACTCCCTTCAAAGACATAATGGGCTTGAGCAACTCTTCTGATCGAGTCGCCAAGTTCAACGAGACTAGAGTCACCTTTGCCGTCATGGACGTTGGGCTTGACAGGTGGCTCACATCACTTCACCAGGACCACCCGGAATACCACTCCAAAAGCTTCAACTCGTATCAGCCATCTTCAACTTCCCCGACCGGAGCTCCGCAAGGAGCCTACCCCCCGGCACAACAGCCCTATTATCAGCAGTACTTGAACGCGAGCACCCCTAGCAGTGGGCCGTCGCCGGGTCGCCGCATCGGCGGCATTCCTGTGCCGTCCAATGTAGGCGGCAGCACCTTCGGCCATTCTGGAAACCAAATCGGAACCAAGAGCAAGGAGCTTATGCATTCAGCGGGTAAAATGGGCAAAGGACTTTTCAGCAAGGGCAAGAATAAATTGCGCGGGGACAAGGTATTTCACTAATGCTTTTTTCTTATACCACCCAGCTCATAGTGAGTGGGCCATTTCCTTCAACTTTCCCTCAAGCAGGACGGATTCTCTTTTACCTATGTATTGATTTATGAATAATGCTTGAACTGGATTTCTGCACCACTGCGTTCATGACGCTGCGGGTGTTTGAGATTGGAATATGACGATGAGACGATCTATTATCCTGGGCCTGCAAATCCCTCTCTCGATATCATTAAACTACACCTGTGAAGCGATCTGGTATTAATTGTTCTTTCTCGATAGGGCGATGCGCACCCACCACAGCAGACAAAGGCCAAGCATGAGCGTTCAGGCTCCTGGGCCGTTCTCAGCAGCAAACTACGTACCGAACTTTCTTCCTCGAAGGAGCACGAGCATCCGCATCAACACTCTCAGCAATTTCACGACGAGTACTCGGCTGCGCCAAGACCCAGCATGACCATTGCGCCGCAGATTCCAGTGCCTGAGCCTGTCTCACCGCTGCTACGTGAGGCTTCTCCAGACAAGTCCCTCCCGCCGACTCAGACTTCAGCTCAGCCAGCGATCCCTGGCAGCCACTCCAGCAGCATCTCTGCCGCATCTCCGTTGGCCTCCTCTATCCCTCCATCCAGCCAGATTCGCATTGTTCCGTCCGAAACTGCACATGATCATGGTAACCTGAGGTCTCCCATCCAGGCGCCCCCCGTGGCCGAGGACAGCGGAGTGGGCATGCTGGCCCAGCCAGATGAGTCGGGCGATGCCCCTAAAAGACAGTCTTCCTTTGTTGGCCTGCCCCCAATTCGCAGATCTTCGACCTTTGGTCTCAAGTCCAAGGCCCGTCGCGCCGCCGAACGCTTTCCGCTAGACGAAGAAGATGGCAACGGCGTTCCTGATCTTCCTACGGACGACGTGTTGGAACATCCCCCAAGTCAATCTGATATTCCTCGGCAGCCGCATGGCGAGCATACGGGCGCTCCACATGTAGGCTCAACTTCCCAGATTTATCACAAAGAGGGCGCCACGACGCAGCATCAACCGGTCACCGCTGAACACTCTCATCAGACGCCTGCACGACAACCTACCACGGCGCCTCCGCAGCCCCAGCCTATCCGCCCGCTTGTACACCCACCTCTAATGATGTACCCTGGGCAATCAGGGCCCTGGAGACTTGAAGAGAGCCACCTGGCGGAGCCCCTGCATCAGGCGAAGAACCGTTCCTGCCACAGTCCCATATCTCCATCCATGAATTATGACTTCGACAAGGAAACTGAACACTCGGCGATGATGCCGCCACCGCCGCTACCCTCAGGTAATGCGCGATCGCGCAACACAGACGTTCCACCCTCATCTGCTCAGCGCTACCCCGGCCTCTTTGCGCCTCGACCTGACGAGGAGCCTTTACAACGCCCGATCTCGCAGGTATACTACGAAGAGAAGGTGAATCCGCGCCACAGTGGCAACGAGTACTCCATTCCTGGCGTCGGCCCGCCCACGGAAGAGAGAGGCCGCGCCAAGCGAAACTCGGGCATGTTTAAGGAAATTGGTGATAAGATTGCGCGCGCTACCTCACGCGACCGAAGAAACTCGTTTGTGGAGAGTCGGCCTCCCGCCGATTCGCGTGCTGATGGAGCTTCTGAATCGAGTGTTGGTACGGAGGAGATACAGGACCGCAGGAAGCGCCGATCCAGCTTCTTCAATGCGCTTACCGGTCGCGCGTCTATGGACCCGGGACCTCAACATGACCTTTCTGCTCTTGAGCGGTCTCAAACTGAAAGCCTTCCCCTGTCTTCGACAGGGGATCTTGGCTCTGCCCGAAAGCGCTCGATGCTCGCTAGTGTCGTGACTGGCTTTGGTGGAAACAAGACCAGCACGCCGAACGCTGCCACATCGGGTCTTGCAAGCCCGGTAGGAGACGATGAGCCTCCGTCAACGCCCAAGAAGAAGCGCTTTTCTGGTATTGCCAAGGCCTTTCAGCGACCCAATCAGGAGCGCCCTTCTTCTGGCATGTCGAATGCATCCGAGCACAGCCGCCGGGCCTCGTTCTCTAACCTGCTCTCCACTTTGACTGGCAGCAAGAGCCAGCTATCCGAGCAGTCGCACGCTGTGGCGGCTCCGAGTGTAGGAGGCGTTCCTTCCAATGATCTGCCCCAGAATGTTCCTCCCGCTCCCCATCAGATCCACCCTGCAGATGGCTTCCCAGCAGCAAAGCGCGACAGTGTTTCCGCTCCTAGCCCACACGACCAGCGCCTAGACCAGATGAAGCCGCTCTTTACCGCGGATGAAAACAAATGGGGCATCGAGCGTCCTCCTACGTCTACAACAGTCACGGCCAACGAGGCCAAGGCTGACACTGGCCAATCTCCCACCAGCACCAACCTACCTCTACGATCTGTCGATCCAAGTGCCCAGAGTCATAATCCTACTGCTCCATCCGAAATATCGGATTCAGAAACGGATGTCACCGAGAATGCTCGCAAACCGTCCGATGTCACGCCCTCAGTCACATCTGGCGGCGACGTAGAGAGTGCCGACGCCAACGTCAGCCAGATTACGCCTACCATTGTCACAGATGTACCACGGCAGGGGGAGCAGCAGCAGACCCCTACCGCCCAATACCCGAATAGTCCCGGCGGCTACTTTATCCACAACAGGATGCAGAGTTCGGCTCCTCTCTCTGCAGGCTCTCAAGGATATCCTCAGGGGCAGCTCATGCAGCCCCAGCAAGATCCTCATCGCTCGCTGGCACCGGCAGGCGGGGAATATGGTCAGGGAATGAGCCGGCCTGCACCCGGACCGCAGTACAGCCAGTATGTCCAGCAGCCTACGCCACAGCTCAATCATTACCAGCAACAGCCACAGCAGTATACTCAGCCTGTATTTGACCAGCCTGCATCACGTGCTGAGCAAGGGAGTGCATCACCCAAGGGGTGGAAGGGCCTCAAGACGCGAATGGCTGGTCAGATGGCCAGCATGAGCCAGTCCTCCCCGAACAGCAAGAACCAGAGCAAGGGAGACTCCCCGACGAGCGACAAGCTTAGAGGTGCATTCAAGCGGTTGTCGAAGCAGCAGGGTACACCGGACACCCAGCAGCAAGGAGGAGAGCAAGCACCAGGCTCCCGTGGGTTCGCAGGGAGGGCAGGACAACAGCCCCATCAACAGATGCAGCCCCAGCACAGGCAACCCCAGTACATGCAACCCCAGCACATGCCGCCTCGACAGATGACGATGGGTCAAAGACCTTATCAAGAACCTTACTCCCAGCAAGGCGCCTCTCAGCAACAGACATCCATGAATGCGCCGCAGCAATCGCATCTTAACCATCAGCAGCATTCGTACGCTGCTGTTCCGATCCCCCAGGGCTACACAACCATTCGAGGCCAGGGCTACGCGCAAGTCCCTACAGCGTACGCTTCTACACGCCAGCATCCTCAATACCAATCGCCAAATGCGCAGCAACAAAGCTTCGCGGGCCACGACCAGACTTCCCCTATTGCTGGTAGCTACCAGCAGAGTAATGGACATGCCTCAGGCCCAGGTCAGCCTCAGTCTGCCGTGACGGAGCCGCAGCCTCGCGCGCCTGTCTCTCAGCAGCCTTTCGCAAATACAAGTGATGCTCTCAGCCCAATATCCACGACGCAGCACAGTGGCAGCATGACTTTCAGCCCTTCTTCTGACGAGCTTCGCAGTCCTCGCGTGGCCCTTACTGAGGAAGCGCTGGCACAGCAGAATGCTCGCAAGGACCTGCAAGCTCCTCACCTTCGCCCAGATGAGAACCAGACAGGCCTTGGACCTTCGAACAGCAACCGCGTGAGCCAAGTCTCCGTGGACAGCCGCAGACACGGGCCTTCCCCCAAGTCTGAGCCGTCGCCTGTCGCTAGCTACAAGCAGCTGCAAACCGGAAGGACTTCATCAGCCTCCCCAGTCAGGGAGCGACTCGTTTCCGCAGCCAGCATTTCACCTCCTGCGGGCTCCGGCTCTGACGTTGTCAGCCCCATCATGACCGCGACTCGCGCCGAGACCAGCACACCTGCCGCAGCCCCTCTTGTTAGAGACCTGACGGGTGACAGCAGGGGCCAGGTCTCGGACGATTCCTTGGAGAAAAAAGGCAAGCTAGACAAGACGATAGCGACCACGGTCAGGCCCGCGACAGAGCACGTCGTAGAGCTCGAGGACACGGCGGAGGCGCGCCAGCGTACGCTCCGACTAGACGCGCAAGAGGAGAAGATTGCATACGACCCAGAAGAAGAGAACCCGAAGATGGCGGCGACGAGCTATCCCGGCCAAGAATGGAATCCGTATGGTGAGCCAGGGTTTAGTGAATGGCATGAGTAGGGAGGGTGAGAATTTGTCTATATGTATATTTCGATCTTTCTTGGTTATTTAATTTGTGTGAAGTTTTCTTTTTTTTTTCCTGCTCTTTTTCTCTCTTTTGTTTTTATTCAGAGGTTGCTGCCTCGTCTTGGATACCAACTTTTGATTTCCTTGTCAAAGCTTTCTCGCATAGCGTTTTTGCTTTGTCTCCGGATGACATTTCCTTGTCCTTCTGAGTCTGGAAATTGACATCAGGAAGTTATATACGGATGCGCCTGTTAATAGAGAAATGAAACTGGAATCTGTGTGTTTTTTTTTTGGTTTTGTATTTCTTTTTCTACTTGTTCGCTTTTTTTCGCAGTCTCTGCTTATCTTGGTACTTACTATTCGCAGCGCCAAGCAAGGCTCATCGATCCGGGCCTTGGCATCGCCATTGTGGCGTCTGGGGCCGAGACAGAGGGACGAGACGAGATGGGCCATCAAGATGAGCAGCATCTTCGTGTCGGAGTAGCTCGATAAGTGATCTACGCACGGTTTACGCCGTACTCCGGTGAGTTGATGAACGGCGCACGGGAAGGCTTCTCGTAGTTTGACTGCTTAACTTTTTGGGGCAGGAGTGTGGTATCCTGCGTTCCGTGAGCCGGTCGGGGGCTTCATCATGGAAGTGATGTGCTTCCCGGGTGCGACTTGAGCTTCCCGATGCGTTGATCAGGAACATGAGCTGGTTCTTTGATTCACAAGGGGTCGTTACCTACCGAATATGGGGTTGATGGTACGCCATGCGACTAGCGCTGCTGAAACGAACCGGTGAGGACAAGGATGCGAAGAAGTCGTCATCTTTGCATTTGTTATCACTCTTTATTGAGCTATATTTCTGCTAACTAACTCATTCTGACTCGTTCGCTGGCTCCTCGCTAAGTTAACTGCCTGGTAGGCTGAGAGATGCCAGACAACGAACTAGCTAACCAACTTCAACTTGACTCAAACTGATGAGCAGACTCTGCATTTTTGTTCTTACTCGTTTTAATAATTCTTATTGGTTTTGATACGGGAAAAAGATGGCTCAGCCCCATGGACACGACGACTTTATCGTTCGCAACCCGGCAAGCACAAGCTCACCAGTTCATCGTCCCAAAGAGGAAGGTCGATAATACGCCGTCCGTCCATGTCCACCATCGACTGGGCAAGTCGGCCTACTGGATTTTTTAGACACTACGGGAATAGAATCAGGCACAGGACTAGGTTTGCGCCATTTCTCCCCACGCGTGGCTAAACCGCTTCAAGCAGCTGGACGTGGCCGGCGCGGTGGAGAGTCCGGAGTCAAGGCCTCGGATCGCCCGCAGCTGCTCACTTGGGCCAAGTCCTTTTTTTGTATTTGGAAGTTGGACGGAGATGGCCCCGTGCAGCTGATACCATCTTACACAAACGCATCTAGTCATTGCGCCATGACTCGAGCTGTTGGCGATAGGGATAGGAGAACCCTACTGCCTCTACTACAATCACGGGCAAGCGAATTCCGGTATAAGAAGGGCACGGCCGTGGCCGCTTCCAGAGAGATGGATCTCTTGGCATCGCAATCTTTCTTGGCCATTCTCAGCCGACTAGCACATCCTCATCTCCGGCGGAACAACTCGCCACTCTACCCATCATGGTCCAGCTCAAGTCTGTCCTGGCCTACGCCTCCCTGGCCAGCGCCGCCGCGGTGCCTGCGCCCCTCGTCAACTTTGCCGGCGAGAGCGGCCGCTTCTCCGTGAACCTCAAGTACAATGACCAGTTCAAGCGCGGCGCCTCGGCCGACTTCGACCTCGCCGCCCGCGACGGCAACGGCACCACGCCGGCGCACGACAGCCCCTCGCGGCCCGACGCCGAGTACTACGCGGAGATCCTGGTGGGCACACCGGCGCAGACGATGAACCTGCTCTTTGACACGGGCTCGAGCGACCTGTGGCTGTTCGGCACCGACGTGGACGGCTCGGTCCCCGCGGGCTCGGCCCGGTGGAACCACACGGCGAGCTCGACGGCCAGCCTGGTGCAGGACGGCAGCTGGAGCATCCACTACGGCGACGGGTCCGGCGCCAAGGGCAGCATCTACAAGGACGCGGTGTCCATCGCGGGCGCCAGCGTCAGCAGCCAGGGCGTCGAGTACGCCTCCAGCGTGTCTCCCATGTCCGGCGGCGGCGACATCCTGGGTTCGCCCGTCTCGGGCATCGTCGGCTTCGGCTTCGACGGCGGCAACACGGCCAAGCCGCAGCAGAAGACGCTCTTCAGCAACCTGCTGCCGAGCCTGAACCAGCCCGTCTTCACGGTCGACCTGAACCACCAGGCCGACGGCACGTTTGGCTTCGGCTTCGTCGACTCGGGCAAGTACAGCGGCGACCTGACCTACACAGACGTGGACTCGAGCGGCGCGTACTGGGGGATGACGTCGACGGGGTACCAGGCGGGCGACGGCGACTGGGTGCAGCTCCAGTACAGCGGCATCGTGGACACGGGCGACTCTACCTTCTACGTGCCGACGGACGCGTACAACGCCTGGAGCGCGCTGCTGCCGTCGGGGGGCGTCACGTCGGACACGGTGGTGCCGGACTTTTGGTTCGGGGTGGGCAGCGCCAAGATTCGGGTGCCGGGGGCGCACCTGGTGGAGAGCGACGGCAACGGCGGCTACAGCCTGACGATCAAGGACAGCGGGAGCAACTCGCAGGGCACCTGGGGCTCGCCGTCGATGACGGGTGCGTACCTGGTGTTTGAGAATGGCAACAACGGGCCCAGACTGGGCTGGGCCAACTCCAAGTAGGGGGGGTGACTGTGTGTATGCATGAGTGTTAAATATGAAAGGATGAATATAAACGTCAACCCAGTCGTACGAGATGTGGCCATGGGTCGTGACTTGACTTTTCTGACTTTTCTGTATTCGCTCCCTCATAGTCCCAACCTCCGGGATCAATGCGGGGAAGCAGTTCGCAATGTCATGCCGTGTCTCAGTGTCCCGCGAAGCCGCCAGCCACGGTAGTATCGCGAGCTCTTAGTCGACGCTACTGCGCTGGCGAAGGAATGTGGCCAAGCAGCCAGCCCCGTATGGTCACTCGACTTGAAGGACCACTATGTATTCATGGTCAGGCGTAAGATATATATTCTAGGTCATGGGCGAGAACCCAGTCATGAAGAGGCTGTGCAAGTTCTTCTTTTTGCAAAACGATCATGTCCATGATACGATCCCTTGCGAGCCTCACCGCGTTCACCGCCCTACTTGCACAGGCCTGGGCCGCCTCTTGTCCAGGTTACAAGGTGGTCTCTTCCAGTAGCAATGGAAGCGTCCTCACGGCGAGCCTGCACCTCGCCGGCCCGCCGTGCGATGTGTACGGCAAGGACCTGCCCCGGCTCAAACTCGAGGTCGAGTACCAAACCAGTCCGTTCACAAAACCCCTTCTCTCACTTGACAACTAACTTACAAAATCTTGCAGAGTCTCGCCTTCACGTCAAGATCTACGACGAGGACGAGGACGTCTTCCAGGTCCCGGAGGACCTCCTCGGCGCGCCCCCCGGCGACGGCTCCGCCAACGCGGCCACCTCGGACCTTGTCTTCACCTACATCGCGTCGCCCTTCTCCTTCCGCATCACGCGCCGGTCCTCAGGCGAGGTTCTCTTCGACACCGCCGGCCAGGCACTCATCTTCGAGTCGCAGTACCTATACCTACGCACCGCTCTACCCGCGGACCCGACCATCTACGGCCTCGGGGAGAGCGCGGACCCGCTGCGGCACTCGACCGGCTACTCGCACGCGATCTGGAACTCGGGGCAGGCCTTCATGCCGCGCGGCACCAACCTCTACGGCTCCTACCCCTTGTACTTTGACCACCGGGGCGCTCGCGGCACGCACGCCGTGTTCCTGCGCAACATTAACGCCATGCGCGTCAACATCGCCCAGGACGACCGGGGAGGCGCGTACTTGGAGTACAACGTGGTCGGAGGCGTGCTGGACCTGTACTTCCTAGCCGGTCCGGAGCCGAAAGCGCTGTCGACGCAGGTGGCGGGCGTGATCGGGCGGCCGGCGCTGATGCCGTACTGGGCGCTCGGCTTCCACCAGTGCAAGTACGGCTACAAGTCGATCGCGGAGACGGCAGCAGTCGTCGACAGCTACGGCGCGGCGCGGATACCGCTGGAGGCGATGTGGAACGACATCGACTACATGGACGGCCGGGCGACCTTCTCGCTGGACCCGGTCCGCTACCCGCTGAAGGGGGTGCGGGAGCTGGTGGACCGGCTGCACGGCGCGGGCCAGCGGTACGTCATGATGGTCGACCCGGCGGTGGCGCGGCGCGACTACAAGCCGTACAACGACGGCGTGGCCATGGACGCGCTGGTGAAAGGGGAGAACGGGAGCGGCGTGTGGACGGGCGTGGTCTGGGCCGGGCCGAGCGCGTTCCCGGACTGGTTCTCGCCCAACGTGCAGGGGTTTTGGGACGCGCAGTTTGACTCCTTCTTCAACAGGGATACGGGCGTGGATATTGACGGGCTGTGGATCGACATGAACGAGCCGGCCAACTTTTGCGACCTTCCGTGCGATGCCAAGAAGTTTGCGGTGGCAGCATCGGCGGCGGCGGCGGCGACGGCGGCGGCGACGGCGACGGCGGTTGAGAAACGTACGCAGAAGGAGCAGGATCGGCCTCGGGAACCGCCACATATCAAGGGGAAGCGCATGGGCTTGCCGGGCCGGGATCTGCTGACGCCCAAGTACGACATCAAGCCCTTCTTCAACGGGCTGAGCGGGCAGAGCATGCCGACGAATCTGCGGCACGCAAACGGCCTGTCCGAGTATGATGTGCACAACCTGTTTGGGAGCATGATGGGCAAAGTCAGTCGCCAGACTCTGCTCCGACGTCGGCCGGGAGGGGGCGGGCCGAAGAAGCTGACAGGTTTCCAGCATTACCCGCTCTTCGTTGATTGGCGATGGGAGCCGAACCGGGTGAGTCTTTCTTTTACATCTCTGTATGAACCAACATGTCCAAGGCAGCCCCTAACACCCATCACAGCCACTGGTTCGGCGACAACCGCTCCAACGACGACGACTACCGCCTCCAGGTCGTGCAGATGATCCAGCACGTCGCCATGTACCAGACGCCCATGGTCGGCTCCGACGTCTGCGGCTTCAACTTCGCCACCAACCCGATCCTCTGCCAGCGCTGGGTCACCCTCGGCGCCTGGAACCCGTTCTTCCGCAACCACGCCGACATCTCCGCGCCGCACCAGGAGTTCTACCTCTGGCCCGAGGTCGCCGCCGCCGCGCGCAAGGCCATCGACCTCCGCTACCGCCTGCTCGACTACATGTACACGGCGCTGCACGCGCAGCACGCAACCGGCCTGCCCATGCTGTCGCCGCTGGCGTGGCAGTACCCGGCCGACCCGGCCACCGCGGCGATCGATCTGCAGTTCTTCCTCGGCGAGGCCTTCATGGTCAGTCCCGTGACGACGCCCAACGACACGTCGGTGACGTTTTACATGCCGGATGACATATTCTATGAGCTGGACACGGGGCGCAGGGTAGAGGGCGCCGGGAAAAAGGTCACGAGGAACGATGTCGAGTATGATGAGATCCCGGTGCACGTTCGCGGGGGCAGCGTGGTGCCGATGCGCGTGGAGGGCGCCAACACGACAACGATGCTACGGCGCAAGCCGTTTGAGCTGCTGATCGCACCGGACAGGGACGGCAGGGCGCGAGGGACCTTGTATCTGGACGACGGGGAGTCGGTCGACCCGACCGAGACCAGCTTGATCGAGTTTGTGTACGAAAACGGCACGCTGGTCTCCTCGGGCACGTTCGGGTACGACCCGGGCGTCGAGGTCCGCCGGGTGAGACTCTGGGAGGCGCCGCCGTTGGATTGGGAATGGTTTAATAGGACGCAGAAAGCTCTGGTCAAGAGCGTCCGCTTGCCGCTGACGAGGAGCTTTTCTCTTGATTTAACGGCCCGCTGGTAGAGCCCGGGTTTCGATAGGCAGTTTGGTATATAATAGTGCGAATTGATACTTTCGAGAAACTCACCACTCAAGGACCTTATAAATCTTGCATCGCCTCGGAGACATTCTCCGTGCCTGGATAGTCGGTGGCTGCCCTAGTTCATATTCACGAGTATCAGTCACGCCGGCGCTTACCGTATTGCGCTCGCCGGGCAGTCCGTCCCAGCCTTGTTTCTTGGAATCTCCGTACCTCGCTCATCGCCCGCCAGCGAGTGCCAAGTTGTAGATAAAGGCCAGAAATTCTTACCCAGAAAACGGTCGCAGGTTCGCAATCATCAGTCGTTATCGCATCATGGGAGAAATGGCACAAACATCCGAGAGTGACATGATCCTGATCCTCGGTCTTCCGAGGACCGGGACACAGTGTAAGTTGCCCGCTTCACCAGTTCGGCATCTAGGAATACTCACCAATGCTTGACTCTCCCAGCACTGAAAGAGGCGTTGGAGATTCTCGGCCACCCTCCCGTCTACCACATGAGCGAGGTGCCCTCCCACCCGACACACTACCGCCTGTGGTCCCGGCTCATCGAGCGCAAGGTCGCGCAGCCCGACATCCTCCTCACCGCCGCCGACTTCGACCCCATGCTGCGGGACTACCCGGGCGGCTCCTCCGACGTCCCCTCCGCCCTCTTCGGCCTCGACCTGCTCCACGCGTACCCGCGCGCCCGGGTGCTCATCACCGAGCGCGACGAGGCCGCGTGGATGGACTCAATGCGGCGCACCCTGGTCATCGCCCACCGCGAGCACCAGGCCCGTCGCGAAGAGATCCTGCGCAAGGGAGAGGCGATCGACGGGCTGGACGAGGACAAGCACGGGCTGCGCGCGGGCTACCACGCATGGTGCTGGAAGGACGAGTTCGACACGCACGGCGCGGCATACTGGCAGCGGTACCAGAGGGAGGTCAGGGAGGCGGCGGCGGCGAGCAGGGCGCAGGGGGACGTGCTCGTGTTCAACCCGGGGGATGGGTGGCGGCCGCTGTGCGAGTTCCTCGGGAAGCCTGTTCCGAGCGGCGTCGAGTTTCCGCACGAGGGCAACAAGAGCGTCTGGTCCACGCAGGCTGTCAGTGACGAAAAGCAGTAGTTGAAAGAATGTATGGGGTCCATAGTTGCGTTCTGGGCATTTCCAGATCAGAACTTGACAACAATTGATCCGAAACTCCGTCACCATATATCGAAAGTCGCTTCTCTGTATCATCGCCCTGGCGGCATTGTGACGTAAAGCGACCCAGCCATGCGGAATCAGTACTTTGTAGTCAATCCATCAATCAAAAATTCCGGAAATTTTGTCATCCAGAAATGATCACGAGACCCCTCACCTCTTCTGTTCTCGGGACGGTTCGGCGCGGACCACTCCGGCCGGCTCCGCCACCTCGACCCGACTTATACTAATTAGCCCGAGTTGGACGTCCACTCTCGTATCTCACCTACCCGCACACATTCCCACCTTGTAATACAATCATCCATCATATTCACCCTCTGCAGCGCGTCATTCCCTCCATGGCCGCACCCACCACCCGCAGCCTCCAGGTCGTCGTCGTCGGCGCCGGCCCCGCCGGTCTCTGCGCCGCCGCCGCCCTGCGACAAGACGGCCACGGTGTCACCGTTCTCGAGCGGCAACCCAGCCTGCAATCCCGCGGCAACGCGCTCGTCATCCAGCCCGCCGCCGTGCGCGCCCTCTCACACCTCCGCGGCGCCCACGCGGCCCTGGCGGCCGCCAGCGTGCGCGGCAGCGACGCCCTCCGCTACTGGTCGTACCGCGGCGACACGCCCTTCGCGGCGGTCCGCATGACGGGCGTCCGGCGCTTCGAGACGGACAGGCCGTCGGTGCAGCGCGTCATGCACGAGATCGCGGTGCGCGACGGCGTCGAGGTGAGTTTCGGGAGGAACGTCGAGCGCGTGGAGGATTCCGGCGACAAGGCCACGTTGTGGACGAGCGACGGCCAGGCTATTGAAAGCGACCTCATTGTCGGTGCAGACGGTGTGCTAAGCCAGCCCTCCCCCCTCTTTCTCGTTTTTTTCGGACTTTAGTGCTCAAGTTCCACTGCAGGAATCAAGTCCGGGATACGCAAGTGTCTCTTCCCAGATCGCGACACCGACCCCGTTCCCCTCCGCGAGTCCATCTTCCTCGCCACCCTCCCCCTCGCAGAGATCCGCGACGACCCGGCTCTCACAGCGTGGCTCGTCCCCGAAAACACCACGCACGGCACCCTCGGCCCCGGCCGCTTCGTGCTCAGCCGGCACCTCCCCGGCGGCAAGTACGGCGCGCAGTTCATCGACGTGGACCACGGCCCGCCCGGCGCCGTCGACGGCACCTGGAACACGCCCGCCGACGTGCCGGCGCTGCGGGAGCGCTTCGCGGACTTCAACGACGTCACGCGCGCGTTCCTACGGCGGATCGAGAGCGCTGAGCGGTGGCAGATCGCCGTCGGCCCGGAGCTGGCGTCCTGGCGCAGCGCGCGCGGCGGCCGCGTCGTGCTCCTCGGGGACGCGGCGCACGCGATGGTGCCGCATGCCGCGCAGGGCCTCAGCCAGGGCATCGAAGACGGTATCGGTCTCGCGCGCGTGCTGCGCGGCGCCGATCAGGGGCGCGTCGGGGTGGCCACGCGTGCCTGGGAGGCGCTGAGGAAGCCGCGCGCGGAGCTCTTCGTCCAGCGGTCCCTGAACAATGCCCGCCTGCGCAGCCTGCCGGACGGTGCGGCGCAGGAGGCCCGTGACGCTCATATTATGCGTCTCGCAAGTGCGAAGCCAGCGGAGGCCGTCGATGTCAAGATGGACATGAAGGCGGATCAGAACAGCCCGGAGTTTATCAAGTGGGTGCGCGAGTACGATGTCGTCGCCGAGGTAAACATCTTGCAGCGCTGCATGATGCATACAGAGAATACCTACTGATAGATAAATAGGTTGACAACATCATCAGGAACAGATTGTAAGCTTAAAGAGGATGGCTCCTTCATGTACCAGAATTGTAGTGCTCATCGCCATACAGAGTCGCTTGTTAGTTCAACAGCAGCTGTAGACAACCAGCCAAGCCATGCTAAAAAAAAAGATAGTCTCCTATATCTCAACATGTAGTTAGTTTCTTCCGAAAGTGCATGCCAGCTTTTTTTGCGTTTCTGTGTGAGTGGTCAAGTCTCGTTCGTCATTTGGATTCGTACAGGGTAATACGCCTTCTCTAATCGAGATTTGGGTCCTAAAGCGGGCGTATTTGGAGTCCGCTGAGACCAGAGTATTCGTAACAAGATGTGTAGACGTATATTCAGAGCTTCCTATATCATATATGTATGTCGAGTGTCAATCATCGTCTACAGGGTAGACTTCGTCCGACCCGTTGTGTTGCGGTCAAACTTGAGTGCGAGTGAGACGCTGTGTCCAAGCATAATCAAGTCCCCGGATTCATCCCTAACTTCGATTGTCTGGTCGAACTTCCCTCCCGATAGATTCTTGGCGAGAAGCTTGACGTGGAGCCAGTCAACACCCTCATCCGGCAAAAGATCTTTCGTCTCTAGGCTCAGCGCCAGTGTGGCAAGCCAGTACGGTTGTGATTTGTTGCCCTGTTTCTGGGATCCGCTGCCTCCCTCGGACTTTGGCAACTTGCCTGCGTTCTGAAGCTGATCTATCATCTCCTTCGCCTCTGGTGAAAAGAGATACCGCTCCAGCTCATACGGTAGCAGATCGACCACGAAGGGCATCGATTGCTGGGTGAGCTTCTCTCCCGTCGCCATTCGCACCCACATGTCGAAGACTCCCGGTGTGAAGAGGCCCTTCTTGGGCACATACAGGGCCTTGCCGGGCAGGCTTGCTGCTTCCTTCTTCCAGTCGCCAGGCGGGACACTCAAGGTCCAGTTGTCATCGCAATTGTCGCGCACAAGACGTTTAAAGTCGGGGTCGGGCACAGAGGTAGCACTCAACTCGGCATGCGTCTTGTATGCTGTCGGGAGACTGAAAGATGCATCAAACCCGTCCATGTCGGCGAGTACCATGTAGGCAAGCAGCGGCCTGCGCGACTTTTCGCGGTCGAACCAGGGCGCAGAGTCGAGTAGCGCTCCTTGCCAGACGCTTACCTGAATGTTGGACAGCATCTTGCCTTTCTTGACATCCTCAATGACTATGACGGCCTGACCAACGGAGCAGCGATCAGGGAAAATGTGCTGAGAGCTGACCACATGAGGCTGACCACGCTTCGATGAATACTTGGAAGCGGCAATGGCCATGCAAGACGCACTGTAGCCCCCGTTGACGACTGTACATGGTTGTTAGCGGAGATACCGAGACTGGGTATCAAGGGATATTGCTGCATACCATTGCCTATACAGTATTGGGGATCAAATCTGACTTTGAATGTCGTGTCATCCAACTGCTCAAGCTTGACAGCGTCATGGAATTTGACGAGATCTGCGGGTGCCATGGCGCGAGGTGAATGTATGTGTGCGCCCTAAGCTGGTGATAGCTTGCTTATAGCAGGGTTCAACCTTCAGGCAGGAGCTCGATGCGCTTGACACGGGCGGATGCGGATGCGGATGCGGCTTCGTTTTTATATTTAGGAGTATTCTGTGCCTCAAGCCTGGATGTTAACAGTCAGTTTAGTTCGCCATTATATTCAGGTTGAAATTGAGGTTCAGCCTCGGCTTTTGTGGTAGTTGGCCACCTGAACGGCTACTTAATAAGTGGCTACACAAGCGGTGCCTCGGACAAACAAGGTTGATGATGAGATCAACTTACAGATCTGCGCGCACGGGGCGATTATTATTCAGTATATGTAAGTGTAAGTCAAGATCTTGTTGAAAGATCCGAAAAATGAATAAAAGAAATGAATGCGGGCAAGTGCTTTTAAAGTTGAGTGAGTTTATAATTATTCTCTGCCATCGGCGCCACGCAGCCTTACCCTAGAGCCTTAACGTGGATGATAATCCGTAATACGGAAGGCTTTACCTGCTTTAATTAGTTATTAGTAGGCTAAATTCACGGCTCGCTTATTGACGTTTGCGAAATCGTCACGAGGTTGCCCGTAGCCCTTCAGTTGGGCGGTGTTCAAATCATGCGGCAGAGACTGAAGGCGAGAGTGGCAGAGAGTAGAAGAGTCACCAGCGTCAACGTTGTCGCCAATAACAACCAACCGCAAATAGCAGCCTGGTAACCTTTCCACACTGACTGGCGTGGCCAAAACCAACAAGTATCAATCTCATAAATTCTTGAGAATTGCTAGGCGCCCGCAACAACTAGCCAATGCTCCGAGCCTGGTACCTTGCATATCCAGCAATAGGGCCGAGCTTGGACCACAAGAAGGCAGAGCAGAAGATGGGCTGACGGTGTGGGGGAGATGGGGATGTGTTGAGTGGTCACTGGTTGTCGTCATGCTCAGCTGGCAGCGGGACGACAGCGACAGGGATTGATCGCATGTCTCGAGACGAAGCGGGCCGTGAGTTTGTCTGGTGGCTGCAGGCGGAGAGGGAGTGCATGTTTTGCGCCTCGTTTTGATTGTATACGACATATTTAAAGCAGATTATGCCGAGGAAACAGGACCGTTAGTTGAGCGAAGCTTGCACTGAAGAGGCAGGCGGCGGGGACGAGGAGCGGCCGGCCGGGAGCGGCACTGGCGAGCCTCAATGACGAATGATCGGCGAGTTGTACTGGCCTTGCCAGCACCAGAAAACAGAGGGTTCGGCGGGCGCTTAAACAAGGAGCTGGCGTGGGGCGTGTCGACACGAGAGAAGCAAAAGCGGAAATGCGGCCATGCGGGAATTGTACGAGACGAGACGGAAGATCAAACGGTGGCTGGGTGCGAGACTGCCGCGGGGAAGAGGGTGGCACGGTAAGATAGTAATTGATTGCAGCTGCATCCGTGCTTTCTTATTATGAAGCACACAGCACTCCGTACTGAGTACTCCGTACAAGGTGCTGTGTTGTTGCATCGAGCTTGTGGTGGGCGGGACGACAGGCAGTGTGGTGTGGAGGTTTCATCTGGGCTAAGATGTCAGTGTGCGTCTTTGAAGAACGAGTACATACGAACACATACTTCGTATACGAGCCATTAGTTCGTCAATCCAGCTGCAGAAGATGGAATTTGTTTATGTAGCAATGGAAAGGATGGTGGCCATGACGCTGAATGAATGATGAACGAAGCTCTGTTTGTCGTGCTGGCTTGACAACTGGCAGATGTTTTTGGCACTTTTGGCAGTTGGCCGCGAAGCCGTAACAGAGGTGAGAGCCAGAGCTGCGCATTGCTATTCGTGGGTTGCATAACGCTGCATCAGCATGCATCAAGCCCAGTCTGGGGCTGCAAATTCCAGTTGCGATAAGAATTAGGGAGCACAAAAATTGCAAAACAATAAAAAGAGGCATGCGGAAATCGGCCGACCTGCCTATCGTTAATACTTGCGTCAATACGGAGGACATGTGCCAATATGTGGTGAATTATAGCGGCCTTAGTAGTACAGCTTCTGCACCATCTGCCACAGGCGTCCGCCCCTGAAGTTTTGCGCCGCCCCCTGTAAGCCCCTGTAAGCCCCTGTAAGCCCCTGTAAGCCCGTGCACCACTGCCCTGAGTTATGTCCATTTGAAAAAAGTTGCATCCTGCAGCATGCCAGATGCCAGCTTCCCATACCTTGGATAACTTCTTTAATTTCTTTTTTTTTCTGCTGTGCGTTTGGCAGTTCGCTAATTATCGTCCCCCGTCACTTTTCTGGTTCTATTTCTTTTCTTCCTTGCTTCTACGTGCTCTTTTCTCTCGCCATTCCACATAATCGATTCGTTCCCTCGAGATTGTCTTCTTGCCATCCCAGTCGCCCGCGCCCGCCCAGCAAACCGACCAAGCCGACGCCATCCTATCATCTCACCGGCCGCCCTATGATCCCCTTTTGGTTATCCATCACGGCGGGCCAGAGTCAAGGCCGTCACGCAGACGGCGCTTCCATGCACCATCTGATTGGATCCCGGGACTCTAGTGGTACATCATCGCCTGTCGGCTTCAGCTTGGCCGTCCAAACACTCCATCGACGGTTGCACTAATATTTGGTTCCTAGTTTGCTAGACTCGACTAACTAGCCACGGCTAGCTTTCCACTGCTGCTCTCAGCAAAGGCGCCTCTGATCTGATCAAAACACGAAACCGAAACCTTGCAAGCGTCCGTCGCCTTGCCTGTCCTCGTTTCCCGTCCCCTCGAACGAATCGCTCCCTCCGAAGAAATTACTCGCCACCAGAACTACTAGTTAGTAGCCTCGCCCGCTCCGTTCCTCGCTCCACCACGCCAAGCGACCGCTTTCGACAACTCAGCTTGGCCCTACCCTCACTGCCAATAGCCAATAGCCATAGCATCGTCATCGCCGCGCTCTTCTGGCTGCGTTTTAATTGCTGGCTGCTCACTGCCTCCTTCACGGCCTCACGCACGACCCGCCCGTTGAAAGGCTCCCGTATTACGACCCGTTCGTTGGGGCTACTGTCACTGCTACTCCGATTTGTCCGACCTGCTCACTATCTGTTCAGCCAGACAGGCACTTTTATTAGCGACCTGCCTAATTGCGTATTGTCCTCGCCCCCTCTCCACACTAACTATCTGGCATCGCCCTCCGAGCCCCGAGCAACCTTTCGCAACTGCTTCTTCTTTGCTCCATTCCTACCTCGCCCATAGCTTCGGCCGCGTCCTTCGCTGGCTTCCTTCCCCCACAGTCTCGGTGTTTCCCGCATACTCGCCATCCCTCCAGATTCTCCTGATTCGCCAACTCCGTCATCCTTGGTCCTTCCGTCGACCCTAAACCGGAGTTGTTGACATCCATCATGGAGAGGTAAGGTTTAGAAAATCCGCCACCACCACGAACCTAATCATTTTCTACCACATGGCCACGACACATGTGCGCCTCACCCGCCCATTGATGCCCTCGACGCTCTATTTTTCTCTACTCGCCGCCACTCAACTCAGACCCGCTGACCTCTGCGCCCGCGCAACTCTTATCTAGTTTTATCCACGTCCCCGGCTGGTCGCAGCATCTTTCACATCGGCCATCCGCCTCCCGTCCCTTGAGCGGTCATTTTCGCTCTCTTTCCTCCGTCTCAACCACCAAACCAGCACCCCCTTCTCCATCGCCTCTACCGCAGCTCCCTCTCAAGTCGCCCAAGTCTACCTCGCAACTGCCTAAGATCTCCCTCTCTCCGACCTTCCTCGACGATGAAATGAGCACCCTTCCCGACCCTCGAAGCCGGCGGGTGAGCAACGCCGAGGACCAGCAAAGCGAACCCGACGCCCCCAATCATCATCCCGACCTCAGCGACGAAATTGCGACATTAAGCACAAAACTCATCAACGCAATCAATCACCAGACTGCCCTCGACGACACCCTGAGCGCCACCCGCCAAGAATTGCAGACCGCACACGGCCGCATACGCGAGCTCGAGCAGCAAAATGAGTCCCAACGCGAGATGTTGGCCGGCGATGTCTGGATACGCAAATCCACGATTGAATCCGACAAGCGCGCCATGAAAACCAAGTTTGATAGTGAAGTCTCAAAACGACTCGAAACCGAGGCCGAAAAGAAGCGCATTGAACAGGAGCTTGAGACCCTGGCCACGGCTCTCTTCGAAGAGGCCAACAAAATGGTTATCGTCGCCAAGGAAGAATCCAAGGAGCGTGAAGATGCTGTCCAGCGTAAAAATGATCTGCTAAAAGCTCAGCTGGAGGAATCCGAAGTACTGCTTAAAAATCAGCAAACCCAATTAGCCGAGCTCAAGCGCGTCATGGAGACCATGTCCTCTCATGACGATCAGCAGACAAACACCACCGCTCCCTCGTCGCCGGGCCTGCCTCGATTAGATACAATCGCTGGTGACCGCTTGCCGCCACCTGATTCCGCTGCAGCCTCTCCACTGCCAGATTTCTTCGCACCAGCGCCCCCTACGAGTTTGCAGCATCTCATCCTACCAGTCCTCCGCCATGACCTGGGTGCCTATGACGACTTCATCAATCTTGCACATCAATCCCACAAGCCCGCCGGCAGTCGCATCTCCTCCGGCTCCATGGGCGGCCTTGCCGCGCTTGGCCTTGGACTAGCCGGTTCTACCTCAAGCGGGCACATTTCCAACGCTTCGACGTCCTCGCTCCCCAATGCGGCATCTGCAGGCAGCGGCCCTTCATCGCCAAACACACCAGCGTCCTCGACGCAGGGAACACCCAACCAAAACCTACCGATGCCGGCCCTCAAGGAGACCAAGTTCTACAAACGCGTCATAGTTGAGGATATTGAGCCTACGCTGAGACTTGATTCTGCCCCTGGCTTGTCATGGTTGGCTCGACGTAGCGTTCTGACTGCTGTTACGGACGGCAGTCTCGTAGTCGAGCCCGTCCCCACCAACGTCAGTTATGCCCCGGCCGCCCGACCGCAACTCTTCCCATGCGCCCTATGTGGTGAAGCCCGCAAGGAGGCGCAATATCTACGCAACCATCGCTTCCGCACGAGCGAATCGCCCTCCGCCCAACGATATCCTCTTTGCAAATACTGCCTCGGCCGTGTACGATCGACGTGCGGGTTCCTCGGATTCCTGCGCATGGTCAAGGACGGCCACTGGCGCGCCGATGACGAAGACCACGAAAAGACGGCCTGGGAGGAAAGCGTCCGCCTGCGCGAGCAAATGTTTTGGTCCCGTATAGGTGGTGGCGTCATCCCCGCCTCGCAGGCAGGCTCGCCGACTGACGAGGAGGCACGAGCTTCCGTTGACGGAGTCCTTAGCACCACCTTGACTGTGCCTACTGCTGCGCCTGTCAATGGCCAGGCGTCAAAGAGTGCCAGCGATACCAAACCGGTATTTGACCACAAGGCACCTGCCAGGGAACCGCGCACGCCACCCGAGCAGACGGACACGCCGACGCCTACAGACCACTACAGCGAATCGCCGGAGCTCCGCAAAGAAGCTGACAATGTTGCGGCAGCTGAGAAGCCTGTTGCTGTCGAGAATTAAGCATTTTAATATGCCTCGCCAAGCGATGTCTTTTCTTTTTTCTAATATTTATTTCTTTCAGACATTGTCCATAATGTATATTCTGTATTATACATGCACCAAGGAGGACGTGTCAAACAACACTTCTACCGCAGGTTCCCCTGCTTCTGCTCTTGGTATCTTTTTGTTCTTTGTATTCTTTTCTTTGCGCGGCGCACACTTCCGGGATGGGAAAGGGGATGCAGGGTTTTCAAAACAAAACCGCAACGACGATTTTTGCATTTCAGGCGTTGATTTTCTTCTCTGTTTGCGTGTTGTTGTTCGGGAGAATTGGGCGGGATACACACTTTAGTTTAATCACTGCGTTTCGAAGGAGGAGGGGGTGAGCATTAGAGCAAAACACGTTTGGTCTATCAGAAAAATAGACTGCATTATACAACGTACCCAGGACATATCGCTGGATCAACTGCAACGTGAAAAGTTTCCATCTAACCATGTGTGTGGCTGGTTGTATTACATTCGATATCCCTCCCTACCAAAACACGACAAGCACACTCCGTACAACAGAAAATGAGATGTCGAATGACAAAATGACAATAGACACCGTTCAATTATAACCTTTATATCAGCCTCCCTTTGTTACATTTGAAAAGTAAAGCTCTGTATTTTAACATCCTTCCAATTCATCATGCCGAAGACGCCAGGTTTTGCCCCCAGACGCCCTTTCTTTTGTTTCTTTCCGAGTCCAAAATAATTACAGCTCGTCCTTGCGAGTGGCCTCCTTGCCTTCGCTCGCAGGCTTGGCCTTGGAGCCCTCGGCCTCCTTCTCGCCATCACGACTGGCGGCAAACTCCTTGGCTGCGCCAGCGTCCTTGCCAGCAACCGTCTTCTCGTCCACACCGTCTACGTCGGGGTGGGGAGGAGCAACGCCGGCACCGCCGAGCTTACCCTCCCAGCCGCCCTCCGGGGCCGGGATCTCGACACCGCTGTCGTCAACGACGCGCGTCTTCGTCTCATACTTGGTCTCGAAGTCAACCTTGCCCTTGAGTTCAGCAACCTGCTCGTCACTTAAAAGGTTACCATCCTGATCGCGGAACTCAATCTTCTCTTCCTTGGAGATGATGGAGGGTTCAGAGGATGGAGCAGTTACAGCAGTAGCGTTGAAAACCGCACTGCGGGCCGAGGCGTAGTCGTCGTACTTGTCGTAGAAGGTGTTGCAGTCAAAGTCCCAGTTAGAGAAGAGCTTGAGGGTGTTGCACTCGCCCTTGGTCCATTCGTTGCCGTAGGCCAGAGGGCTGTACAGAGCAAATGCAGCAATGGCGAGAACCAGGAACAGAGACGTGGCAGCGCGATTGATGACGGGCATATTCTTGCCCAGACCGCCGAAGCGAGCAGTGGCAAAGTCAAACAGCTGGCTGAGAGCAATAACACCAAAGTAGAGGGCAGGGAAGTAGTGATGGAGGAACAGCTGGCGCTTCATCAGGAAGAAGGGGAAGTAGTGCAGAGCCCAGCCAAGAATAGAGCTGCCAAGCTCGTAGTCGAAGCGCTTGAGGGTAGCGTTGGAGTAGTCATCGCAGCTACGTTGCCAGCGGAGAATGGCAATACCCTTGAAAGCAACCCAGATGGCAACGGTGACAGTGACGGACCACCAAATAATGGGGTTGCCCAGGAGGTAAATCTGGGTGTGGTTGCGGCCCCAGAAGTTGATACCGCGACGCAGAATGGGCCAAGACTCAGGTCGGGAATCCCAGGCATGAGAGTCGGTGAGACCGGCGTTCGTCTTCCACATAACCTGGTGAAGCTCGATAAACTTGCCGAAGAAGCCGGGCTTGCGGTAGTTGACCTTGGCGGCATCCTCACCAAGCTGGGGGTGCTCGTTGTGCTCGACGTACCACAAACTGTTGGGGAGGCTACCGCCTTTAGCGCAAGTAACTTCCTGCTGCTCAGAAGCCCAATCAGGAAGCTTGACCTTGTGGGAGAAGAGCACACAGCCAGTCATGAGATGAACAAGACGGAACTTGGTCTCGATGGTTCGGAGACGCTCCTTGGCAATAGCACCGTCTGACTGCTTCTTGACAATCTCGACCTTGAAGAAATCGTTGGCGTCACCGTCAAAGCCCTCATAGCCATACGCGGAAACTTCATTTTGCCAATCATGCTCGGACACAGGAGGGCGAACATCGTGAGAGTGAAGGCGACGGAAAGTAGGGGTGTGGAAGAGGCGAAGTACAGTGCCATCCTTGATGTACTGGGGCTCGGGGAGGCTATCCCATGCCTTTGTTCCGTTGATTGGTTGGCCGTCGATTCCAAGAGGCTGCGTCTGGTTCTCGAGCAGCCAGATGTTGTTGTCGTCCTTGTGGGGATAAAGCGTGATCTGCTGCTGCTTGGAGCCGGTTGGGTACATGAGAGGGTGGGAATGTAGGTAGCCGCCCTGGGTGTTGACGTGACGGATGGTGACGCGACTGCCCATAAGAACGTCGGCGGCAACATCGTTCATGCCCTTGTGGTTGAGCGTAGCCTGGAATTCAGAGCTCATGAAGCCGTCACCGTCACCGGGGTTAACGAGGCAGACGAAGTGGATGGCAAACATGGCCATGTAGAAGGCGGCCGGAATGACGATGAGGCACAGAACACGAGCGGCGAAGTGCTTAAACCAAGTGGGAAGAGAGACGTTCTTGTTGTCGCCGAGGAGGACCCAGAGCTGGACGAGGGTCAAGGCGCCAACCCAGGCAATGGTGAAGAGTCCAACCCACTTGATGCTGCCAGTGATACCCAGGCCAAGGCCAGTCATAGCAAGCCAGAACCACCAGGTGACGCTGAATGCCTTCGAGGGACCGAGCTCATGCTGGTTGGTGAAGCAGTTGAACGCAAGGGCAGTGAATGCGGTAGCGGCAACGAGGGGAGCATCGAGTAGGATGAGACGGGCCTGAGTAAGAAGACCGTTTTCTGTAGCAGGCTCAAGTATTAGCGAATGTCTGACTGGAGGCAAATGTGGCTTGGTTGCGCGCACCGAAGATGATGAGGCCGGCGCCCATGGCAGCGGTGAAAGTACGGCAGCCGACAGCTTTGAGCGTCAGGAAGATGCAAGGGATAAGAAAGATTCCGCAGAGGGCAGGATAGAGGCGCATGGCAACGTAGGGAACACCAGGCTCCAGATAGTCCTTGCCAATATCCTTGAAGTCAAAGTCACCGTCGAAGCCAGCAAGCCAGCCCGTCAGGGCAATGAGCATCTTGGCCAGAGGAGGGTGAACGTCCATGAAGAACTTTCCCTTGATGTATTTGGAAGCAAAGCCACCAAAGCTAGAGGGGATGCGTTGTCAGTCTCTGCCGAAAGGTTGATGAATTGGGCGGGGCATACTGGACTTCGTCAAACACAACGCTGGTGGGCTGCGAGATTCGAAAGATGCGCACAGCAGCGCCGACAATGGTCAGGGCAAGAAGCACGAGGTAGTCAGTGCCGGGGAGCAGGAAAACATCGTTGTCCTCTACGCCGTCAGACTGATACGACGTGCTTTTTCCCTTGGCCGCAACTTGGGACTTTTCTGGCAGGGGGCTTTTGCCCCGAGCCGAGCTTGGTCTGGCCATTGTAGAATATTAAATCTGCGAGGAGACGTCGATCGAGCAGTTGAGTAAGATCGATGGTTTCGAAGCAGTGTCGTCAATTCGGACTAGAAGAATGGCAGAAATCAATTCGATAAGAAAACGTGAAAGAGTGTGGTGAATATAATTCAATACGGGGACGAGCCAAGCAGAACCGAAATAAAGTAGGAACTGCCTATAAAGCAAAGCCCGTGAAGAAGAAAATAGAAAAGATGAAAAAGAAACGCCACGAGTCCGCCAGGAAGCAGAAAGCCGTGGAGGTTGAAGAAACACGTCGGCGTGAGGAAAGGGGGGGAGGAGGAGGGAGGAGAAGGAGAGAGGCATTGGCGATACGGCGCGCATCACGGAAATGTAGCTACGTTGGCCTGATGGGGCGAAGGTTTGCCTTGGCTGCTTGAACGCCCCTTGCTGGATCGCACGCTGCTTTACGCGAAGTTAGTGCTGTAAATCCAGCTAAAGCGGCTTAACGGAGCTTGCTGTCAGTCGGTGCATCGCTGAAGCCTTTCCTTAATTTGTCCGAGTCCCTGTGGCAGGGGCTTGAGGCGGGGCAGCACGGGCGCATCAAGCAGGCTGTATTTGGTGCCGCTTTACGGGTTATTTATGGACATTGCCCGTGCCCTTCCTCATGCCATTCAGCTCCGCGGTGCTTCTACCCTGGGGAAAATCATTTACACGTCAGGGCCAAGCACACGGCTTTCTCGGTTCGAGTCTGGGACTGTCTCTTCAATCTATCATCCAATCAATGGAATAAGGCGCCATCCTTGCTCCCCGACCTCTCCAACAATGGATTGCGCAACACCAGATGAAGTCTATTCACATCGGCCGTACATCAATCCGCACATCAGGGGGTGCCAACCAGCTGCGCTTTGGCCGATCCAGAATTTTATTAGGTACTAGCCTCTTAGGTCCTTACAAGTTAAGTCGTTATGCTGGCTAATTATCCGTTCTCTGACCGGAATGGATGTTGACATTTTAAATACAAGAGAACCCAATATTTGCTCGTCACACATCTTTTTCCCTTCCCCTGTTTATTATGACCAGGCATTCTTGCAATGCGATCCAATACGACCTAAAATTAACAACCGCCCGTACTAATCCGTATTGAAGGGCTGTTCCACTGAAACGCGTAGCTTCACCTGCTGTGTCCAAAACCTGATGACTAAGCTTGCTCGGCCGGGTTAACCTACCACCGAGTTTTCCTAGTCTGCTACATGAGCCTCGCGCATCGCGAAATTTCCAAGACACGGCCAGCGTCTCTGCATCGGCTACTTTTTCTCGCATAACCAGCTCTAGGACAATCCTGTCCTCAAGATGGCTGCAAACGGGACCAACGGCGACTCGGCCACCGCCATCGATGATATCAAACCCCCGGCTGGCGTTGTACTGCCGCCCCGCGAGATTCGCAACATTCTCGAAAAAACGGCCGGTTACGTTGCGCGTAATGGTGCCGTTTTCGAGGATCGCATCCGCGACAAGGAGCAGACTAACCCCAAGTTTAGCTTCCTGAACCCCGATGACGCCTACCACGGATACTACGAATGGCGTCTAGCCGAGGTGCGTGCCGGCCGTGGAACCGATGTTGCTGCTGGTCGCGCTGGCGAGGCAAGCAAGGAACCCGAAAAGCCCCAAGGCCCTCCTCAACCTCCCGACTTTCAATTCTCTGCGCGCATGCCCAGGATCAACCAAAAGGATCTCGACATCATCCGTTTAACGGCCCTGTTTGTTGCCAAGAATGGCCGTCAGTTCATGACGCAGCTCGCGCAGCGTGAGAGTGGCAACCCGCAATTCCAGTTTCTTATCCCTAACCACACATTCCACAACTTCTTTCAACGCATCATCGATCAATACACAACACTATTACGAGCCGGCGGTCTCGGCGGGGAGGGTGGCAAGCTCCAGGAAGAGCAAGTTGCCGAGCTTGAGAAGAACATTGCCGACAAATTCCACGTGCTCACGCGCGCAAAACAACGAGGCGAGTACATCAAATGGCAGGAGCAAGAAAAGACCAAGAAGGAAGAGGCAGAAGAGGAGGCCAAGGCTGAGTTTGCGCGCATCGACTGGGGCGATTTTGTCATTGTCGAGACCATCACCTTCACCGACAGCGACGAGACGGCCAATTTACCGCCCCCGACGACTCTATCCGAGCTCCAATATGCATCTCTAGAAGACAGAAACAAAGCCTCCATTAGCGCCAACTTGCGCATCGAAGAGGCTATGCCTGGGGAAGAGCTGGACCAGAACGGTTATTCTGGCCATGTGTCGGCGCCTGCGCCTGCGCCTGTGCCGGCCTACCCGCTTCCTGTTCACCCTGGCTATGCTCAACCGCATAACCAACCAGACTACCCGCCCCAGATGCCTCAACCGACTCAAAAATCCGCGCAGGAGCTTGAGGAAGAGCGGAGAATACACGAGCGCGCCGAGGCGCAGGCGCGTATGCACCAGGCCCAGAACGTCGCCCGTGGTGGTGCACCTCCGATGAAGATTCGAGAAAATTACGTGCCTGGAGCCCAAAAGGCGAAAAAGGTGCAAACAGCAATGTGCCCCAATTGCAAGCAACAGATCCCTATCAATGAAATGGAAGAACACATGCGAAGTAAGTCTCGTCAGCCACATCGTAGAGAAAAAGGTATGCTGACATGACTCTAGTTGAACTCTTGGATCCCCGGTGGAAGGAACAAAAGTCCAAGGCCGATGCCCGTCACGCCCCTTCCAACATGTCGCAGGTTGATGTGGCCAATAATCTGAAGCGACTCGCCAGTCAGCGCAGCGATGTGTTTGACCCTGTCACCGGTCTGGCCGTGTCCGAGGACGAGCTAGCCAGAAGGAAGAAGGCCGCCATCAATAGCTTCGACGGCAATCCCGAGGGCCAAAGCCAGGCACACATAAGCCATCTCCAGGGCATGAATGTTGAGGAGCAGATCCGCGCCATCCACCAAAAGTTTGCGGACAAGAAGTAGCGCACGGTAGAGGTCGGCCTGGTGAGACACAGTTTCGGGATATACAACACTTTACATGGGAATTTAACAACACTGTTCTATGGCAGTCGGGCGTTTTTTTTGCTTTTGTCTTTACTTTACGGCATACCGAAGGCGGCGAAGTTCAGGTTTCTAGGTACAATATGGGAGCGTTGGTGGGGAAGCAAGAGACTTTGCTCGACGACTGAGCAGTGTACAGATAGCAAGAAGCTGACGAGATTTAAATAATACCAAACCCGCAGAAGATGCAGCCTGCGAGACTACAGCTTTCTCTTTTTTCACAAATATAATCCAACAACGTACAGCGCGCCACCTGTGAAATGCTCCAGCGCCATCCATGATTGGCTAGGCGGGGCGCCCTGCTGGAAGCTGCGAAGAAAGTCTCGACAACCCCCACCTTGGCCGTCTTCAGCCGAGACAGAATGACGCTCTTCTCCGCATCGTTTGTACAGCCTCGACCAAGCGCAAGCATCGCGCACTTTTCTCTCCTCTCGACACCGATATACACCGAAGCCTCGTTGATCCTGCCATCTGCGTAGCGGAACCTTTGCATTCTGAAGGAGAGCGACACGGCCGCGACCCGATCTACCTCGTAAACAAGAACGCTCAGCTGCCGCGCGACAACAGCACAACCGTTGCGCCGTGCGTTGTGCGTTGCCGGCAACTAACCTCGCTCCCACCTTGACTCGTTCAACCCGCCAAGCTGTCGGACAATCAGACTCCCGGCCAGGGCGCCGGCACAAACCAGCCCTCCAAGTCCCCTCCTCCGCCCATTGCCACCGCCGCGGCCGCCGCGACGGCGCCCGGCCCCAAGATCAAGAGTCCCAACCTGCACCGACCAATCATGCAGGCCATGCCTGACAACCGGCAGCAGAGCTTCGACGAGATCTACGGGCCGCCCGAGAACTTTCTCGAGATTGAGGTGCGTCCCAGCGCCCCTCCCTTTCCGCGACTAGCTTGGCTGCGCGCGTGACTATCCTAACCGGAAGATCAAAAACCAGGTCCGCAACCCGCGAACGCACGGCATGGGCCGCTCCATGTACACCGACTACGAGATCCAGTGCCGCACCAATATCCCCGCGTTCAAGCTCCGCCAGAGCTCGGTGCGCCGCCGGTACTCCGACTTTGAGTACTTCCGCGACATCCTGGAGCGCGAGAGTGCGCGCGTGACCATCCCGCCGCTGCCGGGCAAGGTCTTCACGAACCGCTTCAGCGACGACGTCATCGAGGGGCGGCGCGCGGGCCTGGAGAAGTTTCTCAAGATTGTGGTGGGACACCCGCTGCTGCAGACGGGCAGTAAGGTGCTCGCTGCCTTTGTACAGGGTGAGTCGTTGCTGGTGGTGGTGGGTATGACCGGATTTGGTCTGGGTGTGATATCTAACATGTCGAGTAGACCCAAACTGGGACCGGAACGCTTGGTGAACCGTGAGGGGGGGGGGGCGCGTGAAGGCAGGAAGAAGAGATGAGGCGCGGGTGAACTGGGTTGGGACGTTTCCTTTGTCGGCTCCAACGTTGATTAACTTTAGGCCCAATTTGTCATTCGCAATGCATGGTTTTTGCCAGTTTTTAATTGAAACCTTCCTTTACAATTGCGTCTGCATATTGGTTATACTGGCGGGTACTTGTCTCTGGTTATGATTCTCTTGCAACAGGACCAAATACTACATAGGGTCGTCCGTCAATCTCGCAGCAGTACCGGAAAATAAAATAATGGAAAAGATAAAGAAAAATAGATATATACGATATTTAACCAAGCTTTACTCACTGCCATAATTCTCGGACTTGAGTCCAATCCCGAGCCCATTGTCTTGCTGCGCTATTTGTGCGTTTGTCATGGCCAAGGTTCGGCGGGCCGCCGGCTGGTTCGTTCCTTCATCAACACCACGCAACAGCATCTAATCACTCGGTCCCTCCAAAAAGCCGACCAAGACACAATCACAGACTGGGATAACTTCTCCAGCGCACTTCTCCTCGGATAGCTGCGTTGGTATCCGTGAATCATCAACGCTGGCACCCGCACCGTCGGCCGTCTGCATCCACGCCCCTGAGACTTCCCTCCGCTTGCTAGTCATGAACTGCCACAGCGTGTCAAGGCTCGCTCGTCGAGCTGTTACCACGCATCACAGCTTTTTAAAAAGCAAACTGGTGGGACCTCTCATCGCTCGACATCTTACGCAGTCCAGGGCTCGACCGGACAAGTGCTGTGCGTCACGAACGAGCAAGTCGTCGCAGGGGGAGCAGCCGGCGCCGTCGATAGGCTTCTGGGCGTCCCGGTCGACATGGCACAGGGCTTCCATCAACACCGTCCGCTGCCTCGTTGGGTGCACGACGGGCGACTTTAGTGCCATGTGGTTGCTCCAGGCGCACTGCCCCGAGCTGGGCATGTCCACCATCATGGGCATCTCCAGTACGTCAAACCCTTCCCACCCACCCTGATTTCGAACCCACCCTCCCCTCTTGTTGTGCAGAGCGTCCAGAACTCGTCTAACACGAGTGTACACTCGTTATTCACAGTGGCTGCGGGCATATCAACATCCATGGTGCTCGAGACGGCGCTGCTTCGCCTTGGTCGTGATAAACTGCCATGGCCGGCGGCCGCCAAGACTGCGGCGGGCATGAGCCTTATCTCCATGATCACAATGGAGCTTGCCGAGAATGTGGTTGACTATTCCCTGACGGGTGGCGCAGTGGCATTCGATTCACTGTCGTTTTGGCTGGCGGCCCTGGTGTCCATGGGCGCAGGGTTCCTCGCGCCACTGCCATACAACTACCACCGGCTGAGAAAGTACGGCAAAGCATGCCACTGAATCAATCAAGCTTCGTCATGTAGTGAGATAGTTGTAAGATAGGTCGCTTGACAAGCACTCACACGAGTTCGTTTGAGCTCAGTTTGCCAGCATTTAAGAGCACTCGCCCCTCTTCCTCGACTCTACTTTGTCACCTTTGTTCTTTTGCAACAGTAGTTGATTCGAACCCGATCTTCGAACAGCAGAGACTTGAAAACCATCGAAAGCCCGCTATGGAGTATTTTGATGGTGACCCCGTCCATCCGCAGCCCTTGCTGCCGCCACCGTTCTACCCCAGTATTTACAACGTGAAGGTGGCCTTGGAGTCGCTGAACTTGGAGGGCAGCTATGTCTTTGAGTCTGAAATGCATGGCCCAAGATATATACTTTACAGATTCCGCAGAGACGACGGGTCCCATATCGCTCTGCGCATGATGCAGCCGTACCGCGTTGTCGCAAGCGCCGAATACGTTCGGACCGCTGTGCGGCGAGAGGTCAGCATTCTGAAAAAGCTGGAGAGCATCCAATTCCAGTGGGCTCCGAGATGCATCGCTTTTGACCTATCGTTTAATAACCCGATTGGGCGTCCTTTCCTGGTCGTAACGTGGATGGCGGGCCAGACGCTGATCTGGACAAGGGACCACCCAGGACCGGATCTGCGGGCGCGGGTGCTGAACCAGCTTTCACAGATACAACTGGAGCTGATACATACTTCTCTGCAAAGATGTAAGGGTCAAACTCACCCTGTGAACTGATGAAGGCTTGGAAACTGGCTAATTTGGAGATGACAGCTAACCCAACGGCTAAACAATATTACTCGCGACTGATTCACGACAATATGATGGCTGTTCCCAGGGGGATGTCTGGTATTGGTGGCGTGCCTACGCAGGAGGACTATTGGGCACAGTTGACGCATCTAGAGAACGTACTCGTCTCTGGCCACGGCGACAAGGAGTACGCCATCGCCCACACCAACATACTTGCCGAAAACATCATCGTCGATTCGGACTACAACATAGAATGGTAACTTGTTTGCTCCCTCGCTCTTTAGAAATACACTGACAGTCAACACCAGCATTGTCGGTTGGAGTCACGCCGGCGTCGTGCCTCTCGGTCACGCCGCCACCCTCCCTCGTCTCCTGGTGCCCACCAGGGTCCCCAGAGACCCCCTTGAGAAGCAGCTTGCGCAAATGGCTGCGCTCTTTGACAAGTTCAATTACTGGACTGTGCTCGCGAACAGCCCCGTGATGACGCTGGGCACACAGGCCATGTCCAAGTGGCAAATGGGCGAGGACGGCGACTTTCGCGCCTTGTACATGCTGTCAATGAATCACTTTGGCGTGCTCTCGTGGTTGTCCAGCCAGGATTGGCGGCCCCCGTCCTGCAATAGCTACTGCGCGCCAATGCGCCAGACGCCGCCTGTGTCCTTCCCCGCTGGCCCGACCAGAGTGCCCAGGGCAACAGCCCCGACGGGAAGCGTGAGAGGGTACCAGGCTGAGCCGTCTTGGGACGAGGCTGTTCCATCGCGGGAGGAGCCTTTTCCGTCGCGAGAACAAGCTGTTCCGTCGCAGGAAGAAGTTATTCCGGCGCAGGGGGAAAATATTCCACCGAGCGAAAGGGCTGCTCCATCGCGAGACGAGCCCGAAATGAAAGATGAGCCTTCTGAGTGAGGGAGCGACGTTGAGCGTAGATGGGTTGCGGAAAGCATATTAGCATGCATTGCTGCATTCATTGCACGAAGAAGAGCGGAAAGATTTTGCCGAAGGAAAAAAATGAAAGAATTGAAGAATGGATGTCCGAAATCAGAAATTGTTTAGTATTGAATGCTTTATGTACTGCTTATCTAGTATGTTCTCATGACGAGCTCGTCGCCGCCCAGAGCGCCTAGAGACTGGCCAACGAGGTGGGCCGACCCTGTGATGAGAACCTGCAAATGCGTATTAGGCGAGCTTTTTTGCAGCTCCTTGACCATGTCGATGGCTACATCGGCAGTGATGGCATGCTGTATCGGTACTTGGAGGTTGCGCGACTTCCAAAACTCGAGCTGCTCCGAGGCCACGGATTCCGGTATCGGAATGTCTGCACCTCTTTAGTGAGCATTCCCGAGTAACACAAGGGTCTATTGAGCTTACCGTAGCGATTATATGATGATAGTATTACCTGGTCAAAAGCCAGGTCATACTGTGAGGCAGACTCCAGCAGCACGTCCACGAGGCGCTCCGTGCTGCGATCCGAGGCGTGCCCGAAGACGAGCACCCGCCGACAGGGCCTGTCTGCGTGCACCTTCCGCACCGCCCGCGACTCTTCCTGAAACCAGTCGACCGCCACCGGGAGGCTGAGCTCGTTGTGCGCTGCGTCGAGGAACCAGTGCACCCGGTCCCTGTGCAGATACTGGAACCGCCCCGGCCACTCGCACCGCGCGATGCCATTCTCAATGTCCGCTTCCGACAGCCCCTCGTCCCCGCGCTCCTCCAGGGCGGCGTTGGCCAGCGCAATCGCCAGCGCTGCGTTCTCCCTCTGCGCGCGCTGCCTCACCCCCGATGACGAGTCCTCCGCGCCACCGACGACCTCGTGCAGCGGCGCGCCAATCTCTTCGGCCTGCTGGCGGAGGACCTCGGCGGGGACCTCGTCCTGCGGGACCGTGAAGGCCGGCCGGCCGGGTTTCATGATGCCGCTTTTGTGCCAGGCGATGCGGTCGACGCCCGGCCCGAGCAGCGCCGCATGGTCCAAGCCGATGCGCGCAAAGCCGCAGGCGAGCGGCCTGCGGAAGATATTGGTCGCGTCCTTGCGCCCGCCCGCGTGGACCTCGTAGACGGCGACGCCGACGCGCCGTTTCTTGAAGATGTGCACGGAGAGCAGCGTGAGGAGCTGGAGGTAGCCGGGGCGGTAACTACTGTCTGCTGCTTCTTCCGCGCGGAGCTTGTGCCACACCTCGAAGAAGGCAGAGGCAAAGTCGGCCTCGGAGACGGGGGCCAGGTCCACGCGGATGCGGTCGCGCTCGGTCAGGACGTGCGGAGAGGTGTAGAGGCCGACGGGCACGCGCTGGCCGGTGCGGGCAAAGTGCTCCCGTAGGAGGGAGGCGGTTAGGGCGGCAGTGCTGCCCTTGCCTTTGGTCCCGGTGATGTGGATGACGTTGAGTGCATCGAGGTCCTGGGAGCGGTGCTGGTATTTAGGATGTATTTCTACGCTGCGGATAAAGTCGCTGCTTACTGTATGTCCCAACTGCGCGAGCCACTCGATCATGCCATAGTTGTTGGGGATGTTGAGCCGCGGCTCGTCCGGCTTGGTCGTCGCTTTGGCGAGCCGGGTCTGGCTCCGAAGCAGCTTGACAGCCTCCTATTTTCGTAATGTCAGGTCGACGTTTTAATTAGGCAGATGGGAGGGGCAGGCAAGATCACAGCTACTGGGACGACAGAGAGGGCAGACTCACTTGATATGTCTCCTGCATGGTGTGGCTGTTCTGGGACAGTGAGGGCGATCGTCGCTGCATGAGGCGCTGGCCAGTAAATGTCGCGCGTCGCATATCCAGGCTGCTTGACGCCACGCCACGTTGCGCCTGTCCAATCTTATTGCGCCCAGAGCTGCCGCAGCGTGTCGCGCATTGTTTCTTGTAGTTTCGAGCTACACGCTCCTGTTTTCCAGGCAGATTGATAGTGAGGGCTGCAGATGTAGTGACAAGGAGACGATGTGACTGATCCCTGGACGTTGAGAGTTCTATAGGCCGAGCGCTGGCCCGCCATACTACAGCCGCTCCCGCTGTCGGGGTCCGCGACTGGCAATCGCAAAACTATGTCGCTGATTCATTGCAGAGAGTGATATTAGTGGATTTTACTAGATCAAAAAAATGATGACACTGTACGCAGAAAAAAAACTGCGTTGTAATAAATACAATAGTGTAGAGACCAACTGACAAGTTTGTACCAGCACCAACTGTCGTGTTAGTCTCCTGGTAGCTTGTGAGAAATGATAGCATCATATTGTTGTCAAAATAGGCCACGTCTGTATCCGTAGCTGTATCGAATCGGACTTCCTGTCAAAGCCTGGCAGCTTCATTACAAGTGCATACCTTGGTTTCGCGTTTGTCATTGTTAAGGCAGCCACAGTGCCCGTACAGTGTACACACCGTTCTATTACAGTACGGACAGCTGGCCCCAAATCTGAAACGCACACTGGTGAGTTGCATCTGCAACCCAAACCGAACGCCTATTTGCTGGGAAACTCTGCAACTATCCAGCCTTAATAAAGCATCGCCGCCTCGTCTCCCATCGAATCCATCAAATTATCGAGATGCGACCCTCCGGCGCCTGCCGAAAGGTACCATTGTGGTGCCCACTGAACCTTGCCGCTTCCTAGCGCCACCATTCTGGGCCACACCGTGCTAGTGCTTTCACATGCTCGAATCAATAACATCATTTCCATCCTTTAAACACCACCCGACTCGCATAATTCGCCACGTTCCTCGCATCCCGCTAATCTCTTTCCATATTTTATTTACTTTGCGTTTTCTTTCGACCTTTATCTGACCTCCTTCCCCTTCTCAAGTCCACCGAATCTACAACCGCCACCAGACCAGGACATGTCGGTGATGCCGCTGCTTACCCACTACAACGCCGTTACAGTCTCATCTAGCACCCATGGCGCGCGATGAACCATTAACCCACAAGCCCGGTCCGACACTGCTACCGGGCCCGATAGCATCAACTGTTAGTCTTGCCGCGCGCTCAACGTCTCTCGCCATTCGCCTCGGCTCTCTGGTCGGCGGATATGGGCTCGACGCTGCGCGTTTCACCACCCTGTCCAGTCTCGAGCTGGCTCGTGGCCTGGTCGAGGTTGTCCTTACGCGTGCCGGAAAAGATACCTTGGATCACGCAAAGAGCAGCCTGGCTGCTTCCGACGCTGAAAATGTGCTCGAGCGCAGCTTGGAGGGCCTTCACTACGCAGTCATCCAAGTCGCCTTTTGGACCTCTGCCAGCTTTCGCTTAACTGGAACAACCCTCTCCCTGGCCTCGGACACGTCACAACTTTTCCTTTCGTCTTTGGATAAGCTTCTTGGATCGACAGACTCTTCTCGCGCTGTCGCCAGCATCATTACTCTCATCCGCCGCGAGTTTCGCAATCCAGTCACTGGCACCAGGGGCGAGCGCGTCGGCGTCCTCGACTTGACGCTGGCCCTCAGCGCCCTCGCATATCTTCAACAAGCCTGCCGCAAATTGCCCGACGAAGAGGCTCGCAGGAACACCCTCGAAGAAGTCATTTGGGATGTGGTTGTGCTCAACGATGGCGACCGCGTTGATATTGACGACAGGCTGGCTCTACAGCGCGGCTATGCGCCCGCGCGTAGTCCAGAGATTTCCCGGCGAGGCTCCCAGGATGAGGAGGAAACCCTAGCGCTTCTGAAGAGCCACATCACACAGTCTCTCCCACCGGAAACAAAGGTTACAATTTCCAACTCCGTTACCGCTGTCCAAACCATTACCGTTGAAGTTGAAGGCTGTCTGCCCATCTTACCAACTCCACCGGGGGCCGAAATCATCGAAACCACAACGCCAGTCTCTAAACGCCTGTCTTATCCAGGTCACGAAAACGATGGACCTTACCGAGTTGTCTACCGAATAGAACGCGACAAATTTCGCGCCATGACCTTGCAAGGAGGTGACGACGCGGAAACCGGCTCCATTCTAGGCGAAATTGACAGCGACAAAGAGTCTCCCCAGCCAATGCAATACGACCCAGCCACCGGCACGTTTGTGCCTGTACTAGCTCCCTTGTCACCGCCCAAAGATGCCCGAGATCTCAAATCAGAATCGCCTATTTCCTCGCCAGAGACTCAGAAGAGTGAACAAATGCCGAGAACAAGCGAAGCACGCATGGTTGAGCCGACGGCAAACCAAAAACGGCAGAGACAGCCCGCTACAGCAGTGTCGTCGGGGAAAGCAACTTCTCCGACCGCAAAACGGCCTGTCCCCAAAAAGAAGGCAGATAGCAGCAGCCGCTCCACGGACAAGAGGTCTGGACTGAAGCAGGTTCTCAAGGATGGGGGCCAATCGATTTCCAACATGTGGAACAAGGATACTCACGAAAACGGACCAAGATCAAAACAAGTAACTACTGCTAGTAGTCGCATAGAGTCGTCGCAAAAAGTAACGGCACTGCACAGTCGTCCCACAAAAGCATCGCAAGAGCGATCCATCGCGAATCGCAGATCGCTTGTGACTCCGGAACCTCTGCCTCGAAGTTCTTCTCACGCCAGCTACATCTCGCTCGCCGATAGGCGACAGACCATTTCCTCACAAGGTGGTTATCCTGTCATCAAAGGCGGGGCACCGCCCTCTCCGACTCTCAGAAAGCAAGATGCGTCATTTCCCCAAGAACCTGCCGTCCGGTCGCGGCGAGGCTCGCTTCTCAGCGGCAATGTGCCAGCGTCTCCAATGCGCGGCCACCGCCGCAGCGGATCGTATGCTCCCAGTATATACAGCCTCGCAACTAACGACTCGCAAACCTCCCTGGTCCTCTCGTCTTATTTTAAGAAGAGCAGTTACAGCACCGCTGACGCTTTGCACACTCTACGTCGAGAAGGATTCGTTGACGGCACTTTCCCAGAAGGCCACTTGCTTCCCAATATTACCAGGTACATGCGCTTTTCATCAGCCTGCTATGGATCGCATTTTCTCAAGTTTCTGGGTATCTCGAACGACATGCCGAAATTGACGAGCTGGGATGGAACGCATCAGGATGTTCGCCACTTTGCCCACCACACTGAATCCAATGCCGGCAACATTTTACTCGCCTCGTTTGTTGATCCTCAGGGAGGAGCGGACTCGACTGGCGCCACCGGCACTGGCGTCCCGCTTGTTCACTATATTTCTCTCGATCACGAAGCCAAGGCTGTAGTTCTGGCCTGCCGCGGGACGCTCGGATTTGAAGATGTCATGGCAGACATGACGTGCGATTACGATAACCTAGTTTGGAAGAAACGACCCTACAAAGTGCACAAGGGTGTACATGCTTCAGCACGCCGTCTTCTCTACGGAGACGATGGTCGCGTCTTGGTCACTCTTAAAGAGGCCCTTGTCGAATTCCCCGACTACGGCTTGGTTCTTTGCGGCCACTCTCTCGGGGGTGCTGTAACGGCCCTTCTTGGCGTCATGTTGGCGGAAGCCAATCCCCACGGCCCTGGATTTGTGACGGCTCCGAAAGCTGCCTTCAAAAAGATGCTCTCGGATGGGATTTCCAAGGAGCATAAGTACAACGACACATTTATCCCAGCCGGACGTCGAATCCACGTCTACGCGTACGGCTCGCCAGGCGTCATGTCAGCAAAGCTCCGCAAGATCACCCGCGGTCTCATCACGACGGTGGTGCACGGTGACGACCTCGTGCCACACCTCTCTCTCGGTATCTTGCATGACTTCCAGGCCCTGTCGCTAGCCTTCAAAGACAAGGAAAATGCAACCAAGGCCGAAATTCGGAGACGCATGTGGGCCACTTTCCAGAATAACCTGTCGGACGCATGGCACAGTGGCAACGAGTCGCGGGCTGTCCCCGGAAACGATGACGACAAGTGGATGCTCCCGGCGCTGGCCGCCCTTCGGGAGAACTTCAAATGCGAGAGGCTCGTGCCGCCGGGCGAGGTGTTCGTGATTGAGAGCTATCCCGTGCTGCGCCGCGAGGCATTTCTGCTCAACGGCGAGGGCTTGCTGGGGCGACCGGCGACGCGGGTGATTTTGAAGTATGTGCGCGACGTGGAGACGAGATTCCTGGAGCCGCGGTTCGGCACGAGCATGTTGACGGATCACAGCCCGGCCAACTATGAAAATGCCTTGAACAAGATGAAGCTGGGCGTGGTGGACTGAACCGATGATGATGTATAAATTATGACCGATAGATGAGCGTTTGATTTGACCGATACCAGATGTACGATTTTCTTTCTTATAGTACACTCTTTATACAAGAACATCATTTGTGTTAAAATCCCTGAAGATTCTTTTCGTTAGAAATCCTGAACACCAGTCTCCCCCTCCAACGGCGCAGCGTCATCCGCCCGCGTAGGCTCCTCATCCTCGAACCACTGCTCCTCGGCGTCCATCCTCGCGAGCCCGTCGTACGCCTCGTCCGCGTCCACGGCCGCGTAGTCGAACTCGCGGTCGTCGCCGTGCACGAAGCGGTGCGTCAGGAACGCGCGCCACAGCTCGAGGCCCTGGGCCTTGGACTCGGCGGACTGGTCCCAGACCGCGCCGCCCTCGATGCCCGTCGTAGACAACGTTTCTCGCCCGCAGGACGTTGAGGGCTCTTCGCCATCACGCTTCAGGTCGGCGAGCTTGGTCTCGCCGCGGACGAGGTCGGCCTCGAGGGTGCGGCCGTAGCCCTTGGCGCGGCCCTCGGCCTGCCTCTCCTCGGCGGACTGGTGGCGCCTGACGAGGCGCTCGTACAACACGGGGTCTTGCGATGTCATTCTGTCAGTTGGAGTTGAGAGGGAGTTGAAGGGGAAGATGCGGACCGGCTAGCTCGTGCTCGAGGTTGTCAAAGTAGAGGGGGTGGCGGTCGAGATACTCGCGGCGGCGGTTTTGGACTTGCACTTGGGCGGCGTGGGCGCTGGATCTGGGGGGCCGCGGGATGGGTTTGTCGTCGTTCCTGCTCGGTGGGTTGGGATCGGACATGATGGTGATGTTGTTGGTGGGATGGATTGGTGGGTTGGCTGCTCACGATGATGTGGGAACTAGGTCGGCAGGTTGGAGCGATCACTTTGGTTACAACTAGATGCCTACCTAACACAGCTGCTATTGCATCCAAGAAACGGCAAGCAAGGCAACAAGTTTAAAATAAATAGTCTTCTCCCTCTCGTCTTTTTTCCCCCCTCTCTGCTGCCCTTGCTGTTGCGCCAAGTTACTCTGACCTACGTCCTTGTCAACTAGTGCGTCGTACCCTGTAGGCTGCACTTAGAAGTATCGTAATGAACGACCAAACATGAAGACTCAATAGCACCTCTGTACCTAATCAAGTCCCATTTACCACTAACGAGCGTGTCTTACCAGCTTTGTGTGTCGCGCTTGTATCTCGCTTCAATTGTGCTCCTTCCGGATGGAAAATGTTCTATGCAGCCCGTTTGTTGCTGCCTGCCAACACTAACAAACAGAAAACAATAAGCGCTACACTTTCTTTCCTTCAGACAACCAGCTTTACCAAAACAGCACCACTATTATTCACTTCATCCATCAATTAGCCAGCTAGAAAAAAAGTCAATCTTCCTTAGTCGTTCTTCTATCTACGCCATGGGTAACAATATCTCCCAGCCGTCCCGCTCCCGCACCGAGCTACTGGAGGAGAGACTACGGAAAGCGTGCGCGGAACACCAGAGAATACAAGCGATCCGCGGCAGGAGCAGTAAGCTTATAGATGAGAATAAGAAGATTATTAGGGCCTACATCGCGGCATACGAATCTGGGAAGCCATTCTTCGCGCGAGAGACGATTGCCAGTCTGGACCAACAGCTTGACGCGGCCCGGGAGGCAGGCATTCCGGAGGGGAAGGACGGCATCATCACCCTCAAGGATGTTGTGGATCGTGAAGTGAGTTGGCCATGTACAAATCCCAATTCAAGAATCGAAGGATGGTAGGTGCATCCCCTCCCGTCTCATCGCTGGGTGCGATGCCGTCTGGTTAAGCCCAGGCTTCCTAACACGCACGCGAACTTGTTAGTGACAAAATATTCGTGCATTACACTGTCACTCAAGATATAACGCACCCCTCTGTTACCAACCCCAACCCTCATATGAACGTTCCCTACCCCATCACCGTCTATTGGGAAAAGTCCGAGAAGCCTTCCGGCTGGCGGCTGTCCGACCTCGAGGAGGCGTTCCGCGAGCACCAGGAATCGTGGAACAAGAGTGCTACGTGTCGGTCCCTCATAAAAATTCTCCAAGAATCGGCAGCCAAGCTACAAATGCCTATCAAAAAGGTCGTCTGCTTTGACCTTGGCGGCCTCGACCCCAGGACGCTTCATGGAGAGTTCTTTGACTGGATGCGGCGCTCCGCCACGCAGCACGCCGCCGCGCTCACTATGGCTAAGACGCTGTCCGAGGCACAGGGAGGCGTCGAGGCCAAATGCTACACGCAAGATCCTGCGTACACATCCGTCGACGAGCAGCTACTGGCCGGGCTGGGCTTTGAGGTCCTTGGGGACCCAAAGGGCTTCCTTGAGGTCGACGAAAGCACCCTCGTCTTCGCCGTCCAGCCCAAGATGCCCGTTCGGCAGATTGTTGCCGACTTGGCGAAGCCGGCGGCTATGGTCTGGGGAAAGATCGAGGCGAATCGTGACGGGGAGATTTCCAGGGATAAAATAGATGAGGTGTGGCTCTGTGGATTCGGGATCGGGTATGTACACTCCAACTTGACCTTCTAGTTAGGGCTTGTCACTCTTTCGAGCCAAGTTTTCCATTTGAAGCTAATAGGACCTACAGGCCGTGGGCAGAGGATGAGGGTTCGACGCGCGTCACAGCAATGAGACCTTCCTACAGTTATTCCAAGTTCCCGAAAGATAAAACTAAATTCTTTCGGGGCATTGGCATTTATTTCAGAAGGGAAGATTCGGAATAGGTAGGCAAGATGGACTGCCGTTCATCTACACGCCAAGGAAGCGTATGTTGAACCAGTGAATATGGAACATCAGTTGCATGGACCAACACGATTAGGAGGAATTAATAGAATCCTAGTCACGGAGAATTTGTATTCAAGATAGCCTTATTGTACTTTGATCAGCCTTAACATAATAATACAAGAGCGATAATATTTTTCTTTATTTGAGGGCTTTATGGGGACCGAAAAACCTTGCACAAGTACTGGGCATAACGACCAGACGCAGATGACACGCGGCTGGGCTTGCGCACGAGGGCCGAGCAAAACAGCCAGCAAGAACAAATCCGCCGCTGCAGTATCCATGGCTGGCCAATGACCGATCGGCCTTGACGCCCGGCCGGTCAAGCCAACATCTCGGCTACCTTCAGCTCCCGGAGATGGGCCAGCCCGTGGCTATGCGCGGCTTCTCAGTAGCGGAACGCAACCGCCTGGGCGCGTCGGTTCCGCTAACCCGGCGGCGACTGCGCTTGGGGGGGGGGGGGGTTTGCATGAAATACGACCCGTGGTGTGGGCGGGGGCGCTTGTGCGTGACAACAGAATCTGAATCAAGGCTCGAAATTTCTTATTTTGGAAGGCCAGCTGTCCTTGTGCTGTTCTTTGATAACCGTCTCGAGCGTGGCCCGTCGTCCGTTGTACGTCGTCCGTCGTCCGTCGCCCGTCGTCCCTGTCGGCATGAAGCTTGCCCATCTCGGACCTTGCCGTCCAGTTCAGAGACAGTTCAGGGCTGCTGAGCGTGAAATTTGCCAACGCTATTCACATCGGGACCGCCAACACTGCATGAACTCGGTGGCCGGGGTATCGGAGCCTGCAGGGCTGCCGCTGCCAGTTGGCACGACGACGGTTTGATCTCAACACTAATTATTAAGCTGGCCGGAGATGCCTAGGCCCGGTTCCACAAACAAGGGGCTGTACGGTTAGTCAATCCAGAGAAAAACTTGCCGCCGCCTGAACACGACCAAAATTACCCTTCAAAACCAACTTGGCGGAAGACCTTGATTCATGCGCTGGGGCCCGCCCGAAGCGGGGGAGCGAACAAGCCCCCCCCGGGGGCGGGGCGGCATCATCTATACGATGATCCAACTTCGCTGCAACGTTCAATCCCAAAACGCTTCTAACCAGACGGTCGGTATCAACTTAGAAACAGCGGCGTCTTTCGGCAAAGTTTGTCGTGCCTAGAGGGAGGCGCCGGTGTAGCAGAGGGTTGTACACGACGACTCTCACAGAGCAAGAGTGGGTGAATATGAGGGGCGCGCGTCTATTCATAAGTACAAGCGGTCCTGTTGCGGAACAAGCCAAGGTTAGCATAGGAAAGCATGGAAGAAGCAAACAGTATCCTTGTTCGCGTTCCTGACCTGCATAACAGCAATCTCATCAAGGTAATCTCGATATTGTGCCTACTCAAAAGTCTACCGTCAAATTCTCTTCATGGTTATAGTCTCGAATTACATGTAGACGCAACATGTGTGCAATAGTAGCAACCCCTCACCCACGTCGAGTTCCCTAGACTGAGAGGAACAATGCAGCAAGGGGTCCCTGGCGTCTATACGGAGTCGCTATTGAGTGATTGGATGTTGCCGTGCTGATCGCTGTCTTGGCGCAGTTCACATCTCCGGGCTTGCGACTGACTAGTCGCGTGATTACCTCCGAGACTCAACAACTCTCGTGGGATGCCCATAGCTAAAGGGCCTGGGCCCAGAGTGTAAATTTGTAAAGGGCCGTCCGCCGCGTCAAGCAACCTCCCCCCCCTCCCCGACTGGTGAGTGATGTTTGATAAGCGACCGAAAGGATCGCCAAGAAGAAGAGAAGAAATCAAAGGGGAATATGAGTCGGTCGTGTCGTCACCAGCCAATTTAGAATGGAAACCCTTGTCTGGAATGACTCGGCCATCAGGCCTTGCCGACGGCAGAAGCAGACCATCCCTCGACAGAATCGTGAGCCCAGGGCTGCGAATCTTTCTTCAGAGTCAGCCTGCGTCTCCCAGCTCGGGATTCGCGAGAACACAATGGCTTTAAATTACCAATTTCGAGAGCTCAATGCAGTTGAGGTCCCTCAAGGGGTCAAAACTCTAGACAGCTTCACCACGACTATAAAGAAGGCTGAACATGCCGTTGACAACTCACCTTCTCTCTCCTCATCAGCCTCCAGATCAAGACGCACTGCACCCTGGCCATTTTCTCCTCACCACTTGTCACTCGTTGCTTCCCTTTCAACCTTGACTCTTCACGATGCCTTCCATCTCCAAGATGGCCGCCACGACGCTGGCCTTGACGTCGGCCGTGCTCGTCGGCGTCCCCGGGGTCTCGGCCGCCGCCATCCGCGACCTTGAGCAGGCCGAGTTCTGCGGTTGGGAAGCGGAAAAGGAGCCGGCCGCCGGCGCGGCGAGACGCCAGAGCGCGCAGGTCCCCCAGGACATCCTCGACCTGTTCGGCCCTCCGCCCAAGGACGGGGAGCAGCAGCAGCAGCCGCCTCCCGCCGCGCCGGCAGCCCCTCCTGTCCAATGGGAGCTGCCTCCGCCTCCGGCCGACGACGGCCGCATGCTCAAGGTCGGCGTCTACATGCACGTAGTCGACGATCCTGAAGACAAGACGCTGACCGAGTTTCATCTCAATGTACGTTGCGTTCCCCCCTCCTCCCTTCCCTTCGCTTGTCGTGGCTGTACTAAACCAAGAAATGCGTGTCATCTCAGCGCGCTGACTTTGACCGGCAAATCGTCGCCTTGAACAAGGGCTTCGCCCCTGCCAACATCTCCTTCCACTTCCTCGACGCCGACTGGAAGCGCGCCAAGATCCAGGGCCACCCGATGCGCATGCCGCTCACACAAGAGCTGCACCGCGGCGACCGCAAGACCCTCAACCTCTACTGGCGCACGGCCGGCCCGACCTATGGCGGCACAACGCAGACGTTTGTAGGGAGCCAGAACGAGAAGCGGGACGGCATGTACGTCAACGTCGCCACGGTCCCCGGCAGCGCCCATCCCGTCTGGAACCAGGGCAAGACGGCCGTCCACGAGGCCGGCCACTGGTTCGACCTCGAGCACACCGAAATGACCAACCCTGGCGACTGCGAGTGGAACTGGATGAACAAGCCCGGCTTGAGCAACGAGTGCGTCTGCCCCCCTTGATGTGATGATACAGGACAAGGCTGACCCGAGCAGAACTTGCGGAGCTAGATGTGACCATAACTACATGAGTTACGGTACCGAGTAAGTCCTTAGAGCCGATTCCTGCAAAAGCAGTTTGTGATTTTGTTGCTTGGTCTAACACGTCATGCAGCGAATGTCTGTATGAGTTTACCCCCACGCAGATCTCGACAATGCGAGACTTTGCAATCCAGAGGCGTGGAATTTAAAGCAAGTCACTCAGACTATATCCGGCGCGAAATTCGTTTGGGATAGGCCTGGATTAATTTCGAGGCTATAGCTTGCAGTTTCCAGCTTGAATGTCAATGCCGATGGCTTGAAAAAAAAGCCCGTTCTCATAGGATACATCTCAATTACCATTCATTCATACTTGGACAAACGGTAAAACTCGTGAGGCTGGCCATAGTAGAGCTCAATGACGGGCTGAAGAATTCGACAAAAAGGCTACTGGCGAGCACCCCTGTGCAGCGGCGCAACGTGCGGGCTTGGTTGCGGTGCCTGCGCTGTGCAGCAAAGTATCCTGGGGAGGAATAGCGATTCGGAACGGCGCGGGCGACGATCGCTAACTACGTTAGTTGGTTAGACATCCGCCCGTGTTCATGCGCCCCGTAACTGACAGCGGCCGGGCGTTTTGACAGCGGCCAGATGCATGGTCGAGATAGAGTTTCGCTTGCTCCCGAATAATGGCCTGATCCGGCAAGGGAGAACTTCATTCACTTGCTGTCAATCGTCAGTGAGCCGACCTGTCTCCCATGAGAAAGGGGCCGCGGGACAGTCCGCGGGATCCCTGCAAAGCAATCAGACACATGCCAGGCAGGCTATTGCCGGATACTAACAAAGAGCACAGACATTGCTGAGGCATCTGGCGGTGATGCCCAGTCAGTTTCTTTTTGCAGCAACCACAACATCGACGAGGATATAGCTCAAAGAATGCCGCGTCGAACTGCTCCGGCCATCCTGTTCATCTGCAGGAAGAATAATGTTCAGTTTCTGCAGATAATATCCATGCGAGTCGCCTCGTCTGCCTTGGCTGTTGAGGGAGGGAGTCGCGGTCAAGGTCAAGGGACACCACGGGCTCGCATTGCATTAGCGTGCAGCAATAGTAGACGCCCAGGTATCACAGACGCGGCGTCCTCTTGCTGGTCGGCATAATTTTTTCTGTTGAATCCCTCCACAAAGAAACGTGTCAGAACTCACATTTGCCTTGGCGAGTGACACGCAGGAAAACAGGCGTCGGCCCCTGGATCAGCTATGTCTACTACGTTTGTATGATAGCCAGGCCTGTAGGCGGTAGTTAGTTGTCCGGTGTCGCACTGCATCCGATGGCTCGGGCAAAAAGGCGATGCAACCCGGAGGATAGAACGGATGTACTCCAGTACAGAGAAGAGGCGCGCCCGCAAAAAGTCTGCAGACTGCATGTTTCATCCAGGCAGGCCTGTGGCAAACTTTGGTTCTTTGGGTTGAATTTCTCTGGTATGACAGTCTGACGGGCCTTGCCGTGTGACAAGGACAAGGGTTAATCCAGACCGGCGAGGTGGTTGCACGTCTCCTCTCCTCCTGAGAAAAGGCTGTGCACATGCCATCGCCACGGGAAATACCCATTTTTACAGGAATGCGGCGTGAATCGAGATATGAGTATAAACGAGACTGGCGGGTCTGGCCGGTTGATTAATAGGGCCATCTTGCCATCTCATTGGCGCGTTTCCGCCTTGTAGCCATCCTGGCCCTTGCAAGAAAGACAACTTGACTGGCACTGTTGGGGAACTTGGGATTTGCGAGACGGAGGGCCCTTGTAGTTTCAACCTGGAGGCGGCGGCGCATGCAGGGGTCTCGAGTCAAACGGTTGTCGGAAAAGAATTAGGCAACCTGATGACTGGGCAGGTCTGGACTGCATCGCGCTGGGCTTGGTGTGTTGTGTGCTGGGTGCTGTGTGCTGCGTGTTGCTTGCTCTTGTTGTGTGATGATGGCCAAGCCACGTCGGAGACTCGGGACCTTTTTCTTTTCTTTCTTTCTGAGAGTTAAGCGACATTGCCTTTCCGGACCGGTAGCATAATGCGACATGTGGCTCTGCATGAGTGTGCGTGCATTGTTCTTTTGTTGCCTTTACCTATGCTGGCCGCATGCAGTCAGTGGTTAGTCGAACCAGCTGAGCCGTAGATTTGTTTGTTTCCAACTTGCAGGCCCAACGTTTCGTTTCGTTTCGTTTCGTTTCGTTTCCTACCGGCCGATTTTCAAAGCTTTCTCGTTTTCATTTCTTCATTTTCGCTCCCCTTTTGTTTCTGTTAGTTACGCCTGGCCCTGGTCTCACAATCATCTCCCTGGGTTGCCTGGCTTCGCGGGATGAGGCCTGGTTTGCCAGCGTGCATCAAGTCGAGGCTATCGTTGCGCCGGCGCAGCACCATGCCGGGCGCCTCGAACAGCTCATCGGCTGGAAGACTGAACGACGATGAAACAGAGGCATCCTCGTTGTCGGGCTCGAAGCGGCAAGCCCTACGGCAACGTCAGTCACAAGCGGCCGGACCACGATCCAAGAACGACATCGAAGTCAGCACCATCGAGGTACAAGAAGCAGCATCGGCATCAGGCTCACCTCTGCCAACACCATCACCATCAATGTCAACCGCCTTGGATAGTATGCATGGGTCACCCGGGCCCAGACCCAAGTCGACGCTGGGGTTGATGTCTGTTGAAGCCGGGGTGGACAGGGCTAAATCTGCTGGGCAGGGGGGAGAAGAGGCTGAGGCTTCAGCAGCCCGCGCCACTGAGAAGAGTGCTTTACCCGCTGAAGAGCCCACGCAAAGTGCTGCTGTTGCGGATTCGGCCTGGGCGACTTTGGCCTCGTCTTCGGCGTCTTCAGTGTCCTCAGCTTCTTCCTCAGCATCAGATTCCCCAGCGCTTTTAGAAGCAGTTCCAGTGACTTTAGCGCCCATCTCAGCTCATCCAGCGCCTGCTTCAGCATCAACTCCAGCACCCTCTCTCCCTGTATCGTCCCCGCCCGGCCCTTCCTCAGCGTCCCTTGCCGCCCCAACCGCCTGTAATCCACCCGCTGACGACCAAGTTCTCCACCACCAACGTCTCGACCTTCAGGACCGTCTTCAGCGTCTCTCTCAAGATCCTCTCTATTATTACGATCCCACCCTGCTTCCTTCACCATCGGCCCACGACAGGCACAATTCGGGTTCTCGAGTCACCGCTCCGACGCTACACAGTATCTTTGAAAACTTCAGCACCGAGCCCTTTCGAAAGCTGCGCCCCCCCGAGCGCTATCCCGGCGAGCACGGGAACCCCTACACAGATCCCCGTGTCCACCCTCTCCACGCCCCCATCCACCACGCCTCCTCCTCCTCATCAACTCCCGCAACATCACCGCCGCCTGCGCCATCAACCTCGACACGCAGCCGCATCCAGCCATCCCAAACCACATCCGCCGTCGCTGTCGCCGCTGCTGCCGAATCTTGCTCCGAACCCTCCTCTCGTCTTCCCGCTGCGCCTCGGCGATCCAGCGGCTCCGGCCCTGCCATCCGCCGGGTCAAGACGCCGCGCAAGGCGCACTTTTTCCTCGACCCTGCCCCCGAGTTCGACGTACCTTCGCCTCCCACCATGGGTAACGCACGAAAGATTTGGGTTCGCCGGCCCGGCGCCTCCCCCACCCTCATCACCATTTCTGAGGATGATCTCGTCGACGATGTCCGGGACACTATCCTCCGCAAGTACGCCAACTCGCTTGGCAAGACGTTTGATGCTCCCGACCTGCATCTCCGCCTCTATCCCCGCGATCAGAGAGACCGCCTGCTGCAGCCCGACGAGCACATGTGCCGCACCCTGGACAATTTCTATCCTGAAGGCCAGACGGTAGAGGACGCCGTTGTCATCGATATACCACGCAGGACCCCAAAGGCCTCTCCGTACCCCTCACAGCACGAACACCAGGGTCGCCAGCACCATAACGTTCCCCACACAGCCGCCGCGATATACTACACCGAAGACGGTCGGCCGCTCGAGTCTGGCGAAGGCTATTTCCCTCCCGTCGGAGCTCTACCCTCGCCGCACATGCAGCTCGTCATGCCGGCCGCCGACCACCACGGTGGTCCCCCACACTCCATCGCCGTCTTGGGAACCGGGCATCTTCCCACCATCCCTTCACCCGGAGGGCTGCGCCCTCGTGGCCATCGCGAACAGACCGGCCGGCCTCGCGTAGCGCGCACGCACACGCCCTCATCTGCCATGAATGGGAGAGATGGCAATTACACCCACGGTACGCACCAATATCGACCGCGGCTAGACCATTCCTGTGCTCATTCAAATTCTTCAGATCCCATCGGCATGCCACCTGACGGTATGCCCATGCTATCGCCCGGCCGTGAACACATGTATGCTGCCTCTGGCCGCATTGGTATGGCATCGCCCCGACTGATCGAGGCACGAGCAGCCAGCACGCGACCGAAGCGCCGCAAGAATTTCGATTATAACGGGAGTGGTGTCGCTGCGACGGTGCCTCCGATTAGCATCCTCATCGTTGAAGACAACCCCATCAACCTGAAGCTGCTGGAAGCCTTCGTCAAACGCCTCAAGGTACGCTGGCAAACGGCCACCAACGGACGAGAAGCCGTCAAGAAGTGGCGAACCGGCGGCTTTCACTTGGTTCTCATGGACATCCAGCTCCCAGTCATGAATGGTCTCGAAGCCACTCGTGAGATTCGCAGACTGGAACGCGTCAATTCGATTGGCGTCTTCTCCTCGGTGCCCACCACACCCCAAGAGGAACTTGCACTCGAATTGACCGACAAAGACCGCCTCGAAAACCTCCACAGCTTCAAGGGCCCAGTCATCATTGTGGCACTCACAGCCAGTTCACTGCAGAGTGACAGACACGAAGCCCTAGCGGCCGGCTGCAATGACTTTTTGACAAAGGTATGTGCCGATCCCTGCCCCCTTTACTGTCAGCGATTATTCATGCTAATTCTCTAGCCCGTCAACTTCGTCTGGCTTGAGCGAAAGGTCACGGAATGGGGCTGCATGCAGGCTCTCATCGACTTTGACGGCTGGCGCGCCTGGAAAGACTTTGCCCTTGCCGAGGAGGAAGCCAGCCAAAAGGCAGCGGCTCTCAAGAACAAGGCTAAGAAATCTCGTTCTTCGCTTGTTGCTGATCCATAGGTTGCGCACCCGGGCTTCTTTGATTTGGCGCCCAAGAGGATGCCAGTATGTGCATGTTGGGGAGTTTGACCTTCTTACAGTGACGGGAGGATATGTGAGATTTGAGAAGCATGGTTTATTTACAGTTTGATACCGGACTTTTAATCCTATTTACAGTTTCGACGTATATAGCGCTTCATACTTCAGAGGGAATCGGGTACAGTGAGCTGGGTGGCAAAGACCGCATTGATTGCTTTGGAGGCACGATCGAAGACTCTATGGGAATATTCCCCACCGTCGCTGAAATGAAATACAATTGAGCGAATTAATTCAGTCATTCTTGCTTTATCATTTCTGTTCGTGCCGTCTTTCAACTGCAGCGCGCAACAACGCTCCATCAACAACGGTCGCGGAAAATCAAACCGCCGCGCCGGGCGCAGGCTCCACCCTAACTAAATCTGGTCGAAAGCTCCAACCACAAATTCTCCAAAGCAATGCACACAACCTCTGATCCAGGAGCTATCGACATCAATTGACGGCCCCTAACATGCTCGCATCGTCATAGACTCTTTTCCTTGTCACAATACCCTCGTGTTTTCTATTTCTTAGCGTTTTCTATATTCCCTTCCTAATGCCTCCTCGAGTCAGCGCCCGCGCGCCAGTCGCCGCGGCGGATGCTCTTCTCCTATCCACGAGCCGGCCGCGTGCCGTCGCTGCCGCACCACAGACCTGCGCCTTCTCCGCGACGCCGTGCCGAGAGAAGAGCAGCGCCGCGCGGCGGAAGATGTTCGCGTGGATTCACAGCGCCAAGGGCCGTGTGCTCGCCAATAACAGCGGACCCGGGACCCTGAGCGGCCAGCCGGACGTCCCCTTCCCCAACAACCCGCTGTTCCGCAGCGAAAGGGTCGTCAACGACGCAACCAAGCATCTCATATACCAACGTGCCACGCAGGAGGGGCAGGCGCTCAAGGCCATTGCGGCCGAGATGGGCCTGGACGTTCGTCGCGTGGCGGCTATTGTGAGGCTAAAGGAGGCACAGAAGCAGTGGACTAATTCGGTGAGTTCCCTTGTGCTCTTCACTATTTCCTTACTTTCCCATCATCCCTCCAGAGAGCTTGCATGATGAAATTACTTTTTTAAAATTTTTCGATTAGTCTTTAAGACATCAAAATGGTTAAACTTTTACGACTGACTACAAGCTATCCCACACCAATCGCTTGCAACATATGGTACCTTGGAAAATTGCTAACCCAAGACAGGGCAAGAAGCTCGCCACACCATACTCCAAGGCCGTGCAAGGGCTGCTCCCAAAATGGGGCTACTACCCCGGCGAGCCGCAGCAAACGCCGTTTGAGCCCGTCAACGACATCCACGTGCACCGCTACACGATGCAGCAGCTGTTCGTGCCCGTTGCCGAGTCGACCGAGTTCACGCGCGAGGACGCCGCCGCGGCCTTTTACGACAACATGCTGTCCGTCGACAAGCGCTCGCCGCAAAGTGGCCTCATCGACATGGAGCGCCGGAACATTGCTAAGAAGGGCTCGCGCAAGGCCAACTGGCAGGCGTTCCAGGAGGCGGAGCGCCAGCGCGAGGACGAGTTCGCGGAGCGCCTGGCAGCGGAGCAGGCGGCCTTGGAGGCGGCCACGACGCTCGTCAAGTCGGACCGCTACGAGTTCCGCTTCCGCGAGATGAACGCCGATGACGCAGGCACGGACGGGCGGTCGCACAAGGGCCTGGGCTGGCGCTACGGCGCGCCGCACATGGACCGCAAGCGCGGCATGATCAAGATTCCCAAGACGGTGCCGTAAGCCGGCGGCGAGAATGGGATATGTGTACTTGTATATATATTTATGTAAAAAGTGGCTGGCGAGCGCGGCATTGTATATTAGACATGTACAACAGGTGAATGGGTCCACGCAATATACTGTTCATTCCAAGTCTTTACGCAGACTCTCCGCATACTCAAACCGGCCGTGATTGCAGGGGATAGGACGCCGGTTACTCTCACCAGTCCAGCGTCTACCATGCATTCTCCGGCCTGGCCTCGACGCGCACACGCGGGCTCTCCATGTACGTCGGCAGAATGCCGAAGTAGACTGCCATTGCGCCCGCCACCCCCGTCGGACCGTCCAGCCTCCGCCTCGTCACCGTCGTCGTCCTCCCCTCGCCTTCGAGGAAAACGTACCCATCCCCCTCGGCATCGGTACTACCGGCCTGACTGCGGATGGCAAGCTCCTCGTCGTGCACGCCCACCTGCCTGACGCCCCGGACGGGCATGGTGGCAAACGGGTACGGCGGCGACACGGGGCGCGGGGCCCCGGGCCATCCAGGCATGGATGAGGTCCTCGGCGGCGCGCCCGGCGGGCTCGTCCTGGAAGAGGAGGTGGTCTCGCCAGCGCTCCCTGGGGACGGAGACTTGCAGGTAGTAGCCCTGGGGCGTTCCGTTGTCTGGGGTGTCCGTCGTGGACCGCAGGCGGAGGGCCTTGCCCAAGATGCCGCGTGCCACGGCGGAGGGCTGGTCCAGCGGCAGTGGCTCCGCGAGCGAGTACTTGGCCGAGCCAACGTCGACGAGACACCGTCCGCCGGCCGTGGTGACTAGGAGCAAAATGTGCGTCGGCCAGATGTTGACAAGGTCATGCTGCTGCTGGTGCTCGGCGCGGGTGGCGGGGTCAAAGACGACGCGGGCCTGCGCCGTCTCGACAGCAAAGCCGACGGCGCGCAGCGCCTGCGCGAGCAGCGCGTTGAGCTCCAGGCAGTAGCCGCCACGCAGGCTGGTGGCCATCTTGTCGCAGGTGGCTGGGAGGCGGATGGAGCAGACGGGCTGCTCGCGGCCGCCGGCGCCGTCGTCGGGGAGCTGGTAGTGCAGGCTAAGGTTCTCGTAGGGGATGCTGCTGAGGTGGGCCTTGACGATAGACTTGAGGGTGGCAATGTTGGATTGGATGGTGCCGGGCTCGATGCGGAGGCTGAATGCGTTTGAGGTAGTTGGCGAGCTGGGCGTCGTTGAGACACTCGGGATGAGTCTGGTCGATGGTCATGGTGAGGTGAGAGTGGTATGGATCGCAAGATTCCTTCACGAGTTGTTCAAGAAAACACAAAAGAAGACATGGTATTCTGCTGGAAGAGCAGCCATCTGCATCGTTTATACGGCGCCATCGCGCTCATGGCCAGCCTTGTGTGGCTGTTCTCGTTTGGTCGCCGCCAACGCTCCAGCATGACGAAGGCTTTCCAGGCAACCTGTGCAGTCTACTGCCGAAACGAGTAACGGAACGGGGTGATACGTAGCGCGAGCACGTGGATGAAAAGACGGCGTCAGTTTGATATTCAAGCCGCGTTAGTACTGTGTTGATTCATGTCGTAGCCCAGCCTTGTCGTAATAAGGCGGCGAATTGGCAGCCGAGCAGCAGCAAGAGCAGAAAGCCTAAAACGGATTAGTACCGGGAATGGGCAGTTCCAGACCGCTCTAGCATATGTAATGCCCCAGTCCTGATGCCAGGTAGGTACGGGTGGACGGACGATACAGTTGAAAAAAATACCAGAAAGAGGAGGAAAATGTACGGAGAAATACAGAAGCTAATCCAGAAGCATGGCAGAGAAGAGAGAGCACAGAAAATAATTTGGCCAATGTGTTCTGACATCTCCAATTCATGCATTATCACCAACGCCATGCCACCCAAGGTCTAGCGCCTCTTTGACGTCACAATCCAAGAGGGCCCCGAGCTGAGCTGTGGCTGCTTTTTGCAGGAAAAATCCAAAATCAAGGCACGACGAGACCATCCCACCACCAAAGCACAGTCACCACCCAACCGCCATTTCCATTTTCCCTCCTCCATCTCTCTCCCCATCCGCCTTCACTCGCGACGACGACGACGCAACACCAACCGCAGCCATGCTCAGCCGTCTCAACATCACCAAGGGGTACCTCGCCTTCTCCGTCGCCCACTTTCTGCTCTTCGTCCTCGGCCTCACAATCATCGGGCTGTACGCGACCGACGTCCAGCGCGCTCGGGAGGTCAACAGCCACCTCGATTCCAAATGGGTACGTCTCTTACTATTCACAGCCAAGCGCGAGACATCGAAAGAGGGAAAAAACAAATCACTAACAAGCCGATGCGCTTCTAGATCTTCGCTGTCGTCGTCGGCTCCCTCTCTAGCGTCACCTGCCTCGTGTACTTTGTCCCCTTCGTCTTCCACGCCCGCGGCATCGTCGCGCCCATTTGGAACCTGGTCCTCTTCATCCTCAACATTACCCTCTTTGGCGTCTTTGCCAATGTACGTTTGCCCCCCTCCCCCCCTCTCTCTTCTTGCCATCCCCAGAGGGGGGAAGAACAAAACTTGCTCGCTAATCACGCAACCCGCCAGCTCTTCCTCCATGCCAAGGCTAGCAATGGCGCCGTCAAGCGCATGAAGAACGCCATCTGGGTCGACCTCACCAGCGCCCTGCTCTGGCTCCTCGTCGCCCTCGCCTCCGCGGGTTACTGGTGGAAGCACCGCGATGTCCGCTCCCGCTTCACCGGCCGCGCGCACGTCTAAGCCTGCCTGCCTGACATTCGTGTCGAGGTCGTGGAAGCTAGCTCGCGCTGGCTCGATCCCCCCAAGCGAATCTGTTTCGAGATACCCTCTATCAGCCAACAACTTGATGATTTAGATGCTTTCTCACTTTCTTCTGAGCGATTCTTTGTTCCTGTCCAGCCTATAATACCTCTACAAGCTATTCAATAATATTAATGTTTATCCTTTCGGTTCTAGATTCTCTTCAAGGTTTAAACCCTTGCTGAAAACAGTATTCTACTTGGACAAATTCGAGGCCGAAGTTACTCGAACATGGAGAATATTGTTCGCTCTGCTGTGTATCGTGAACCAACACCCCTTGAACGCAACCGTACGCCACCACGTGTGCTTCTCCATCATTGCTTTCTTTTCAGAATGAGTTTCCCTTGCATAAATGTTGCTCTAGCTGTCGACATCTCTGCATCATCAACTCATCAAGCTCCACTTGGTTGTCCCGATCCCCCACAGCCAACCTCCTCATAATCCTCCACCACATGGCAGCTATGCCTGAAGCGCAAGCTTCCAAAGACTTTCAGGGCAGGTGCAGTGTATCAAACCTCACGCTAGTGTGTGTAGTGCCATCACTAAAGATGAGCTATGTTTTGAGGTACAGACTACCCTCCTCGTCCGAGGACCTGGATGTGTTGGTTCTCCAGCGAGGGCGAGAGAAGGAGAGACGGGCTTGGCCAGCTCGGTGCAGATACTGGATTTCTGGCGAACTGATCTAACTTTGCAGCGTTACTTCGTCTGAAGCTTCCTTGTGCACGTCTCATCTCTATGAGAAGACAGTAACTTCTATTGGGTAATGCTTGTACGTTTGGCAGGCACTAGTTTTTGCCTTTGGTCGCTCGAGACGCGAACCAACACACCGTCGTGAGAGCTTCCTCCTGAGTACTGTAGTCCTGGTGACGCTACCCTCTCAACCCCAGACCCTCTCCTCAAGGGCTTCTGCTTCTCCTGCAGCTATATCTTCCCCTTCCCCCTATCCCTCCTGCATCCTTGTTTCTTCCTCCTACACCATCCCATTCACCTTTGCCCCCTTCCACGCCTAATTCCTCTCCCAAACCGCTACCATGAAGGTCCTCTCCGTTATTGCCCTGTTCTGTGCCGCCGTCGCGGCCCAGTCCACCCACACGCCGGTTGTCAACGGCACCGCGCCCCTCGTCCCACGTGGTTCCTCTCGGGCCATCTGGAGCAAACACAACGAAACCCGCCCCAAGAAGAACCGCACTGACAGTGCTGTCCCCAAGATCTTCCTCGGGAAGAACAACCGCACCACCCTCGTCGACAGGGGCATGCCGCCCGAGTGGATGAACAACACCAAGACCAAGCCGCCAAAGGACAACGCCGCCAAGCCGACTATCATTGCCCAGTTCTAAGTCACATGGAACTCCGCTGAGAGATGGAACCTCGCGAATGTTCGTTTCGGCTGTAAGTGGTGCCTCCTCCATTTCGTAGTGTCAGCTAACACAGAAGTGCTTTACAGTGGCAAGCCCACAAACTAGGATTACGAGGGTCTTTCGTGCGAGGCAAGGTTTTTGAGGCCAAGAAGGATCTAATCTTTGCAATTGACTTGGAAACATGAGGCACAAGTATAGCTTGATCGAAATCCACAATCTTGTTCTCTTTCTTGAATAGATCAGAATGTCTACTCTACGTGTTAGTGTGCATGTTTGACTTTATATCCATCAACACCATAGTCAAATTTCTCCTCCCAGTGGTTGTGAGAAGACGTGCATCTTGACTTCTTTCCGGGGCCATCTGCGGTGTCTATTCGTTCGTCTTCTTGTCCTCTCGGCAGCGGCTGACCTTACCGGGGGCCCCGCCTATCCCCTCCATCACCTCTTTATCTTCTGCCATTTCCTACTATTGCAATGGTAATCATTACAGTATGCAAGACACGTTAGCGGATCAATGACGAATTCCAGATTTCTTTTTTATTGAAAGATCTGGCACAATGCAGGACACTACATCGGCGAGTGGCAGGACAGGCAGATGCTGCCAAATGCTGCCAATGGAGTTTGACCAGCTCGAAGATGTGAAGCTCATGTCGACCAAAGTCAGAGAGCCACCCCTTCCGCCTCACTGAACGGTTGCCTCTCCAAGTAGCGATAATTGGGTGAATAAGCCTCGAAGATGACCTGAGCCCCAGAAAATGTGCGGGCTGGCACGGGGCCTAGGCCATACTAGCCCTCGCGACATCCCATGATTGCCTGGCAGAGAACGATAGGGTTAAGGAATTGCTTTTCGACAACTGCCATACTAGCCTCCTCAAGCGAGTCATCTTTAGAGGTTGTGAATGGCCACTTCATGGACAGTGACCGTCCATTGGTGCGCGCAGAGCTGCGGGCATGGTTGCGACAGATTAGATCAGCTGTGAGCAACTTACATGGCCTGGGCTATGCACACAACGACATCACACCAGCGAAATTCTCAACGCTAATGATAGACCGGTGCTTAAAGATTTGGAAGACTTATCCGGCGGGTGCGTCGCTGCAGACGATAAAGCGGACCATTGGGCGGCACGACAAGGCAGTGATGGTGGCGCGAGAACGCAACTAGCTGGACGCACTCGACGAGATTGAAACATGGCTGCTTGGCAAAGACTGATGGCTTGAAATTCATCGGCTAGCAGTGTGACATGACTGATGTATGTGCTTGTTACATGTCAGTTCAGCCAATGCCCGACGTCGCTGTGGCTTGGTGCAGTGCCTGACCGGCTTGAATGGGGCCCGACATGGACAAGGATCGCAATGTATGCATGCGTGCGGACGGCAGCATGTCGACATCTCATTTGCGATTATTGTTTGCCCTCGTGTGATGAGTGTGCGGTGGTGCGCCGATCGCGAGGCCGCGGCAGACGTCCGTCCATCCTACGGCCGCAAGTCTGTAGCGTGCCGTCCCGTGACGAGACCAGATGAGCACACGGAGATGCATCTCATCTCACAAACATGGCAGCACCGTGCTTTGCCCCTCGTCCTCCGCTTGGTCTGAGGTGCGACCGATGATGCACAGGAGACCATGCAAGGCCAGCATCACAGGTGGTTGTAATCCGCACTGGGGGACTTTCGTGGTGGTCTCGCTAGGGGGTTTTGTGTTTGCACCCAGGAAGTCGACGAGCGGAAACACTGCAGAGGATGGATGAAGGTGCCAGTGCAGGATGCAAGTCTCGGATAGGCTGCGGCTAGTCGAGCATCGAGGTGACAGTGGTGGTGGAAAGTGGCAAGATGAGAGAAGAAGAAGCCATTCGCGGTGAGGCGTCTGGGCGGGCGAAGGCGGGCGCCAGCGGGAAGAGGGTGATGTGGTTGAGGGCGGGCAAGTCGATGGCAAGGGTATACTGTTAACGACTTTGAAACCCCCCGCAAATAAAGAAAGAAAAAAAAAAAAAGAAACGCCTTTTGCGTTTCTTCTCTTGTCTCCTGGTTTCCGCGCCTTTCACTCCTGTTGTCCACTCCTGTCTTTCTCGGCTATTTCAATTTCAGTTCTGACAATCTCCGAAAAAAATGTTTACTGCTTGGAGTTGACCCGCCTGTAACGAACCGGTATAGTGGACACTAGCCCTGTAATAGCAAAGTGCCAGGAATGTTACCTCTGCTGCGCCACCAAACAGCCATAACACCTACAACTCTGGTGATCCGCCACACCACGCTGTTTCACTGAAACCACCACTGCACAAGCCAACCAATTTATCGGCGCCAGTTTTTCGATCTGGTCTGGCTTTTTCGTTTACCAGTACTAGCTGCCGCCGCTGCCAGCTGCAAGTTGCCAGCTGCAAGTTGCCAGCTGCAAACGCCATGTTCTTGTTTGTATATTGAGCCCTTCAATTCTTGTCTTCTTTCCCACCCCCCCCTTATCGACTTTCATCTCTTCCATCACTTTCATCTCTTCCATCCCCTCACCTCCCTAATTCATCTCTCTCGCCATCGTCGCGCCGGTCATCCGCTACATTCCATCTCATGCTGCACCCACCTGCCACCATTACGAGGCTGTGACGTCGTTTTGCTCGCCATAGTGGGCTCCCCGCCATCCCTCGACCCTACACATTTGAGCCGCACACTGCCTGAATCCTGACACAGGGGTCACAGCCAAACGGCCAGCCAGTCAGCCAGCCAGGGCTTTCTGATTTATTATTCATCTCCCTGTGTCCATCTTCTTTCAATCCTTTGTCCCGACTTGATTCTCCTTATTATATACCACTCCCTACTCAACTCACCACTACCATCCTTCGCCAACGTCTCGCCTCAAAGAATGCCGACACCGCTTCTACGCTAGACCGTTGTGGTGACGCACTTATTTATTCCAAGGTTTCTGGCGTTACCCGTTGTATCCGCCATGTCTTTTACACGAGGCCTCAATAAGGCCCAGGGCTTCCTCATGCCCTACCGGAGACCAACCTTTGGTGCCCTCCGCAACACGTCGGAACTCTCCCTCACTTCCGATACGAGCGGCCGCGATGATGCTGCTGCCCCCGATACTGCACGGTCTGCACCAGGCACGCCCGTGATAGCTCCGATGGATAATCCCTTTTTTGCCAACCGTGAGTCTACATGAAGATTCCGTTTCGCCCCGGTCACCAAAGTTCCATTGCTTCTTTGCACCGCGATGGCGTCAGCCAAGTTTACACCTATCATTTCTCATCCCATGCCTCCCTTGTACCTCTAACGGTTGTTTGCTGGTGTCGCAAAAGGCCAAGACGCCGCTGGATCCGCCGGATATTGCGCTCCCCACCACCTACACCCATTTCTAGGCTAGGTTCTTGGGTGTTCTCCCTGATGCGCTCGATCGTCATGCCTCCGCCCACGTCATTTCCGTCACCGCGTCGTGCTCTTCTCCACAAGGCCTCGCCCCGTTTCTTGTACAAAATCCGCTGATAATCCCTTCTTACAGACGGCTCCGAGTCCCCGGCTTGTACATCACCTCACTCTCGTCCCATTGCCATTGAACTACCAAACCCCAGAAAGTTAGGCGCTTCGGGTTATACGCCTACGGAGAGTTTGTCAGCTCGTGGCGACCTACCTGGGTATGCAGTCCTACACAAACTTATATAACCATCCATCCTTCATGCTAATAACGCGAGACAGTGGTTACTTTCCCATGCATGAAGACCCCAAGTGTCGCATTCATCGGCCACATCCATTTCACTCGGAGAATCGCCAAGCGACCTCCGAAGTCAAACTCGACATGCATGCCCCAAGGGAACAAGCCGCTTCAACAGCACCGTCTTGGCACGGCACTCACACCCCAGTATCATCGTACATGCCCTCTGGTCTCTACGACCACCCGTTACCTGTTGGCAAATACTACCCATCCAACTACGAAAGGCGCACGCGCCAGCTGCAGAATCAACGCTCTATCGTTTCAGAGTCGGTCACGTCATATGCCAAGACGGACGCGCAAGGTACCACGTACAAGAGCAACGACGACGCACGACAGCGTCTGCAACAATACCAGCGGGACATGGTTGCACAGGCTTCCATGGCTCTGGGTGGCTCCTACAAGCCAAGCATGCTGCCCGGAAACACGGCCGCCCTAAGAAATCTGCCTGTTCCAGATGCACGATTCGGCCGCCCGACGACGCCACAGCGACCAGTTTCCCCGCAGCTGCAGCCCATGGGCAGCCCTGGTCCGGTGACGCCCATGGACTTGGAAGCACAAGAGGAATACATAACCAAGAACCAGGTAGCGGCCAGTGCAACTCTAGCCCCGCCTGTGACCAAATTTGCACCGCACTCGCTTTGAGTATGCGACCCTTTGACTGCGTTGAATAGCGTTAGCGCACTGCATGACCGGAGTTATTGGGTTTTTCAAAGACAGACAGAGCAGTATGCTCCTCTGTATTGGTTGTTCATTGAGGATATGGAGTTTTGACCACGCGCTTGGCTCACCACGATGCCAAATACCCTCGCTAGATAGTTGCTGATACATGTATTTACTTTAGTCTTTCCACCATCCTAGAGCGTCCTCTCGATTCTTAACAAGATCATCGTAGCGTCTGGTCTCCTGGTCTGTGATGCTCATATTCCTCATTATGCACTCGATCAGCGTCATCACTGATTCCCATCTCTCAGTAGACCTTCTGCCAAACCTGGGGCCAGTGTTGCACAGTGTATAGAAGCCGTCCTTCACAGACTCCTCTAGCAAGTCCCCCGATTCGAGCAGGGCGTTGTGCCGCCTTATACTCCCTCTTGTCGATGGTGTGTGCAAATGGTGACACGCTTACTTGGCTGGCTTTGCTCAGGCTGGTTTTTGGGTCCTCGCGCAGAAGGTCAATATAGGCTAGAGCGTCATTCCAACAAGCCGCGGAGAGGGGCGTTTCCCCGACAAGTTCGCCTTGTTGCTTTGCTATGTCCAGGCTCCCATCACCCATCCTCTACTGTCACGAAGAGAGCGGACACGCTGGTGTAGCCTTTTTCGTCGGCATCAGGAACAGCGGCAAGCAGCATTTCCACAATTGCAAGCCTCTCTTTGTCATCAATGCGCAAGCCGCAGGCAGCAAGCGCGAGAGGGCCGACCCTGGTGTTGCCGAACGTGGAAACGTTGAGCTTGACACCTTTTTCCATCAGAAACTCAATCATCTCCTGGTTACCCCACATCAACGCCGCCATGATGGGCGGAAATCCTTCACACGGCGCCAAGTCGATGTCAGCGCCGGCTTTTACCAAGGCCTCGACTATTTTCCGATTGCGGTACTCTTCTGCGACCAGGAGAGGAGACGTGTGCGTCAAGGCGGTAAGTCTACCGCCGAAGCTGCGCTCGCCGATCTTGTCTTCTCCGTTCGACGAGACGGACCTTGCTGTATTACTTCCAGATCCATCATGGCATTGGCGGCTTCGAGGCCGAGCAGGCTTCGCAAGGCCACCTCATGTTGAAATCGACACCTGCTTCGCTGGCTCTCTCGACTACATCGACTCGGTCGTGCCAACATGCCGAGCGTAGAGCACTCGCTCCGTTTAGACGGAAGTCGCGCTGGTACATGTAGTAGCGAAACGGAATGCTAAGAGGGCGGCAATATTGGAGGTTTTTGAGGTCGGGCGACAAAAAGAGAACGCGCAATTTGGCCAAGTATCTCGTTTGGGAGTTCGTAAATTCGCATGGTGCAGAGGGCGGTGATGAAACGCCGTTGATCTGAAATGGTTTTTTTTTTGGGTGTCTGCAATATACGCAGAGTGTGGTTCCGCGACGTTTTTGAGTGGTGATGTAAGTTGCGAAGTGGCAACCATGAGACGGACATGGTGGCTATATATTCATGTTCGGCCGTCGAATGGCATGGCCAAAGCGAACAAAGCTTGTTCAGCTGGTTACAGAGCGCTTACAACTCCAAAAGAAGCCGTCACACAGTCACACAACACATCATGAGAAGGCACTGGGCAGCCAGGGGTGATGATATCGCAACGCGCGCGCCAACATAGCAAAACAGGCTCCAGGTTGCACTGCGTCTACTCAAGCAAGGCTCTAGTTATTAATCCGTCACCGGGGCTTACTACCCGCCTTCCTATCCTCTCACTCGCCGCCTTTGCCCCTCAACTCCTTTCTCTTCTTGCCCAGCTCGTCCTTGACATCCATCCACAGCCACCGCTGACTTGAGCGCAGCTTCCTCTCTCCAGCCTCGCGTACCAGTATCTCAGCCTGGCCTCGTCAAACGTGGTCCTGTACGCGAGCAACCCCGCCCAGAGGGGCTGACCCTGGACGCACGCCTGCTTCAATGCAAATTGCGCGTCGTACGTGGCTCGTTTGATCAGCCTGCCGAAGATAACCCAGTGCCCCAACATGATGGCGTAGAAGACGGGCGAGCGAAGGTTCGGCCCTGCGAGGTCGGGGTCGACCCGGGGGTCGCTGAGGAGGGCCGAGACGCGTACACGAAAATAACCGTCCAACTTTGCAGCATGTTGCAGGTTGTGCGGCATGTCGTCGGTGCAAGCTTTCACAAGTCTGCCCCCTGTTTTGCTATGCGCTGAGTGAGTTGTTGGTTAACAGAAGCTTTGCGAATGTTGATTATGATGATGCGCCTCATCAGCATTGACGAGTGAGCTTCTCACTTCGAGACAAGGGTCTGCACGCAACACCACCGCCTACTCACTGCAAAGTGAGTTCAACGTGATTGATATTATTTTCGTAGTTTGTCTTGGAATTTAGCATCAAGTAAAGAGTCTCATCACAATGTTGAGCATGATCGCGGGCCGTGCCGTCCTGATCATGTCTGGTGGCTGCCGCAGAAACTATTCACGCCCAACAATAGCCAGCAGAAAGAGAAGAAGTGACAAAATTTTTGATGACATTACAGCGACGCACCCTTAGTACAGCTCAACACCATCTTCTGCCGAGTGCAACCTGGGCCACGGCGTGTAGTCCCAGGTACAATTCACAGCAACGGTGTGTCTCGGCATACATTTTCATATTAACAAGTCTCAGAAAAAAAAGTACCTCACCACACAAAAACCGCCGTCTTCCCTTCCCAGATCTATCTCCAGCAGTCCACGGGCGCGCTACATACAATCCGGAAGCCATGGCAACGCCCTCCACATCAAGCGGTAGAATTCGTCCAAAAAAGCAGGACACGCGGAGTCTGACCGATAATCATCATTCAGGCTCTTGCGGATCAATCCTGCAACAGGATACCACCCTTTTTGCTCGGCCTCTGTTATCCACCTCCTTGAGTACTGCTTGTCGTTGTCCTCGGCGGCCGTTCTCCACCGCTGTGAGGACGGTCTGTCGTCGTCCTCCGCGGTCGCGTTGACGACTGCCACGGCCGCGTTGACGACTGCCACGGCCGCGTGAGGGTTCGAGTGCCCAATGGCCCAGCGGAAGCCCCTCTTCTTGGCCTTTCGGACCTTTTTCGAGCGGAAGAGGAACGATTGAACGTCAAGGTTGCGATCCTCGCGCTCGAGAGCCTGGAAGAGCGGCAAAAGCCTCTTAAGACAGTATGTGTTGACGTTCACGCGGTTGTCATCGTGTAGCAGCCGGACAACTTTCAGGTTAGAGATTTTGCAAGCCAAGCCAAAGTGCGTAAGTTCGGATGGCATCAAGATGACGTTCGCCTTGAACTTCCCGGCGGAGAGCAAGACAGAGACCATTTCATGATCGCACCTTTTGATGGCCACTTCAAGCAGAGTCTCATCGCCGATGTAAGTGGTCGCGGGGTCGGCCCCTGTTAGTAAGAGAAGATTTCTTGCTAGATCGCAAGAGCCATTTTGGACGTACGTCTTCAGCAGCGGTAGGCTCTCATGATCCGGTGGTGGGCTCTCAGGATCGGGTCGTAGGATCTCATGACTGTATCCTAGAAGGTGAACGCTCCCCTCGACCAAAGTGACACAGTCAGAGTCTTTTTCGACGAACATTCTGCCGCGAGGAGCTTCGGTATCGTTGGAGACATCGGGACTCGGCAGAGTCGTGGGAAGTGCCTGGCCGGAGGGTCCCTGACCAAGTACGTGGGTGCTGCCGAGGCGGTTTGAAATGGCGGGAATATGCTCCGTGGGGAGTTGCGTTGGGAAAAGATGCTCCATTCCAGTCGTGATGAGTCGCCGTTAATATTGACGAGAAACTCGGCGAGGAGCGTCGCACTGCGAGAAGAGTCAGCTGGGAAGAGAAACCCGGCCAAGAGAATTCAGGCGTTACCTTTGTAGGCAGCTATTGAGCATAAGCTCCCGGATGATATCGTATGTCTCGATGAGATAGAGTAGGCTGGAATTGGCGGTGCTTATTCTGGGTCGCCTGGCGATGTAGAAGTTGAGGTTGGGAGGCAGCTTGGAACGGGCTGGTCGGGGGAACATTGCTTGAGCGCTCTGCACAATGACGAAATCATCTCTATAAAAAGACTCCCCGTGTTTTATTCTGACACGTCTTAGACTTTGGCATTACCGTCTGTCCTTTGTCTTTCGTCACAAGCTGTGGCTGTCGTGCCAAAGCAGGTTTCAAGTAGGGCTGCTCTTGGGATACTCTCGCCAACTACCCAAGTAACACGCTTCAAAGGCATACGCAACTAGAAAACGGGGGCAAGGAAATCTCATGACGTACAGGGAGGTGCGCGCGCGCTCTTGTCGCAGTCGTGGCAGAGTACAAGACGACTTGGCTTCCCGTGCAACTCTAGCAGTAGTAACAAGGAGGTAGTTCCTTTCCATCGTCGCGGTCAGATTCCAGAAATTTCCACCAATATTTCATACTCTTGTCGGCGCGGTACACTGTGAATCTCGCAGGCGCTTGGTCACGGCGTCAGTCCTCTCTATGCTGGGCCGGATTATCAGAGCAGCGTCGCCTTGCCACGACACAAAGATCGGAGAAATGCAAGGACCAATAGGGTAGTAAAGGGTCAAAAGCGAAAAGGAAATAATGTCTAGAGTTATTGTCCTCGATAGAGTGAGTCTATCGGCGATTGCCTAATACTTCGCCATTCTTCGTTGCAACAGCCCACAACGGATAATTCTGGACAGCTCATGCCACCGATTCTGTACATACCAGACCAAAAAGACATCCTCTATTAGCCAAGAGTCTTCTGTTGTAGATCCAATTCCTGACATCCCCATTCGACGAGGTCTTCCAAGTCCGGCCAACCCTTGTCGCGTATAGCACCGAGCCATTCAGCCTGCCGCGTCGAATTCGGCAAATCCGCCAACCCGATGCACAGCTTGGCAGCTGCGTAACCTGAACATTGAAAGTGGTCATCATCCGACGCCCTTTCCACTGCCTTGAGCAGCAACCAGTCCATTTCCGCGCGGGTTGCTGCACATCCCAACAGATATTCCAAAATGTCTTGCTGACCATTCACGGCTGCAAAGAAGACGCAAAGGTCGGGCAGCGGGATAGTCCAGTATTCCTGTTCAACCAGATACCGTACAATATCCAAAGGTCCGCGGCAACAAGCTTCATATATCGGTGTTGATTCTGGGTAGAGCAATTTGCCATCGCCCAGATGGCTGTCCAGCAGCAATTTCCGGTCGACGTGAGCACTGCGCATCAAGAGGCGGGCACTGTGGTGACGCTTGCAGGCGATTGCGAGATGCAGAGCGCCATCTGTAGAGAATTCGTATCGACCGTCAGGCTCGTTGAGGAGCGACAAGAGATACTGGACCATATCGGACCTGGCGAGCGTTGCCGCCACCTGCAGAACGCCCTTTCCTTTACGGTCCGTAACAGTCCAGTCATGGCCCTCGGCGCCAGATATGAGTCGTACTATATCTACAGCGTTTTTCCTGATGGCATTGAATATCACGCTGTTTGAGTGATTCAACGTCTCATTGGCACACGCGCCGTTCTGTACGAGGAGCTCGACCATGTCCCTGTCCTTGTTGTTGACCGCGATGGCCAATGGCGCCGCACGGGCATGAGTAAGTTTGAACCCCTAATTCCTCGCCCACGGCCACTTATCAGGGTCGAACCACGGGAATCGGACTTGTGCACCGCCTCGGATGGCCTTCCTTGCCACGTCCACATTGCCGGAGCGGAGAGCCCAATGAAGTGCGCGTGCTTCTCCGCGGATGTATGCCCGCCCGGCAAGGTACTCATCGTCCTCGCGTCCTGTTGCATCGACCCTGTGCTCTCTCCGGGGCTCCAAAACCGCGTCAAATCTGTACAAGTATTGATCGACGACCGAGTAAAGGTTACGGTGGCTGCGCGATAGATGACTAATATCTCGAACGTTGTCAAGCAATTCGACAATCAGTATGCAGATGTCGAATGGCATATTTATCAATGCCATGTTGTGTGATATGTTGCTTCCTTTCGAATAATTAATGTAGGGAGTTTATTTTGTTCCGATGTTGTAGTGTTGATGGGCAAAATTGGTGGCTAAAATCATAACGGGTAGAAGGGTTGCTCCGTTGCATCAAGGGGTGCTTCTTGCCCGTTGGTCGCTGCTGGCTATTCTGTTGCAGGGAGCCATGCGAGACACAGAATTCGCGATTTGTGTTCTTTCCTTGAAAAATCCTTTTTCAAAGGACAGAAAGGACAGACCTCGAGGTCATTGTCGAATTGCTGTGGAAGGATTCCACTTCGCGGCGACCTGTGTCGCGAGCTCCTGGAGACCCGCCGCCTGCGCTTCCTCTGCCCAACGTTTAGCAAATATTCGATCATCATACGTCGACAGACTCAACACTCGACTTGCAAGCTCAAAATCGCGATTCATACAAGCGTTGCAGAAGATGACGTTCCTGGCGGTCTTGGACTTGTTGGAACCTATAAGAATGTCGACGTTGCTCAGCCGCTGGTGTGAAAGGGCCACTGTCACTGGCGACTGCCACTCCTCCAGGCACCAGTCTACATCAGTTCGAGCATCGTCGTGCAACAGCTGCACTATCGGCGTGCTCTTCAGCCGGCAGGCCGTCGCAAAGATGGAAAGCGGCCTCGGGCCCGCCGCGCTGTACTTCTTGGCTCCGATGATGGGGCACACACCGACGCCCGTCATGTCGTTCGGGTCCGTCCTAGGGTCTGAGAGCAGCAGCGCCACCATGTCGCAGTTCTGCTTCTGCACGGCCATCCGCAGCGGCGCCACGCCGTCCCTGCCGGGCCTGTTGGGGTCGGCGTGCGGCAGCAGTGCCCGCACGAGGTCGAGTGCCCCGCGGTCCACGGCGTCCAGCAGCGGCGCGTCCTGCTGGCGGCACCAGCCGCCAATGTCGATGCCGGGCCACGCTGCGAGCAGCCGAACGATGGGAAGATCTCCAGAGATCATAGCGTACCTCAGTACGGAGACGCCCATCCAGCAGGTGGCGTTGATATTGGCGCCAGCGTTGAGGAGCAGCCGCACGAGCGCCGCATTGCCCGTGAACACGGCCATGGCGAGCGCCGTCGTGTGGTACGTATGGCTGTTACCCAGCATACCCTTCCAAGAGCCATCAGGTTCGACATCATCCTCGGGGTGGATCTCAAGAGTGGCGTTTACGTCGGCGCCAGCGGCGAGGCTCTTGGCGATGATGCGGCGAGAAGTCTCCCGGTTGGCTTTCGGGAAGCAGGAAGCGGCGCAGAGCGCTCTCGCGCCTTTCGGCGACGTGTCCACGTCGTAAAAATAGAGGTATTTGTCCAGAATGTGCCTCATGCGGCGGCTGGTGCGCGCGAGGCGGCTGATGCTGCCTGTGCTACCGAGAAAGGATGCGATGGCGAGGAGCATCTCCGGAGGCAAGCTGTCAAGGGTTGTGGCGGCCATTCTTCATCAACTATGCCAACTCGAGCAATATTAGCGTTCTTGTTTGACTGAGCAGCCTCGAGCAGAAAAACACGGCGAGACAAGGTGGCCGCTGTAGGCCCCAGGCGGTGCTGCTGGAAGGTCTCGGAACTCACATCGGTCGACAGAACTCGTCACAAAAGTCACGGGCCGCTGCATGCGCACAATCCCCCTAGTCACGAGAAATTCGGGCGGCGGTGAGCCGCACGGTATTCGCGGAGGATCAAGTGAAAAATCTGCGAGAAACGGCATCGGATGTGTAGGTATAGGAATTGCCGTTTGCGACTTTTTTCGCATGTCGAGGGGCCAGTACCCTGCAGGCAAACACAGGACGTGGCGGCCAACAATTCGGCGACTGCTGCAACTGAGGGGTTGCTTGATCGACGATATCCATCGCTGTCAAACGGGAGGGGGCACATTATCAATATATGTGTCAACATGGACAGAATATGTCGTAGATTTTTCCCTTTCCTTTCGGTAGTCCAAAACATTGCCGGTTAAGCGCTGTCAACTCAAGCCGATCTCTATAGATCAGGGGTATCAATGACAAACGCGTGATTTTCTCGCTCACTTTCCTACAACAGAAGTAACACCCTTAAAAGTTCTTTTATGATAATTTACTTTATGTGCTATCCGCTCCATGTATTTCGCCGTCAAGACGGAGATGCGTTTCGGAAAACCATGGACGCTTAATCCCCAACTTTAGGAAGCTAGCAGACATGGAAATATAGATTTGCCAGCGCAGCCAACCGAAAAGAAAGACTATAATCCATTTTCTGAATATTTCTCTTTCGAGACAACTTTAACTATTATGTGGCTCGCATAGTGGTGGTAACGAGCATTGGGCATGTCGTTGTCGCCTTCTGGGCAAGATTATCGTGAGGCATCGCGTTTTTCCATGTTGAGGCAAGACAGGTAGGGGCGCAAAGTTGAGTGGTAAATAAAACATCTTATTAATCTCAAATGTTGCAAATGCAATAACTTAACTTTCAAACATTTTGTTTCTCGAAAAGTTGCACTGGGCATCGTCTGCCTCAGTTCTGGCTTTACCCCCACATATTTCCTGAAATACTACACTGAGCGTCTTCTGCCTCAGTTACAGCCGATAAAACTTTACAAGGATTAATACCGTCATGATCCGCGCAGTTTATGAGCAGACTGCCTGCGCTTCGCTCGGATTGAGCATCTCCAGGACCCTCCAAGCAATAAAAGTCTGCTTGCTTCTGCATGCCTCTCAGCCTGCCTGCGACGGTCTGCAGGGGTTCTTGTGTGTGAGCAGAATCATCGCCAACTAGTAGAGGCGCATCTTGAGTGCCCGCAGCACAAGGCATCCCTTATCTTTGGTAGGTAACTGCCGGTTCATTCGGCCATCGTCCAAGAGGGCGGCCACAAAGCTCGTGGCTCCCCTTTCGCACGCCAGATCCAACGGCGTCTGGTTTCCCTCACAAGGCGCATTTGGAGATGTGTGCGAGCTTTCCAGAAGCATGGAGAACATGGTTAGATTGTTGTGGAGAATAGCTTGGTGTAAAGGGGTGCTCTTCTCAGGACTCCTTGTGCCGAGACGAGACGAATAAGACATCAAAGATTCCACCATATCGATGTCGTTCAGTCGTGCGGCTTCTGTGAGCAACCCATGGCCATTCTCATTTACCACGGTCAAATTCGCATTACCGACGGAAACCATCAACTTGAAAATGTCAAACCAGTTGCTCTTCAGCGCAAGGAAGACGGGAATGTTCGATGTATTGGGGGCGATGTCCACATCAGCGCCTGCTGTAGCCAACATGCCAGCCATGACAATATGCTTCTTGTTCAGAGCTTCGAGGAGAGCCGTGGACTTCTTGACAGACTCCATACGTGTGGTTCAGATTGCAGCCAACCGCGATGAGCTTCTTGGCAACGGTAAAGTTGCAGTCACTGCCAGCCGCCCTTAGAGGTCCTGTGTAATTCTTGTAGAGCTGTTCCTCAAAGAGCGCATGGAAACGCTTGTTTGTGAACATCAATGCACAGATATCGCCCTAATTCGGTAACCATATACCAATCTCGAGCAACAGGTGGTCGGGTAGATTGTTATTGGCGTCCGACTGTCCATCTCGCGATTATTTTCGGGCGGCGGCCGGTTTTGATGCGGCCTACTTTCGGAACCTTTTTCCCTGCAGAGATAGAACATTCGATAAGTAAATACGAGCCAAAAATGGAAGAGAAGAGATTTGCAGCCAAGTGCAAGAAATGACGTCGTTGTTTTAAATCTGGCAGCTGGCAGTTGGCAACTGGCGGCGACGGTCGGCAGAAAACGTTTCAAACGGCTGCTCTTTCTTCTCCGGCTTCAAGATTCCTCGCCTCGAAATTTCCTTGTCAAATTCTCATCTGCCAACAGACTGTCAACGGGCTTTCACGCTGGTTGTAAAGTCGACGCTTGCTCACTCTTCTAAACGTGCAACACAGCTAGATGACAAGGTGGTGCAGTCTGAGGCCCATGGCTGTGGTAGGTTTTGTCGCAGGCAGAAAAAAAAACGTGTCTATTCATTTCACAAGCTAAATTATTCCCCTGCTTTTCGTTTCCTGCGCTGCAGATATTCTAGCTTTAGAATCATATATTCGCTCCTGGGCGACGACCTTGTTCCAAGCCTCTGGGCTCGGGCCCAGAGCTTGGGAAGGATTTGACGCCTCTTGGTTCGGAACCCGGCTTTGCAAAGGTCTTGACGCCTCTTGGCTCGAGACTTGGCTCTGGGAATGTCTCGACGCCTCCTTGAAAAGTCCATCAGGAAGTCATGCATCTTGATGAATCCTCTCCATACAGCAGCCTCGGAAAGCCTTTGAAGCCTTCTTCTTGATATGTGAAACTTGATAGATCTGCACTCTAAAATGAACCCGAGGAGCTCCATTTTGCCCGTGGTATGTGCCTCCTTTAAGGGCCAGCCCAGGAGGCGCTCACGCACTTTGACCCAGTCATTCCCGCGGTGCGCCAGCAGCTCGCCGGCGATGGTGTAGTCCTCGACAGCCGGAGTGCCACTGTCAGGGCGTGGCAGCCAGAGTACACCCGCTCCAGATCGCCCCCGATCCCGATGGTCGACAGCAGATGCTTGACGATATCGTGCCTCTCGCACAGCACAGCGATGACGAGGGCTAAGTCCCAGCCAGGGCCAGTATTGAGGGGACTCGTCGATTCGACCTTTATTATCGAGAAGCAGCTTGACGATGCCCAAGTGGCCCCCATGGACGGCGAGTATAAGCGGGGAGGCCAATGGCCAGGATCGTCTATAGTAATGGCTGAGTTCACCTTGCGCGTCGCGGTTGACGTCGGCGCCGGCGTCGACGAGGAGGCGCACCATTTCACGGTGGCCGGCCCGGGCCGCCAGCGAGAGCGCCTTCGCGTATGGTAGGTCCGATGGCTCCCACAAACCCAGCGACTTGATTCTCCATGTTTGAACTAGGCAAAGTTTTCGGTCCTGTCAGAATGCTCGTCCGTCTTAAAGTCTGAAAGCCAGAGCAACTCCTCCAGTTTAAGCCCTTTGTCACTATGGCTGAAAACGGCGTCGAGATCTAGCCTGCCCCGGCACGCCGCCCAGCCCAATACGCCGCCTCGAGGCTGTCCGGGGCTGATGCCTAACTTGAACAGGGGGTCGATGAAAACAATGTTGAAGGATTTTTTGAGCAGGACCAGGTTGAGGCGGTCTTTGGTAGCGTCAAATTGCTCACCGATGAGGAGCAAGCCGTCGATTGGGAGCTGTTGGAGGCGGGGCGGATCTATTCTCTCCGCCAACGGATTATCGTTGGTCGTCGGATATGAATTCTCCATGGTTGCTGTTTTAGTTGAACTCATGAGTTCTTTCCCGTGAGTGCACATTCTGAGCTTTAAATGGCTGAGAGCGTTGACGCTCGTAACGACCCGGCATGAGAGACACTCTACAAACACTATCTATGACCAAGGAGAGCACCGCTACCTTTTTGCACAAAGTCCAAGTCCTCCCACATCTTTGACACCCCCTACTCTCCCCGGAGCTTGCGGCCCTCTACCAACACCACTGGACCGTGGTACTTGTGCCGCCCACCGGAATAGTAGTTGACCAGCGCCAGCGCCAGCGTGCCGACAAAGATGACCGACGCCCAGTTGAACCCCGCCAGCGTGACCGGATACTCCTCCGGCCAAAACGTCCAGAAGAAGCCCCAGAGCGAGAAGACGACCGCTGCGACGTTGACCGGCAGCCCCCAGCTCCCGAGCGAGAAGCGGGCCGGCGGCAGGGTCTCCGGGTGGAACGCGCGGCGCCACAAGATGCAGCCGATGCTGAAGAGGTAGCACTGCAGCAGCGCGACGGTACACAAGGAAATGACGGCGTAGAAGGCGACGTCGCTGCCGAGGTAGATGAGGCTGAGCAGGACGCTGAAGACGGCGGAGAGCACGTACGCGTTGACCGGCACCTGGCGGCGCTCGTCGACGCGGGCGATCCACCGGGAGAAGGGGAAGCCGCCGTCGCGCGCAAAGGCGAAGAGGTCGCGGCTGACGGCGGCAAAGTAGGAGAGCTCGCCAAAGACTTCGAGGACGAGGATGACGGCGAGGAGCAGGTTGAGCCAGGGCTGGCTCATGGACTGGCGGATGACCCAGATGCCGGGGTAGCCGGTCGGGTCGGCGAGGGCGGTGGGGATGTCGACGATGTGGTAGCAAAAGGTGAGGAGGCTGAGGAAGATGAGGACCATGTTGATGACGAAGCCGACGAGCATGATGCGGGGGATGGTCCTGGCGGCGTCGCGGACCTCTTCAGCCATGTGAGCGGCCTACAATTCACGTCAGACGACTCGACACAACTTGGGCACACAACGCGGATGGCAAAACTCACGGTATCAATTCCGGCATGGGCGGAGATTCCGGGCATCTGGCCGACGAGGATCGACAGGGCCAGCGACGGCCAGCCGCCGCGGTTCTCCCAGAGAGCCCAGACGTCGTGGTGGCTGGCCCTGGGCACGTTGACCCAGATGGGGGCGAGGAAGGCGACAAAGGCGAGGATGTGAAGGGCGAAGACGGCGTTTTGCCAGTAGGGCAGGGCGCGAGAGCCGAGGATGTTGGCGGCGAGGGCGAAGAGGGTGAAGGCGATGTTGATGACGGTGGCGTGCCAGCGCGGGGCCTCGTACTCCATGTTGGCCGTGATGATGGCCTGGATGACGATGCCGACCTCGAACATGCCCTGTGCGTTGCCCGCCTGCCAAGCGAGGGTCGACGTCCACCTGTGTCCTCCTCATTAGCACTTGACCATGGTAAAGCCTGCCCTCAGTGACAGACATACCCCGTCAGGTAGCTCAGCATCTTCTGGTACCGGGCGGGCGCAAACTCGCTGACCCAGTGGTACTGGGCGCCGGCGATGGGCGCCATGCTGGCCATCTCGGCCATGCTCAGGTAGACGGGGACGAAGCCGAGGAAGCACCAGAGCAGGCTGTACATGACGCCCGGGCGGCCGCCGTCCTTGAGGCCCTGGGTGAAGACGAAGATGTTGGTCTCCCAGGCGGAGGTGGCGAGGGCGACGAAGGAGATCATGGAGAGGGTGCGGAAGTGGCGGACGAGCTCCTGGGCGCGGCCCATGCGCTGCATCGAGACGACGTCGAGGCGGGTGGACTTGTGGGCGACATCACCGTCGCCGGAGGGGGAGAGGGGAGAGGGGGGCTCGGCCTCGGCGCCGCCGGCGGTGATGACGGTGGTGGTGAGCTCGATGGGGACTGCCTTGAAGATGAGCGGCCGGGTGGCCGGCGCGGCGGCGGAGGAGGCGGAGGAGGATGGTGAGGTGCTGCTCATGGTCGGTCGGTGGGATAAGGCGGAGGCGGATGGGAGGACGGAGAGAGAGACATGAAGAGAGGGACAAGGTAGGAATTTAAAAGGAGGTGGCTCCAAGACAAGGCGAGCCTCGACATGCAAGGCTTCGGATCCAAGCCAGGAGTTGCTATCGTATTATTAGGGCTGATCTTTAGGTAGGGTTCGGGTTTGGTGTGTCACACTGCATGACGGCCGCGCGATACTGAATACCACCATACAATTGGTTGGCAATTATTCGGCTAGTTGGGCATCGTTGCATCTCCTGGCCAGACGAGAGACAGACAGACCAGCTTTCTCTGCATCCAATGCCCCAAGCTGAGCAGAGAGAGGTAGTGGCAAAGGCCATCACATCGCTGGAGGGATCAGCATCGTCTACTTGTCGCATTTCACCTGCGATCGCCCGGGTGAGCCCCCTAGCTCCCGCTGCGGGCGCGCTCATCGAGGCCTTTTTTTTTTTTGCCCTTTTTCAAATAAGCTGGACGCCTCGTCTTTCGTGTCACATGAATGTAAGACAAGAAAAAGCAAGTCGTTGGCGATGGGGCCAACAGAGATCCTGGAAACGCGGAATTGTAGAGTCTGAGCAGCGGATCTCGCGTAGGCCCCTTGAAAGAGGACCAACGGGCTCCGAGTGCAAGATATTTGTCAAGAATCCTGAGTGGGCAAGTCAGTCAGTATCCATCAAACCCTGGCCATGGGAAGCGAATCCCCTGTACAATGCACCGATGATAATCAACCTGCTTCAACACTTGTCACCAATAGCAGCTGCCAAAAAACAGTGAAATGGACCGCATCCCCATCGAATCGCTGCAGCAGCTGCAGGTAGGCGAGACATGCAAACACCACCACCATCTATGCCACGGGCGCCGACCCCCGGCGACAGATAACGCCACGGGCACTCGGCGGCGCTGGACCGTCCCCGATCCTAGCCACAATGAGCTGAGCTTGGCTTGAGCGGAATTTCTTATCATATTACTGGTAGGAGGGCGTCACTGGCTGCGCACAATGCAGCCAAGCCGTTTGCCTGTCCGTTGTAGATGGTGGCAGCAAACCAACTGTTGGTCCGACCCTTCTGGACGGACCGGGGCGCGTCACTCATCATTTGACAAGTGGCATGTACATTGGGGCTAGATCGATCAAAACCATGGTAGCCTACCTTTGTCTCCTTGGCCGTCTGCCAAGACATTCCCAACTAGTCAGTTTAACGGTTTTCCTCGACAAGTCGTCTTTGTCTTCTCCGTCTCCTCCAACCCTCCAACTCGTCGGTCCGAGTCCAGCTCAAAGTCGGCCGACTACTAAGCAGAAATACTACCCACCCTTCCCGCAATGGCCGGCGATGACCGCGGGTCGTGGCTCACCCTGGCCATGATCATATTCCTGACATGGTCTATCCTCATCTACGGGGTGCGCATGTGGGCGAAGCTCCGCGTCAAGTCTGTCGGTGCAGACGACTGGGTCGTGACACTTGCTCTGGTACGCGACAGCTTTGGCAATGATGGGACGATACTTGCAGGTCTCTAACCTTTTCTGCTACATAGATCTTGTCGATAGTTCATCAAGGCATCATGCATTCGGCCGTCTGCCTCGGCTACGGCAAGCGAAGCGAAAGTCTATCAGCAGCCCGACTCGACAACATCAACAAGGTACGCACCACCACTCATTGGCCGAGACAGCAGACCATCTAACAACTACGACCAGCACATCTACGCCAGCCACTACTTTTACATCATAGCGAGTGGCCTTACCCGAGTCGCCGCGGCCTTCTTCATCGAGCAGCTCTCGCAGCACGGGCCGCATGCCAGACCGGCACGCGTCCTGGCCTGGGTCTCCGGCACCTGGACCCTCATCTGCCTCGGCGTCATCGTCGTGCGACCTCCCTATACGGAGCCATGGCTATCCGTCGACGGCGGGTGGATCGTGTTCCGACGCTGGAGCGGCATCGAGTGCAGTGGCCTGGTGCTCTCGGCCGCGCTGTGGGGGTTGACCGTCCATCTCATCTGGACACTGCAGATGCGGCTGAGCCGACGCATCGTCATCCTCCTCGTCTTTGGCTTCCGACTCTTGTAAGTTGCCATGGCCTTCTTTCCACGAACCTTGCCGCCAACCAACCTTGCAGAACCGTGCCGATCATCTTCCTACGCGTGCACAGCCTGGTGCCGAATGTCAACCCCGACCCCAACTACTCGACCATCCCGGCGGCCATCTTCACCGCCGCCGCGCTGCAGTTCTCCGTCATATCCACCTCGCTCACCGCGCTCAAGCCGTTCCTCCGAGTCTTCCGCCCGCCCGTGCTAGCCAGCGTTACCGGACGCGCCGCCGGCGAGACGGACCACGGGCTAGCGATGTTCCGTCGGGTGGACCGCAATTCGCACCAGCGGTCCGACGAGTCGGCGACGGACCTCTGGGGCAAGACGGTCGGGCTGCCGCCGCCGGGCAGGGCCGTCGTGCGGCGGCGGGACGAGGGGAGGCCGTACTACGGGTCGGCGAACAAGCCGCCGTGTGGTACGGTGAGTCGGGCGGCGGACGACGCCGCGTCGACGCAGACGGACTCATCGGGGAGGATGCTGATTCATAAGACGACGGAGGTCGTGGTTCGGTTTGAGGAGGATGGGTCGAGTCGGTGCGGCTTGCGAGGCACAGCTTGTTGAGCTATTAGATCTCTGCATTCAAGTCGGTGACGAGTTCTTTTCAATAATTATTTGCGATTTATTCGACGTCTAATTGAGCGTAGATTAAGCTTAGCTTAGTTCCATTGAGCGTGTGTATTATATTTCGCTGTCAGGCTCGCCTCTTTTGCTCTAGTGGAGATCTCGATTGCAGACGTCATCTCAGCCTTCTTTCTGTCTCTCTTTAATCTCTGCGTCTACGACTATCTACAAGAGAGCAATATTTTGATCGATCAAGTGACGCAAGAGAAAGCAGGGAGCTTTTAAACCGGCGTGAGTGTCGTGCGAATCATCCATCGGCACACGCCCACCGCAGTCCCGCGTTCAGAGACGACAAGCGGCGGCCATGGATCTTCCGGCCCTCGCGCCCGCGCCGGCCGACCGCAAGCCCGGACAGTCGAAGCGCATCATGGGGTTCTCGTGCCAGGCCTGCGGCCGCCGCAAGGTCAAGTGCGACAAGACGATACCCGCGTGCGCCGCCTGCCGCAGGACCGGCGTCGCGTGCGTCTACGAAGCGCCTGCGCCGCGGGGCGGCAAGCGGCTGGTCACGAGGGACGTCCTCGACAAGCTCGCGCGGTACGAGCAGGTCCTGAAGCGGCACGGCCTACTCGACGCTGCAGATTCCGGCGTCGTCTCGTCGTCCGGAGACCCCGCGGCGGAGCCCATCTCGATCCACTGGGACGCAGCAGGGGGCCGGGAGGGCGGCGCCGTGATCGCAGAGGAGGGCCGGGCGAGGTATGTGGACGGGGGCTTCTGGCGCACGATTGGCGTGGGCGAGGAGCAGCTGGTCTCTGACGAGGAAGATCATTACATCGCGACGCGGTTGCAGAGTCTCGCGGTCTCGGATCCGCTGTCCGACGCCCTCCTCGGCACGCCCCGCCAAGCACTCGATTCTCTCCATCCGACGCCGGAAACGGCCATGCTCCTGTGGCAAGCGTACGCGGACAACGTCGAGCCCATCGTCAAGATTCTACACGTGCCCTCCGCGCGCGCCGTCTTCGAGCGGACCGCTCGCCTTCCCCACCTCGCCCGGCCCGCAGACGAGTGCCTCGCCTTCTCCGTCTACCACTTCGCCGTCTTCTCCATGACCGAGCAAGCCTGCCTCGAGCAGCTCCGGCAGCCCCGTGCCACCCTACTCTCTTCATTCCACCTCGCCGCCCGCCAAGCCCTCGTCAACGCTCGCCTGCTCGAGACCACCGACCTCACCGTGCTCCAGGCCTTTGTCCTGCTCCTCCTCCCGCCCCCTAGCCGGCCCGAGGCGCACTGGATCCTCACCGGCGCCGCCTCCCGCATCGGCCAGCGCATCGGGCTGCACCGTGACGGTGCCGCGCTCGGGCTCGCCCCGTTCGAGACGGAGATGCGCCGCCGACTATTCTACCCGCTCCTCTCCCTCGACGGGTCCGCCGCGCAGATGGCCGGCCTCGCCGTCTCCCCGCCGCCCGCGTGGGACGTGCGCCCGCCGCTCAACGTCGACGACGACCAGCTGTGGCCCAGCATGCGCGCCGCGCCTGCTGAGCGGCGCGGCGCCACGGAGATGATCTTTCGGCTGTCGCGGACGTGCATCGGCGCCGCGTTCGCCAAAACGGGCAGCGCACGCTTCGCGGAGGCGCAGCACGCGGAGGCGGCGATCGCGGAGGCGGAGCGCGAGGTGGAGGAGCGGTATCTGCGGTACTGCGACGTGGTCAACCCGCTGCACTTCCTGTCCGCCGCGCTCGCGCGGTCCGGCATCCTCGCGATGCGGCTGCGCGTGCGCCTCTCCAAGATCCGCAACGAGACGGCCACGGATGAGGACAGGCGAGAGGCGCTGCGGCTGGCGCTGCGGATCTTGGGGACGGACGACGCGGTGTGCGCGCACGAGCCGGCGGCGCGCTTCCGGTGGCACACGCAGCGGTCCTTCTTCCTCTGGGGCACGTGGGACGCGCTCGCCTTTGCGCTCAACGGGCCGCGCACGGGGGACTTCTCGGAGACGGAGGTGGATGAGGCGTGGGAGCGTGTGGAGCGGGTGTATGCAAATCACGAGGAGCTGCTCGCGTCGAGGCAGCCGATGCACGCAGCCCTTTGCAAACTTACGCTGGTCGCGTGGGAGGAGCGGCAGCGGCGGCGCGAGGGGGAGACGGAGACGGAGCCGGCGTTTGTGGCGGCGCTGTGGGCGGAGCAGGAGGAGAGGAGGCAAAGACGGGAGACAAGGGCGGCGGGAAGCTCAGGGATATTTAGTGAGGTTGATGCGGATATAATGAGCTGTTCGGGCGGTGCGTCCTCTTCAGAGTCACCGTTTGACATCAACATTGATGATGCGGATTGGGCATTTTGGGATGGGCTGCTCCGAGGTGGAATGTAGCGGCGTTATAAGTTACACTCTGGGCTAGATATACAGCATTCCTCTCGACCAAATAATTCCAGCTCATCCGTCAGTAATTACGCAAACAATGTGAGGTTGTCGTATTGAGTTGTGTTCTCAAGGCAGATGATGGCCTCTGATTGGCTGATTTCTCGGGTCGCCTCCGGCCGAACTTGAGGATCCGCCCGGGCCAGACCCCGGTTCTTCGCCCGAGATTCGCGACAGGTTGACCCGGCTTACAGCGGACGAATGTCCATAGCTGAGTATAAAAGACGGAGGAGGTCCGCCTTATCTATGGTCACCCCTGTCCTATTGAGAAACAAAAGCTACCTGCACATGCAATCGTAATCACCACTTGCCACCTACCATAACCACAATTTACACCACCACCCCTCTAGCAAATCCACAAATCCACAAATCCACAAATCCATACGATGCCTCAGCTGCGCGTCCTCGTCGTCGGCGCCTCCATCGCCGGCACGTCCGCCGCGTACTGGTTCCGCCGCGCCGGCGCCCTCGTCACCGTCCTCGAGTGCTCCCCCGTCTTCCGCCTCGCCGGCCAGGCCGTCGACCTCCGCACCGTCGGCGTCGCCGTCATGCGACGCATCCCCAACATGGAGCCCGCCGTGCGCGCCGCCACCACCACCCTCTCCGGCATCCGGTTCCTCGACGCCCACGGCCGCGCCCGGGGCGAGCTGCGCTCCACCGGCGACCCGGACCGGCAGGCGCTCGTCTCCGAGTACGAAATCTTCCGCGGCAAGCTCGCCAGTATTTTGTATAGCTACACGGAGCACGACGAGGGCGTGCGGTACGTGTTTGGCGAGCGGCCGGCTGCCATCACGCCGACGGGGGAAGGCCCGGTGGTGGTGGAGTTTGCGAGTGGGCGGCCAGCTGAGGAGTTTGACCTGGTGGTCGCGTGCGACGGCGCGGCGTCGCGGACCCGAGGCTTAGCGTTCCGGTGCGAACCGCACGAGCACGTCGTCGGTACCAACCACTGGGCCGCGTACTTTGACATCCCCGAGGACTTGCTCGGCGGCAGTGACGTCGGGCTGTGCTACAACGCGCCCGGCGGACGCATGGTCTGCCTGGGCCCGGACCCGGACGCCGGCGGCAGCTGCAAGGCTACGCTCCTCAGCATCTCCTCGTCTAGCGCTACGGACCTCACCGCGCCCTTCCGCGCAGCTCAAGAGGAAGGCGACGCCGCGCTACGCGCCTTCGTCGCGGAGCGCTTCCGCGGGGCTGGCTGGCGCACCGACGAGATTCTCGCGCACCTGGCCTCTTCACCCACCTTCTACGCGAGCGAGATGGTGCGCGTCGCTGCGCCTTCGTTCTCCGCCCTCGGATCTCGCGTCGCGCTCGTCGGGGACGCCGGATACGCGGCGCCGAGCGGCGCGGGCACCTCGCTGGCCATGGCGGGCGCGTACGTGCTGGCCGGGGAGGTGGCCGCGCGGCCGGGAGATTTGCGGGCGGCGCTGACGGCGTACGAGGAGGTCATGCGGTCGCTGGTCGGGGAGGTGCAGCGGGTATCGCCGCTGTTCTGGAGCGTGATGGCGCCGCAGACGGCGTGGGGCGTGGCGCTGCGCAACGGCGTGTTGCAGGCGGTTTGCTGGACGGGCGTTCTGGACGCGGTGCAGAGGTTGTTTGGGGGTGCGTTTTCGAGCGCGGAGAGGCATGTGCTGCCAGAATATGAGTGGGTGGATTAGACACGGACACAGGAGGAGGAGATATTGGCTTCTGTAATGTACGTTGATGATTCCATAGCGCCTTTTCCCCATCAATGCTCTATTCCATTTCTATTTCAAAAGTTACATGAGCCACTCATCCAAGCGACTGAACTCCTCCCGTGCTGCCACCTGAGCAGGGTCCCGCCCATGCTTACGGACAGCCGGTACGCGCTGACTGTCGCTAATATCCCTCAACGCGATGCCGTCACCCGTCTCGACGAGGCTCGTCAGCGACTCGTGGTATGAGTACCCGGCCAGCGACTTTCTCTCCCTCCTCCGCATGAAGACGGCTTCCTTCTCGGCCGCCACCTGGTCGCGCAGGCTCACGGTGACAAGTTCGCCGGACAGGCCCGCGTAGACGCTCGGCGACGTCGGCGATGCCCTTGCTAGGGAGTATACCGGCGACGCGTCCTGATAAATGTTGGGAAGGTAGACGTTGCAGTTGGGCCGGTAAAAGTCCGTCTTGGCCAGCATGTGGCGGTCGCACTCGGCGCCAGTCAGGTAGCAGCAGCGTGCTCGCCGAGTTCCCTGCGGCGCGGCCGTCCAGGTCAGCGGCTTCGGGGCCGGCCCGAGTGGATCTTGGCTGCAGGGCATCGCGTCGGTGTAGTGATAGCTTTTTGGCCATCGATAGTCGAAGATCTTGACCACCGAGGTGCGGGCGCTTCCGGCAATGAACCGCTGTAAGCCGTCTGCGAGGAGCGGGCCGGTGGGAGTGGTGAGCTCGAAGTGGTCCTGGTAGATGGTGTCGATCGCAGACGGCGTGCGCATGTCTTGCAGTCTGATTGTGCCATCGTCGTACGAGCTGAGAACCGTGTATCCGGAGCCGCCCGGGGCGGAGGCCGCATCGAGAGGCAGTACGCATCGCGACGTCTGCAGCTGTCGGTCGGTGTAATTGTATGAGTCGGTGCAGCGGGACGAGGCCTGCATTTTCGCCGCATTGGTCACGGCCACTCCTGGGGGAGTCCTGGAGAGGAACCGCAAAGGCTCTGCAGTGCCGCTCAGTGCCAAGGCTACATCTCCGTTGTGCATGTGGCCGACATGACGAATCTGCCGAAAGGCTGCAGACCCGTCCATCGCTTTCATGTCATATCTCTCAACAGGGTGAATGAGAAGTTCCGCCGGATTCCCGTTGTCGTCCAACTCCAGGTCATCTGGGTCAGGCCATTGTTCAGGTAGCGGGTAGAATAGTACACTGCCCTTGGTGGCGACCGTGGCGGACGATTGGACCATGTTGACAGCAATATGCTGAATGTCGTTTTGGCCGCCAGATGGCTCGTCTTCAGTAGACTCTGGCTGGAGCCACGCAATGGTTCTCCCCGTGTCTGTATGGTGAGTTGATACCAGCTGCAGGTATCCGCTAGCTCTACCAACGAGCATCATCAATGCTTTACCCATCTCGCCGTCCTTGACGAGAGACAGCGCCGAGACGTCGTCCTGGCCGGCCTTGAATCCCGCCATCTGGCCGATAATGTTTGTCCACTTCTCCTTCTTGGGTGCCGAAAATCGCAGCTCTCGCCAGCGTACCACCACGTCCTCGCCTATGCCCCAGGCGACCAGCTCCTCCTCATTCTTGCCCTTCATGTGTGAGGCGGCGTCCACGAAGAGGCTGGGTGGGAATGTCTGGGCAGGGCGGGCGGCACGTCCACCGCGCACGCCTCGGCCTCGGTTACTCGGAGACGCGAGCTTCTTCGACGATACCAGCGAGGATAGCAGCAGCGCCCTCCGCTCCCACGCTCGGGTCTGCCATGTCAGGGGCTTGGCGACCGTCTTCCAGTTGCCAGGCGGCAGGTCGAGGTATCCGAAATGGGTCCGCACAAAGACGTTCCATCCGTGATGCTCAACAATTTCTCTGAGGGCTTTTGATGCTCTCGCCAGCCGTGCCAGGCTCTGGGCCGTGTTGAGATGCTGGAAGATGGCGCGCAAGACGCCGATGGGCAGGTTGTCGAGCCTGGCCTGACTGTCGAGGCGCAACGACGCCAAGTCTGTCAAGGCGTCCATAATAAAGTAAGTGGTTGTGTTTCAAATTGTCATGAGTTGTTTGGCGGCATATTGCAGGCTGGAATCGATGCCATTTTAAGCAACAAAAGCTGCAAGTTTTTCTCCGTTTGATGATATTGAGGTTACTGAGTTGGCAGAAGCAAAACCGCCACCCCCAGAATACAGTGGGCCGTCAGTGGTGACTCAGAGGGTTTACAGGGGAAACAGCGCTAAAATGCTAAAATGAGGCTTTGGTGGGGGATTTCAAGGCGGCCTGGTGGATAGAAAAGAGTCAACTGAGTTGTATGACTGTTTGGGATTGAGATACAATTGCTGAGAAATCTAACCAAATAATCCAAGTCATAATAAAGGCTTGATGTTTAGTAGGGGTGAGATCGTCAGCCGTGTAGAACACGCCACGCATCCCTGCAGCAGGCAGATCATGCGGGCTCGGGAATTAAGCAAGGAAGCAGAGCAATGATAGTATATTCCACTCTTTGTGCAGATATTTAGTGATGGAACGCGCCTAGTTGGCCTTGAAAGCGGCATAGGCCTGGAGCGCCGACACGAGGCCCGTCACCACAGAGTTGGCGGCCACGCCGTTGGCAGCGTAAAAGACGGAGCTGACGCCGAGGATGGCGCTGAAGAGACCAGCAATCGCCTTTTGGATCGGATCCTGAAGCACCTGAGGGTTCTTGGACCAGTAGTAGTTGAGGAGAGCTGTGTCGTCATGCGTTAGTCGCGATGCAGAAGAAGCCGCTTGGCGAAAGAGGGGGTGCCCTCACAGGCGATGAACAGAAAGCCGCTGCCCTGGTACCAGCCAGAGCGGGCACAGGTCTTTTGCTCGGCGGGAAGAGCCTTGATGGAGGAGTGCGATTGCCAGTCTCGGCCGTTGACCTATGATGGTGTTAATACCTGGTTGACAGCGTTGTCGATATCGAGGCGCGTCAGGGTCCGCCGTGGACATACAGTGTGGCCGAGAGAGGTCAGCAGCCAGGCACCAGCAGTAATCTCGAGAGCAGAAGGCATCATGAACGGATATGTGTCACAAAATTAAATCTATGAGTCGGTAAATGCAAGCTGCTTGAGTCTGCACTCCAGGTGTGTTGGGAGACGGCCAGGAGCAGGTATATGAAGCCCCAACAATCGGCCTCGGCTACCTGGGGCCTTATGGGTCCGTCGGTCACTGTATCACCGTAAAGGTGAGCCGAAACTCCGCCCCCGACGGCGTCAAGCAATAAACAGCAAATTTGGCAGTGTAATGATTCCTTTCGGGTTGAGCATTGCTGATTGACTTGACATATATTTCCATATTTAGTTGGCTTGGTAAACGATGGCTGGAGAACCATGTATCGCCGCCCAGCTGATGACGCGATCATGTACGAGCAGTAAGCATCCGGTGCCTACGGAATTCTTCTGTGTACTCCAACTGCGGAAAACACCACCCCTAATAATTATCAAAGTCCGCCACACGGGCCTGGAGTTCAGTAGTCTACGGGACTTTGATTCTCTATCTTTGTATGAAGAGGGCGACATTCACGTCATATCTAAGAGAAAGAACGAATAGTATACAAAAGATGAATCTCCAAAAGAGTGTCGAAACATGCAGATCCAAGCCCAAGTCTTGCGACTACGCCAGCGCAGCTCCGTCTAACCAACCGCCAGAAGCTAGCGAACTTCATACACAACCTGCTTTTCTCTTCCATCTTACACACTCTCACTCGTACTCTTCCCAACCAACCTCAAAACCAACCCTACCATCGCAGCAGCGACGCCCGCAGACGCAAGCGCCATCGTGTGGAAGCTGTACGCTTCACTGATCCAGCCGCCAGCCAGCGGACCAATCGCCAGCCCCGCAAAGAAGAACAACGAGTTGAGCCCGTGCAGCTGCGCATACGGCCCATGCTTGCCGAAGAACCCGGGATTCGTCAAGTGGTAGGATTCAATGGTGCTTCCGGCCTCGACGAAGCTGATGGGCCCCGTCATCGCCAGCGCAACGCCGTTGAGCGCCAGGACGGTGCAGAAGAACGGTAGCTTGGCAGCTTCAGGCAGTACTCCGAGCGACGGCAAGGACAAGAGGCCGATCGCAAGTGTCATGAGCAGGTATCCCGTCGTCGCCAGCGCTCTGGACCCGTATCTGTCTACCGCCCAGCCCGCTGGTCGGCCCAACCCAACAAAGGGCACCATCAAGCAGACGAATACCATGCCGACTTGGTTTGAGGAGAAGGAGAAGATGTTCGACAGCTCAATCGGCAACGTCGCGTCGATGACACCGAGAAAGACGCCCTGCACCAGGGAGATGACCATGGCCATGGACAGCCGCGGGTCGCGCATACAGTACAGCACCGGGAGGTTTTGCGCAAGCCAGCCTGCATTCTCCGGCAGACGAAAGTCAGCGCACTTTGTCTCGTCGCTCCGGACAAGCAAGGGCGATGTCTCGCTCACGTCGCCGAAGTCGCCTTGAGCAACGACACTCTCAACGGCCTCCGATGCTGCTGGGCTCTTGTCCACCTCGGGCACCACTTCATAACCGTCCATCTCCAGCTTGTCCAGCATCAGCAGCCGCATGGCTATGTCGACCAGCAGCACCGCTGCGCTGAGCGCAAAGATAGCCCCCATCCCGCCGCGGTCGTACAAGAAGCCGCCCAGCGCCGGCGCCACCAGCTCCCCCGCGGACACGAACGAGAATATGGCCCCCGTCACGCTTCCCAGCTCCGCCGATCCCACCAAGTCCTGGATCGTCGCGAAGCCGACCGCCCACACTATCGCGACCGAGAGGCCCTGCAGCAGCCGCGCCGCGATCAGCGCCGCCAGCGAGCGCCCCGCGCAGAGCAGCGCGGTGCTGGCGAGCAGCGCGGCCACGCCGACGAGGAACGGCGCCTTGCGCGCGCCGAGCCGGTCGGCGGCCCAGCCGACTGGCAGCGCGAAGAGCACCGAGGAGCCCGCGTAGGCGGCGAGCTGGCGCGCGGTGTGCGCCTGCACGGCGGAGGGTTCGGCGACGCCGAGGCGGTCGCGCAGCAGGAAGGGCATGACGGGCACGACGATGCCGTAGAGGAAGAGGTCGCTGAAGAGGCCGACGCCGACGGTGGCGATGACGAAGGCGCGCTTCGACCGCCAGCGGTAGCCCCGCGGCGGCGAGGGTCGTCGGGTCATGGTTGAGGTGAGAGTGAACTTGTACAGCAAGAGCGGTGCTGGTGCCTGGCAGTGAGTGCTGATTCAAGCACCCAAAGGATGAAGAAGAAAGGAAAGAGAAAAATGAAGAGAGATGATGCTTTAAAGTTTACATTAGGAGGAAATCTTGACTTTGGGCCCGTCGGCCCGGTGGCAAGATACGTCTGGGTGGCTAGCTGGCTGAGACAAGGAAATCACCAATTGACTTTCGTGCCCAGATACTCGGGCTTTTGCCGGGTTACACCGGACGAATTGCTTAACATTCTTGACGAATGCGGAAGCGTCCCGGGCCTTTCTTTTCTTTTTCGCCTCTCTCCGGCCCCTCCTCTTAATCAGATTTCAATTTACGCTTCAGCTAATGCAAGCAGCCACTACCATCACGAGGCCTGTCTGGCTCACCAATTTTTTTCTCTTCCGTCAAAATCAAGATTTATGTTTCAGCTGAGCCGTGTAAGACCCGATCCGATGTCTAATAATAAGCCCCGATGTGCTGGAATAAAATGATGCCGGGCTTGGGCAACAAAGCTACGACCGTGGTAGGCTTGAGTTTTCAATCGTACATCATGAATGCTGCGTTTAGGATACTGAGAGTACAACTTTGTTGCAAGAAAAAAGAGAAGGAAAGAAGTGAAAGTGGCCTACATGGTGAAGTGAGTGGCACTGCACATGAAGCTTCCTTCTCCTCAATTCGAGGCATATTGTTGAGAATAACATCTATCTCCTATTAACTAACTCTACAATTCCAATAGAAGTACATCGAGCGAGTCCAATATTTCTAAAGAACATCTAGTTTTTACCCACGTTACAATATTGATGCCTGAAACTGCGAAATATTTTCGGCCAGTTGTACAGGGTAGGCTGTCATCACGTGGATTGGCGTCGAAGCGTGTGTCCCATTAACGCGTTAGTCAAACACGTTAACCCTCCCACCACAATTCGACCGTGAAGATTCGCCCGCAGACTCTCACCCGCCAAACCACCCATCAAACTCCGACATGAAACCGAAAATCCAATGTCCTACGCCGTAGTGAAGCCCCAAGCCTCGTCGCCCGCCGGCGGTGCCGACGCTCCCCCCTCCACGGCGACCGTGTACGACTTCATCTGCCTGTTCACGCACGACCTGCGCCGCAAGCAGAAGCGCTGGCAGGACGGCAAGCTCAAGTACCACAGCTTCAACAAGAAGGTCGTCGTCTACGACGACCGCGGCCACCTCGTCGGCGACGCGCACTGGGACCAGGAGGGCGACCTGGCGCCCGGCGACGAGCTCTCGCTGGACCGCGGCATGGCGCTTGTCCAGGTCGAGGACTGCACGGGCGAGAAGCAGCAGGACCTGACCGACCTCCTGGACAAGAGGGCGCGGGAGGTGGAGAAGCGCCGACAGATTGCGGCGGCGAAGAGGCCGACCCCGCGAGGGAGTTTGCTGGCCGGTGGCGCGGGGCAGCCACAGCCGCAGCATCCACATCTCCCGCTGAGCTCCCTGGTGCAGAGCCCCGGACGCATCGGCCGCGCGGCCGTGCCGGCACACTCCCCGTTTGAGGCCCGCAGGCAGGGGCTGCACCGGAACCAGCCGCCGACCGCCGATTCACAGCCAACCGTCGCGGCGGCGACCAGGAAACGAAGGGCCAGCCCGTCGCCGCCGAGCAAGGCCGGGTTCGCGCGGAACCTGTTCGGTACGACGCTGAACCTGTCCTCGTGCCCGGGCCCGGAGCTGATGGCCGCCAGGGCGCGCGCGCTGCGGCAGAGGATGCTGTCCCAGGCCGCGGCCGATTCAACGCCCCAGGAGGAGGATGAGGCGGAGGGACAGGAGCCGGTGCAAAGCAGTCTGTTCTGCCCGCAGGATGAAGCGGAGAGTACGCCTTCGAGGCCGGCCAAGGAACGGCGTCTAAATCTGCAACCTGTGACGCGACACCCGATTGCTACGGCTCGGTCCGTGATGCGCGAGGCGGAGGAACTTGGAAATCGCAACGAGGCTGTGGAACTTAGTGATGAAGACACCAGTCGGAGGGAGACTGCTACGAAAAAGCATCGAAAGGAGGCTCGGAAACCGGAGCGTCAAACCAAGGCCTCGGATCCTACGACACAACACCTGGATGACGAGGAGGACCAAACACGGGACAAGTCTTCCAAAAAGCAGAGGAAGGAAATCTCTCAGTCTCATGAACTACAACAGACTGAAAACAAATCTCAGAGAAAAGAGCCGAGAAAGTCTACTACGAATCATCGTTCGCCCTTGCCAGATCCAATGCTTATTGACGAGTCTGATGAGGTTGAAGAAGTCCCACGTCCACGCGAAACGGCAAAGGAACCACTACGCAAGAATACAGTACGAGAAGAGCGAGCAAAGGAGCACCCTGCGCCTGCGCGAAAGGAAGCAAGACAGGACGAGCCGAGGACGACACTACGAATGCGATCGAGGCAAAGGAGGGGTCTGCTCATGCTGCAGCAGCCCAGCGCGCCGCTACAAAAACTACCAGCTCCGATGAAGGTTTCGGCTAATGATAGAGTCACTAAGACGCCGTCCCCAGAACCCATGGCTCCCTCACCACAGCAGATACGGTCGCCCTCTCTTGAACAAGAGGTGATAATACCTAGCTCAGCGCCGCCAGAAGAAGATACATCGGCGGCGGTGGTCCTAGTGGAACGAGAACCTGCTGCGGCGCCCATGGAATGTAGTAGCGACGATGACCTGCCCCAAGTAGCGCACCGACGCACTGGGAAGCGGAGGACGCACAGCCCACCTACAGAGTCGGACGTCTGCGAAGAAGCGCCGACGAACAAAAGGACGCAGCGGAAGAAGATGACAAAACGCACAATACACGACGGCAGCGGTAGTGAAGGGGCCGAAGAGCCGCAGCCACGAAAGAAACGGCCAGCCGTGAGGCCGAAAGCCCGTAACGAAGAGCCCGAGTCTGAGCACGCGGAGGACGAAGAGCTGCTTCCCCGAAGAAGACTACGAACTGCAAAGCGCGGCGCTTATACCGAAGAGCCCGGTTCTGAGCCTGAGGAGGACGACGAACGAGAAGAGGAGGAGGCTCCTCAGGTGCAGGGCCCACGGATCGCAAAGCTGTCACGCAAGGGCATTCGGAGCAGAGAGATCATCGGCTACGTCGGGCAGGCGGTGATTCCAGGCCCGTTTGCCTCGGCGGCGTTTCGACTCGGTGGTCTGCCTGTACCGATTGTCAGCAGGGAAGCATCGGACACATGTGCCAACGCCGACACAGCGCCAAAGTCAACGGGCATGTCACCAATTGTAGCAGCTACTGCGCCAGCTCCTGTACCAGTTTCTGCACCAGCTCCTGCACCAGTAGCAGCACCTGCACCCGCACCAACGCTGTCCACTGAAGAAGAGAAGCCAGTGGTCGAGGAGAGGCCAGTGATGGCGGAAAAACCAGTGGACCCGGAGAAATCAGCGGTCGAGGAGGAGGCAGTGGTCGAGGAGGAGGCAGTGGTCGAGGAGGAGGCAGTGGTCGAGGAGGAGGCAGTGGTCGAGGAGGAGGCAGTGGTCGAGGAGGAGGCAGTGGTCGAGGAGGAGGCAGTGGTCGAGGAGGAGGCAGTGGTCGAGGAGGAGGCAGTGGTCGAGGAGGAGGCAGTGGTCGAGGAGGAGGCAGTGGTCGAGGAGGAGGCAGTGGTCGAGGAGGAGGCAGTGGTCGAGGAGGAGGCAGTGGTCGAGGAGGAGGCAGTGGTCGAGGAGAAGGCAGTCGTCGAGCCACCCACAGCTGCAGAGGCCGCCATCACGGCCGTGGCCAGAGGGCCAGAGCCAGTACCACCTCGAACTATCGTCTCTGCGGTTTCGGAAACAGCCGAGGCCATTGCCTTCGAACCAATCCCTCGTCGAAATGTCACTCTAATAAGAGCATCACCACCTGTCGTGCGCACCAACAGCTCGAGCAACGCGATCGCAGCAGCCACCACCAGAAAGCCCAATGCGACGAAATTGGAGGCTCTGAGTGCTCCAGGAATTACCCTCGCAGAAATACCAGAGACATTGGGCGCGCCGCCACTACGTGTGGCATCTTCTGTGAACGAAAAGAGACCAGACATTGCAGAGGAGGAAAAACCGGTGACGGTGTTGCCGCCTACAGAAAGGTCGTTCAGCGCAGGCGGCGAGCTGAGCAGCGGCAGACCGCGCATCGCCAACCCCGCGTCGCGAGGCAAGAAGGCGGCACGGCGGGAGGACGCGGCGGGTCTGGCGCCGCAGGTCATTGTGCCATTCGAGCCCGTCCAGCCTGTCGTCGCGCGCGCGGTGACGATGCGGCCTAGCGGCACCGGTGGTAGGGGAAGGATCGCCGCGGCTGGTCCTTTGGCGCTGGGTCCCGTGGTGCCACCACCACCACCTGCTGTGCTGGCGGTCGCGACCAAGGCGGCCAGCAGTGCCCTGCTGCCTGGGTTTACGTCGGCGAGCGGTGGGACGTGGAGTCGACATGCGCATGATTTGCTGGGTATGAATCGGCCAGAGCGTGGGAGGTGATGTCGATTTTGCTGGGTTGCTTGATCGGGCCTGTATATACCTTAGTAGGGGTGACGTGGGCCGTCACGTTTGTCACGAATTTATGGTAATGGAATGAATCCAGATGTAAATCCTCCCATCTTTTCCTGCAATTTCATCCATCCCTTCATCGGCTGCGTCCTGGTTTGTCGTAGGCTGGTGCTGTTTTTAGTGTACTTCGCCCGCTGACAGCGGCTGGTGGGCGAACGCGGGGCGACCGGTCTAGACCCCATGTCACGTCACTTGCCCAACGTGGTTGATGGTTCGTTTTTCGTTTTCCTTCTCCCGGTTCTTGATTGGCGAGGAGTGCGAGACCTGGGTTTTGTCCGTTTTTAACCCGATTCGGAGCTGGCTGTATGCGGGGGGTGGTGTTTGTGCTGCATGTTCTGGGTTGGTGGGTGGGTGTAAGTCTGTCCGACGGGTTCATTTCATTCACATCTTTGAGAGGGAAGCCCTGCAAATTTCACTGGTATCGTAGGACATGCCACTGCGATAGTGTGTTGCCCCGGCTGAGGTCCATACAGGTTTTAGATGCCTGATGACGTGCAGGTTGAACGCATGTGGCCTGTATGGACAGCATCCGCTGCGGGCTCATAGCATAGCTGCGAGGTATTGTCCACCAGGAAAGGGGCGGTCGGGCTTATATCTGAAAACAGGAGGGACCCCTGGCTATATCGGAGAGTAATCTGGGGTTCTAACAGTTGCTACTTGATGTCTCGCCGTGGTGTTAGTGCAGGGTGGTGGGATACTTGGGGCGGGAAAGATAGAATCAGGCTGCGGGATGGCTGACAGCCACCACAACAGCCACCGGTGCGCCAGTGAGTTCGCCCGTTCTGTGTGGGAAAAAAGCAGGGAAGAGTTCCAGCAGAGGTTTCGTTGTGTACCTTCTTCTCTTGCACTATCACGACTGCGCACCAGCCTGACCAGTGGCATCTGGCACATAATGCGAGTCACATTTGGTAAGAGCCCAGCAGCCATCGGAACGCGCCCTGGCAGCTCATGCTGCTCAGCCTCAGACGGTCAAAACTGTGCAGGAGGCCATGATCCCTTGAACCCATCGACGACTTCCTATTCAGGCTCGCCGTTGAGTCACTCTCAGCAAGCTGATTTTCTTGGGGACGGCGTCCAGCCAATCATGGGTATTCGTTCTCGCCGAAGAGGCCAGGCGGGGCCAGGAAGTAGCGGGGTGCTGAAGACCAATCAAAGGCTCTGAATGCGAGATCCCTGCTGCATTGGACCGTCGTCATTGGTGGATGCCGCGGCGGACACCAGAATACGCTAAACCTAGCTAAGCACGCCGAAAGAGTCAGCCTCTCTGGAGTGGGCTCGCCAACTTTAAGCATTCGGATTGTATTGTTTTGCTGGTGTTACAGGCGTCCAGGTACTTGACAAAATGCCCTGCGAGATGCCTCGCAACACCCTGACATCCCCCCACGAGAAACCTGCGCTGCGCCATCTCCATCCCGCATTCTCGCTACTGAAATACCTGCATGACTCCCCTCGGCCTGCGCCTCAGGTTTCCCTCCTTCTTCTCTCTCTTTCCCTTCCCGTCTACACTTTCTCGCCCACTCTCCCTAATACCCCCAACTTCCGATCCGGATCTTCTTTAGCACTTCAGATCTCTGGCAGTAATTGCGTCTCGGCTACGCTTTACTCGATCTGACCACCAAAGCCTGACCACGTCTCGTCCAAGGCTTCCGCAGACTCTATATCCGAGTTGCGGCCATCTCCAACATCACCACCTAGTCTTGAGACCAATAGCCTCTCTTAGTAAAGACCATTTGCGACAATCGCATTGGCGTTTGGCTCAATACGACCCTCCACCTCTCTCTCGCTTTCTCGACTCCCAATCGTGAGTATCTTGCCCGCTGCCGTGCTGGCTCAGCTGGGGCTTACAAACAGAGCAGTTTGGCCTCAGCCTCTCTCGCCAGTCTCCTCCCAACCTCGCCAACCTGGACTACTTCCCAAACACGATATCCTTCCAATCATCGATCATGACGTCCTCCGGCCTTCCCCAGGGGTTCTCCATCTTCCAGCCTACCCTCGGCGACCCCCTTCAATTCTTCCCCGCCGTCGGCAGCCAAGAGCTCGATGAGCTAATACACGCCCATCTTGTCGGCCCTGCTTCGTCGCAGGAAAAGCGCACCACCCTGGCCCTCGACTTCCTCGACCACGCTCAGCGTACCGGCCAGACCTTCAAGTTCTACCCCGTCTACACTGTCGGTGCTTCGCCCGCCACCTCCGTCTCCTCCTTGAACACATCGCCCACCACTTCCTCCTGGGACTGGAACCAGACCTCCCGGACTGCGTCCATCTCCTCGCGGTCCTCGCAAAATCGCGTCTCCAAAGCCACGAGCCCTGCCTCGCGCGTGCGCGCCACCGACTTCGCCGGCCTCCCGGGCATGAAGATCATGACCAAGGATGGCCTCGACGTCACCAACTCGGCCTCTCGAGGTTCCAAGACCAAGGAGCAGCGTGACCATGCTCACCTCATGCGCATCATCAAGGCCTGCGACAGCTGCAAGCGCAAGAAGATTCGCTGCGACCCCAGCCACAAGAAGCGCGGCGCCGTGACTCCTGCAACCCCGGCTGCCGCGGCTGCCAAGGTCACTAAGAAAGCTCGCACACCCTCGCCATCGGCAGCGTCACAATCGATATCGCCGCCACAATCGGCCTCGTCACAATCAGTATCTCCGGAAGTCACATTGGAGGACTTCTCCAGCTTCTCCACCTGTCTCTTCGATACGAACCTCCCTTTCACCTTTGACACCCTCGACACCTTTGATTCCACGTTGGCTGCTCCCACCGACTTATGGGGCGAGTTTATCCAATACCCGCCCGTGGACCAGCCCGAAGACTACGATTTCTTTGCCGATCCCGAGAGCTTCCTCTCCTCACAATCCTCGGATGCGGACCTCTCGGCGGCTCGCATATCCATCCCGGCGTCTTCCCCTCGTTCAGGAGCGCCTCCTGGCCGTGGCCCGGATGCTGGAAGTTCAGAGTATTATGCGGGCCTGCTCGACGGAGCGGACATGGTGGCATCGCTGTCGCAATCGGCCCAGCTGCCGTACGACCTGCAGGATTCCGCCGGAGACTACACCGACTTCAACTTGTACTCGCCTCGATCCACCTTCTCCGAGGATGAGCGCATGCTGGACATTGGCTCCTCGTCTTCCGGCCTGTCAACGCAGGGCATGCCGTCACCAGTTGATTCACCTCGACGACCACCCAACCCTGGATCCCCAGACCTCGGCACAGACATTGCCAACGCTGGCGATGTGGCTACTCAGCCTCCTTTTACCAGGGCTGAGGAAACCGAACCGTCGGAGCGCACCGATGTCCAGGACGCAATCGCAGATGGCACCGCCCGTGCGATTAGCGTACTGAGTCGTTCCGACGTGGTTATGCGCACGAACGAGCAAGGACAATTGATCATTTGTTGTCCCCCCGGCACTGTGGTCGTCAACAGCAATGGCCAGCGATCTACCGACTCTGGCTTAATGAACGTGAGTCCAAACCCACCCCTGATGCATGTAGCCAATCCTCAGCGACTGACTTTTTGGAAGGTGTCTACTGTCTATGACTCTAGCAGCTCGTCATTGGGTATACCACCTGAACTAAGTGTACGTCTCATCTACTCTACGCATCAACCGGCAGCGACTAACCCCTCGAAGGAATCTGCAGTTGCATCTGTATCTGCCAGGTCGGGCGATGTAGACTCAGTTGTGTCTACATGGCTCGATCACCAGCCTCTAGTAGCTAGAAACATGGCTACAGAGCATGGCAGTCTCGACCGCTCAGACGACCGAGCGTCCCCGCTTGACCTGGCGATTGCCGCTCCAACCAGGAGCAGCCCAACACAGGTTATTGATGCAGCGGAAGATGCCCAGTCGTCATCCTCGCTGGTCCAAGGCAACCTGAATTTGCCACAGACCTCTTCAAACGAGTCGGAGGACAGCTACGACATTTCTACCGGTGCCCCGTCAAACCCCGTCCCCTTGGAGAACACGCTGCGACTACGCTCTGCTGGTGGCAATAATGGCCTCGAAGCAAGCAGCAATTCCATCAGACTTTCAAACCCACAAATTTTGCGCTTTGATGCTAATGACGGCTACATCGCTAATGAATCTGGCTCCCTGCTCTCGTCCTGCCTTCCAGGTGGACCAGCTGCAGCATCGGCACTGCCGGTTAGTGGCCAAGAATCATTCTCGATTACCAACGACTTTGAATCCTCGGATCTTGGCAATACGCCATCTAAATCGGATGATAGCCACCGATCCGTCGACTTGTCCCAGCATCAGAGCACAACACAGACTGCCGCCTCGACCGTTCCGCAGCGTTACGCCGCCGCCGGCGTCGGAAGGTCGCTGCAGGACTGTGATGCTCAGAATAGCGTCAGCACGGCCGATCTGGCTGCGCTGATGCAAGCTGCCCTGACCCGCACGCTGCTTGTTGCTGCCTATGCACAACTCGCCGCGAGCGCGTCCGCGTCTACGGATATCATCTGTAGCAGGGCCCTCAGCGCACACTCATACACGCCACTTGCGTGTGTGCCCGCTGTCTGCTGAAAATTTGGTGAAGTACTTTAGGCGGTACCAATGCAAGGGTGCCGCAACCTCCCATACGAATGCCGGCCTGCTTGCCGTCACGTGCATGGCAAGCGCGCCGATTACCTTGACCAGGTGCCCCGGCCCGGTCAAAGGCCCCTTCCCCCGGGCGCTCCTCACTCCCAGCCGCGCTTCTACCTGTCGGTCAGGGTGCAGTCAGAAGTGGGTGAGGCTGTGGTGGTGGATGTGTCTGCTGCGGCGAGGACTTTCTTCATTTTCTTTTCTTTCTGTACTCAAAAAGCTACTACGACTGTTTTCATGACGACGTCATTTCTTTTCTCCATGTATCATTAGCATTCACCATGGCGGGTTAGCGGACTACAGGCCAAGCAGGCCTTGCTTTCTAATTGAATTTAAGAAAGGGACCTGATCCCATAGATTTCTAAATATTGCTCCTCCGTTTATGCTATGTGTGTGTGTGTGTGCGTGTGTGCTATTGGGCTTGTATCACCGACAGGGGGTTCTTTACTTGCGTTTCCTTTTTTTTTCTTGTGTAGTTTGTGATCGAGGGAAACTGCATCAAGTGCTACGTAAACGGGTGTGACGGCCGCCGCCGATGAGGAGGCCGGGAAGGTATCACGGAACTTGGTGCGAGGTGGGAGAAGCGAGGGGGGGACCTCGCTCAGTTTGTTCCCTGTGGCACTGGAAAGAAGAATGCAAACCTGCTCATGCACAAATGGAGCGGGCCTTGCTTGCATAAAAGTAAATCAAGTATAAGCACCTTGATAGATTAAACAATAGTCGTGTCGTTGACCTCGGCAGGCCCTCTCTCATACCAAATTTGTGGTGGCGGAAGCGGTATACGCGTCGCTGCGCCTACGGCATTATCTTACCATGGGCAGTCACCAAGTCCTTGGGAATTTGGCAAGTGCTGAGCCATGAATTTGCATTGCTTTCCTCAAGAGAGCCAAGAGAGAGGCGAATTGCAGCAAACGGAAGATTAACCTCTCTGCGCCGTGGAGTTGCCGCCCGTCAGCAGCTAACTCTGGTGATGAAAGCTCTCAGGAACTGGCTTTCACATTCTCTCTTTTTTTTTTCTGAACGTTATTTTTTTTTTACGCGCACCACTTTGAGCCCCTAAGGGCAAATGAAAAGATATCCGCAGTCGCCAAGTTTCTGGCTTGGCGATCGGCAAATGGTCAGGCACACCAGCAGATCATGTTGCCGACAGGGAAAAATGGGAACGAGGAGTGAGGAGCATTCGAGGCGGTGGTTTGCACAGTAGACCCAGCACAGGTTCACCAACGCGCCACCTGTCCACGTGTCTCCTTTGTGTAAACCTTTTTTTGAGGGACTTTGCCCTAACAAGTCTGCCTTGAGTGAGTCCGCCCATGTGGCCGCGGAGTTTGTGTTGGATGGTATCAACTAATGCGGCACTAGTCGTGGGCTATAGGCGAAGGGTAACCCTTGAAGGGGCGGGCTGATCGCGTGCAACAGGTGACAACTTGTCAAGCCTCACTAGTAACCAGCAGTACTGTAATGGCGATAGGTTCTTGGCCTCGGGTGATAAGCTATAGAGAATCTGACCAAAAAAAAACAGCAGCGCGCCTCTCGTATTTATATAAATAGGCTTTCATCCGGCTTGCTGGTTCCGGCGAGCTGTCAACTGGGCTGATGTGTGGTGTGGCCCTACCAACTAGTTATGTATGTTACTGGCTAGTTCCAGATTGAGTTGGCTGTCACGTAATTCGGCTCATTCCGGTGGATTGTACAAACCAACTAGGTAAGTTAGTTACCAGCTATTAAGCTACTGTTTGCCGTGCAAGGCTGGGGCTTGTCAAGTGTCATCCCGTCTTATTATTAGTCTTATTAGCATTAGCCCCGCCAACAGCCCTTTCTACCTGCGGCTGCAATATTCGTATAGCTGCTTGGGGCTGGGTCTATTGGATAGCCGCCCTGAAATAATACCCTTTTATACGGATGAGAAAAATGGAGATGCATTATTAGGTGGAGGCTTAGCTTTCTTTCTTTCTTTGGTTATTTTACTTGATAATGGCCGCCCTTCTCCAGATGAGACAGGTCTGGAATGCGGCGCATCGTTTTCGGGCGCGTCAATTGTTCGTGTAATTCGCCACGACAATGACGCGCAACTTTTCGCAAACGGCAGCCATATTATTATAACCACAACTCTTGGTGCCTTGGTTCCTCGTCTCGACCTTGACAATCATCAGCCCGGCCAGCCTTATCCTGTTCCTTGCGCCACCAAAGCCCTATGCTGGAGCACAGCTGAAAGCAGCTGGGTCTTGAAGCGCAGCCGGACTTTTAGTACCCCTTTGGTTCAAACCCATACTTTCGGCACCCGTCGCAATCGAGAGAGGAAAATTTCATCCCTTTTTTTTCCAACTTCCCACCCAATGCACACGACTCTTCATTGCATAGACAATGTATGAAAACAAAGGGACCGGCTTCCACGGCCGCGGTGGCAGCAGGGGCTACATGGCGACGTTGAAGAGGAAGCCTTTTTTGGTGCTGCTGGCGGCAGTCAGCCTGCTGTTCCTGTTGTACCAGCGGCAGCACTTCATCAACCCTCTGCCGGGGGGTGCCATGTATGGGAGAAAGGTCAGCGGACTGCTCGACGATATCAATAATAGCACACTTGGGGTGAGTATTTCCTGCTGTACTCGTTAACAACTTCCGCTAATCGCCATCTTTCTTTAGTTTGAGCGAATCTTTGTCATGGGATTGCCCGACCGCACAGACAGACGCGACCAGATGGTTCTACAGGCCGGCCTCAGCAACATCGCCATTGAGTTCATTGACAGCGTCCGCGGAGGCGACATCAACCCCAAGGCCATCCCAGCCGCAGCTGAGGAAGGCGAGAAACTCAGCCCGGGTGCATATGGCTGCTGGCGAGGACACATGAATGCGCTCCAAGAGTAAGCCGTCAACACATCCGAATCGAAAACTTGCCTGTCGTGTGCACCCCAAGCTTACACATGACCCCCCTGACAGGATCGTCCGACGCAACATTACCAGCGCCCTCGTCCTGGAGGATGACTCCGACTGGGACGTGCGCATCCGATCCCTCCTCATCGATACCGCGCTCGCCACGCGCGCCCTCACCCAGCCGCTGCAGGGCACCGGCCGCGGCACCCCGGCGCGCTACGCCGACCCCACGTACCCCGAGCCCTCCGGCTCCGTCGAGGCGCGCGAGTTCTCCATCGACGCCCTGCCCGCCACCGCCGAGCCGCGCGTGTCCCCCTACGGCGACGAGTGGGAGATGCTGTGGCTGGGCCACTGCGGCGTCAGCTGGCCCGTGCTCGCCAGCGACGACCTGCCCTTTGGCCGCGTATTCCGCTACAACGACACGAGCGTGCCCGGCTCCGGCCTGTACTCGCTGTCCAACCCGTACCTGCTCAAGGACGAGTACCCGAAGCACACGCGGGCCTTTCACCACGTCGAGGACGGCGTGTGCTCGCTCGGCTACGCGGTGACGCAAAAGGGCGCGCGGGGGCTGTTGCGGGAGCTGGCGCTGCGCGGCGTCAGCGACCCGCTCGACTTCCAGCTGCGGCACTACTGCAAGGGCATGAAGGGCCGCCGCAAGCACAAGTGCATCGCGGCGCAGCCGCCGCTGTTCAGCCACCACAGGGGCGTCGGCCTGGTCAGCGCGGGCAGCAACATCGACGAGCACGGCGAGGGCTACCGCAGCGAGGCTAAGACGGACATGGTCCGCTGGAGCGTGGCGCTCAACGCGGACAAGATCATGGATGGCAAGGAGGATTACCTGGACGGGTTCCCGGATGAGTAGAGAGGCGGCGTTCTTTTTTTTTTTCCGGAGTTGATGAAGAATGGGCAGTATTAATCTTAAAATCCAGAGCATTTCAATTTCATACAGTTTTCTTTGTCGGCTTACATAATACGGTTGCATGGCGCGGCCTTCTACTAACAACTTGGCTGGGCTGCAGTTTTTCTTTGGGGGCCGGCGCGCTTTCTCGCCTTTCCCTTGTGCTGTGCTGTGCCTTGTAACTCGCCAGGCAGAGGAAACAAGAGAACGTTGGTGCTAAAACATCTAGGCGCCATTTGTGCTTGACCTTTCCTTTTCCTTGCACTTCCTGCATCCTGCGGTACAACCCGGCCGCGCGACACCGAAACCAATTTACGAGGCGGACGAGAACGAGATTGGTAGGTAGGACGGCATTGGCGTACCGACCGCCTTTTATTTATTCTTTTACTATTTTTTTTTCTTGTGTCTCTCGCTCCAAGTTTTTTGGTACCCACGGGATCTCTCGTCTGGGCACTTCCTTATAAGCGACCTTCCCATCCTTCTTCATCTCCCCTGACCCTTTTTTTCTTCGACCCCATCAAACTTGCATCTTTGCGGACAAGGGTTTTTTCGACAGCAACAGCCCGCCAAGAAGAAAAAGACTTGTCACCCACACCCGTTCAGAGCGGCTTTTGGGTGTATTTCTTTTCTTTACCGGTCTATTCTACTAGACTTTATTCTGTCTCATTTTTGTTTCATTTTTGGCAACCTGCACTTGGGCCGCAACTGGACCATTAATACCTCTGCTGTAAGTTTATCCTCGTTTCCACTATTAACTTTTCGTCCTCTTTGACCGCGCCTAGTGCTCTCATCATCTCTACTTTCATCGCCTTTGGATTATTCACTTTGGCATTTGCTGTGTGATTGCTTTTGGACGGCCGTCAGAGGGCGCACAAGCACGTCACTGTGGCGTTGTTAGTGAAGCAAGGCAAAACAGAGGTAGCGCCCAATCACTGTCATCGTGAGGCACGATTCCCCTCATTTGCCTCTATCACGGAAAATTCGGCGCACGATTTTCTCTTGATTAATCCTTCTTCTGCTCTTTGGATACTCCCAAACAGGTCAAGCGATAGTGCTGAAAGAATTTGCGATTCAAACTGAGCCAAGCAAACGCGGCAGCTTCAGACGTCTTTGGACATATCCCCAAACTGTTTGCAAGAAGTCAAACCGCAAGGGACTTTGATCCATTCTATTCGCTTTCATCGTTCATTCACAGCTTGCACAGCCACAGCCATGACAAGCCTCAAGTCGGTGAAAGGTGGCTTACGCAGCTCCTTCCACAACATGGTGCGGCGGCTCCTGCGCAAACCGACGCCAGCTGGTGACGGGTCTGGTGGTTCCTCGCCAGCTGGCAGCCAACAGCTTGACGGCCCCTTCCAAACCCATCTCGGCACTCCTACAAACGCCGCTTCGTCTGAAAAGGACCTCCTCTCACCACCTTCACTTAACCACCTCACCAATCCTGCTCCTACTAGTAGCAACCACAACGACGACTGGTCTCAGTCTCTGAACGGCGACTTTTCAGATATTGTGAAGTCTCATGCTCACGACGACGAGGCTGCCATCCTGAGAAACGCGATATCTACTGCACACGATACCCAAGAAAACGACTATTTAACAGCAACCACACACGATTCTACCATGGCTCCCGCTCGGCCTTTGACAGAGCATACGCGCTCTACCCAAAGGGCGCCCTCAAATTCCTCGCAAATCCCACTCAGAGAGGAAAACAAAGAAAACGTACCCCCCGAGAAGCTCGCGGATTCGCTGACCACCCTCAAGATTGTCGACTCGCCTCAAAAGGGCGACGCAGTCAAGACGGTAGAGGCCTCGGCGGAACAGGAGCCCGCCCAAGAAATTGAGGAGCAGCCGGAAATCGACTATAGCTTTCTCAACGACCCCGTTATTGCCGCTGAACGCGCCCAGCATCTGCGATTTATCGGCGAGGCTCTGGATATGGTAAGCCATCCACCAAGCTTCACTCCCACAATCAGAGCAACATTAACATGCTAGGCCCGCCTCGCCCTTAAAATCAACGAAACCCCTGTCGGCTGCGTCTTGGTGCACGATGGCAAGGTCATTGCCAGAGGGATGAACGCCACCAATGTCACCCGCAACGGAACTCGCCACGCAGAGTACATGGCCCTCGCCGCCTTGTTTTCCTACCCGAACAAGGAAGGCCCTCGTACCGTCCGCCTCAAGCCCAAGCAGCTTACGGATAAGGAGGAGTTAGATAAAGCGGCTCGTCTTGCGGCGAGCGAGGAGGAAAAGGCAGCTCGGCAGGCGGCTGGCGAGGCAGATAGCCCGTCGGAGACGGAAATGCTCGACGCCATCTCAGAAACGCTGTCCACTGATGTGGCGCCCCACGAAGGCAACGAAGACGGCAAAAAGGGACACCTTTATCCCTATGGACAAAAGATGCTCGACGTCGAGCGCGTCGACCGGTCCATCGTCTCTGAGAGCGTGCTCTACGTCACTGTAGAGCCCTGCATTATGTGTGCCTCGCTTTTGCGTCAGTTGAAGATCAGGAAGGTCTACTTTGGCGCTGTCAATGACAAGTTTGGAGGCACCGGCGGCGTATTCAGCTTGCACGCCAACTCGCTGCCTGTTAGGGAGGACGGCCAGACGGCGAGCGCGCACCCCATTGCGAAACCCATCCAACTTCCTGATGGCACTGGGGGGAGCTTGGGTGTGTCATTTCCCCCCGGCGGCGGTGATGGAGGAAACGTCGATCCGGGATACGAGATTGAAGGTGGATGGGGCCGTGACGATGCCGTTGCCTTGCTGCGGCGGTTCTATGTACAGGAAAATGGACGAGGTAAGCTGATGCATGCCCTGGTATTAGTAGTCAGCATTGCTAACAGTCATAGCCCCTGTACCCCGGAAAAAAGAGGGCCGAGCAGCGCGTCTGGCTGCCATTATGGGACAGGACGGCGTTGATGGCGACGCCGATGATGAGACAGTCACCCCTAGTGAGGGTGCCGACACGAATGGCGCGGGCGAGGACGTCCGCAAACCAAGTAGCGAATCAAGCTTTGATGAGGCGCAACTGGACGGCGACGGGGACGATCTTTACGAGGCTTGATTGTTGTTGCTTGTGCTTGGTTTTGGTTTTGGCATGGCGAGGCACTGTAAAATACTGATTTCCTAGAGGAACCTACACAATGCTGTATATTCAATATTTAATGTTATACTTTTCGAGCGTCGGCAAATGGAGCAAGACGCGCTACTCTTGTGCAGGCTCTTTATTCGGGACAGCCGACTAAATGTATGGCATTCAGTCATACACCCGTCCAGTCTGAATGATCTGCGGTCGTGGCTTGCATGACAATGTAAGGCTGTGGCGTCGGGGGCGCTGCCAAGCGGCTGTTGCAGCATAATGAGGCTGATATGATTACCATACTACCACAATGCAGGGATCCTTTAGAGGTCGATGATCTCTTGATGCTTTAGATAAAATTGCGCGCTCTATGAGTGTTGTGCCTAGATGCTATCTAACCAGAATGGCAGCTCCAAGAGTACTCATGAGCCGTATGACCTGCCAAGACGCTCGGTCCCAAGCACCGAATCCACTCCGAATCCATTCCCAATCCCGAATGATTTACAGGTTCACGTCCAGCTTGCAGCCCGTCTCGCGTTCCATGGCGATGAAGGCGTCCCAGAAGGTCTTCTTGTACTGCTCGTAGCCGATCGGTCCGCGGCCGTAGCTGACGTCGCTGATGGCCTTGTCGCCGTCCACCCAGCACGCGGGGTTGGAAATGGTGACGAAAGATCCGTACTCTGTGAACGTGCTGTGTTAGTTCTGGCCGGGGGGGAGGGAAGCGGAGAGGGAGGAAGAAGGAAGGAAGGACGCACTCCAGTAAAAGTCGCACCAGCGGTCCTTGGTGTTGCCGTCGCCCCAGATGCGCACGCGGTAGCGCGAGTTGCCGTACTCGACCCAGTTGGAGTCCCACTGGCCGTGGATGGTGCAGTCGCGGGCTTGGACGTCGGAGGCGGGGGAGGAGGGGGAGGGCGCGGCGAGGGCGACGAGGGGGAGGGCGAGGATGGTGGGCAGGGAAAACTTCATGGTGGCGGTGGTGAGCTTTGGAAGATGGAGGTTGGTAGTTTGAAGGGAGTTCTAAGTTGTGTGGGAGATGATGGATGAGTGGCAGGATAAGGTGTTTATATAGTTGGATGTGTTGACGAGCTGACGATGTCGTCGTGTCAGACGCATCTCCGACTTGGGAGCGTAGACTCAGCTGGCATGCAGGACCCCGGAATAAACGAGGTGCCTGTCCAGGCTCGTTGAGTTTCTCTCAACGAGGCCGCGAGCCTCATCATCGAAACAAACCAAGACACAGACGCGGAGCCATACAGGATGCTCGACGCCGACATGCGTCAGGGACTGACCCCGGGAAGCACGACGAGCCAAGACAGATGGGCCCTGGCAGCGCGTGCAAGTGCCGTCCATACATGCCTGGATCGGGCAAGGCCCGCAGCCTGACTGGCTTGGGGTGAGACAGCGAGTATGAAAGGGCAAGGTAAACGAGGCTCTGCGAGGTGGTATTAGAGTTGAGGATAAGGCTGCATTGTGGGTATGGACCCTGACGGCCCTGGGGGGGTGGCGGCGATCGGGGCTTGACTGGGAAAAGTGCCGGGCTGGGCGTTTTTCAGCCCGGCAGAGTCCTCGTTCAAAGGTACAATATCACTGGTGAATGAAAGTTTGGAAAGCTGTCGGGTTGTGTTGGGGGATTATCGGGCTGTCGGGGACGAGGGAGGCTGGGTTGAGGACGAGACGGAAGAATGCTGGCATGGGCTTGTCATTAGTTACAACGCTGTACGGGCTGACAGCATAGGTCTTTACTTACGGGGAAGACAATTTTTTTTTAAAAAAAAAAAACAAAGGCGAGAAGCGGAAGATTAGAGTGTAAGCTCACACGCAACAAAGGCAGGCGCCGACAGAGACGCAAAAGATGCTGCATTATTTAATAGTGTCAGCGGTCACTATACAAGCAGGTTTCAATTTAATTTCAGGCACTCCATATCTTAGCAGACTCGTGCTTACCAACCTTTGCGAGATATAGTCAAGCCAGTTGTATTAAATGACATTGCAATATATTGCATCCATGGTGAATATTCTCATGTCAGGAGTGACAGTGTACAAACAGTGCAAACAAACGGTGCACACATCCATCCCGGTTGGCTCACCTGTGCCAACCTTTCTCCCCCTCCTCTCCTCCTCTTCGCTCAGAGCTGTCGCGCCACAAACCGCATCATGTAATACCTCTTGCCGCTCTCCAGCACGCTCGTCGGCACCAGCCTTTCCTCCCTCATCTCCACCTCCCAGGTCGTCCCCGTCGCCTCGCCAATCTCCCTCCACATCGCCCTGAACGACTCCGCGCCGTGCACGTACAAGTCCATCCCCAACCAGCTCTTCCTCTCGTACTCTTCACCGCCCACCTGTCCGCCCACCACCAGCCCCTTCCTACTCTTATCCAACAACCCGACCAAGCGCTTGCCGATGGCCACGCCCTGCGCGTGGTCAAATAGGTGAAAGAACAGCGAGGCGCTCACGATGCTACTTTTGCCCTGCAGCTGCCGCTCCAGCTCGTCCGCGGCAGGGTCGAGGATGTCGGCGGCAACGAACGTGGACGGCGGGAGGCGGTGGGCGTCGCGGAAGAGGAGGTGGCCGAGGGCGGCGAAGGACAGGTCCAGGTCGGTGGCGTGCAGGTTGGTGGCGGGCGCGCCGTCGAGGAGCAAGCGGCGGAGCTCCTGGCCGAAGCAGCAGCCGACCTCGAGGTAGTGCTCGCCGGAGGAGAGGCGACGGAGGATCTCGGGGTAGCAGGGCGTCTTGCTGATCTCGATGTCGAGGAACTTGACCATGCCGATGCACGGGTAGACGAACTACAGACGGGGGTCAGCAAGCTAGCCGTCGAGGGACGAGATGGGGGAGGGGGGGAGGGGGGGAGGAGTTGGTCTTACAATGGAAATCGCACGTTCTCGCTTTGGAAGGGATGGTTAGTAGCTTGCACCGGAAGAGAGGGCTTGCGGGGGGACGGGGAGCTCACAATGTCTTTGACGTGCTGCACCACGTCGCCCTGCGCGACGCCGCTGTACGTCTCGAGGATCTCGCGGGCCTCGGGGTTGACGTCGTCAAAGTCGACGTACCAGTCCTGCTTCTTGGCGTCTTCGATGATCTGGGGGTCCTGCGGCGGGCGCATCTGGAGGGCGTCCATCGTGTCGTCTGGGTGTAATACGTGTCTTTGTAGAGAGCCTCGCCGGTCTCTTGCCAAGCACGGAGGGCAGAGGAGTGAACGTGAAAGCTGATGAACCGAATGGTCGCATTCCATTTCCGCATCGGACCCTGCGCCGCCCCTTATATCCTCTCCTCCACCGTCCATCATCCCTGCTAGACACCGCCGTTTCGACCGGCCGGAACTTCGGAGTCGTATCAGTCAAATCTAGGCTGTGCCGAATTCCCACGGAGCCTCTCTCTGCGTGCGGAGAGGCTGGTCCGAGCGAGCAACACTGTCCCTGCTTCGTCACATTTTCACGGAGCAGGGTCGCATCGCGGTGACGCTACTCGACGCTATGCTGTTGTTGGCTTTGTTCCTCCGCGGCGGACGAGGACGCGGACGAGGTCGTTATCCGGGGGATAAAAATGGAGTTTCACCCTGCAAGCCCGCGGATCTAACAGATCTGCATCGTACAAGGCTGAGTGCAAGCCCGCGCAGCATTGTGTGCAGAAATGGGCTATGGCAGAGACGGGCCCGCGGAAGGCTGAGCTGAGATGTCCGGTCCCCACGGAGGAACCATGACTGACACGGACTTGGCACACGAGGAAAGCTGGAAAGTAAAAGATAATTACTGGGTATATTGTCATCATGAGGATAGTCTCCAGGACTTGAACTATAAACACTGCCGCCAGACCGCTATAAACATTTGGCCACACGACATAAACACCTGACCACCATTCACTTCACAACCGAACTCAACTTCTGCAACCTCACTCCACCATCTCTCTTAGTTCCACTTCGACGGACCAAAGGTGCCATTCAAAGTAAGCAGCGAAGACTGTGCACCCTCCAGGCCACGGCCGTCAATGGTGTTGCCGACAATGTCGGTTCCCCACCAGTGAATGTCCTTGGGGTGGTACTGCACGGCGAAGAAGATGATGATGCCGCAAAAGGCGACCGCGCCAGTCATGCCCGCGGAGAGCAGGTAGTTGTACTTCTCCCACCAGCCAGTCTTGTACCGTCTGAGATAGTACATGAAGGCCGCCGAGACGTACACTCCGCCGGTAAAGTACGACAGGTTGTTGGGCGCCCAGAAGAGGAAGCCGTTCATGATCAGCGAGGGGTGGATGTGCTTGAGGAGAGCCAGCGGCTTGAAGATGACCAGGTTGAGCGGCGTGTAGATGGCACCGGGGAGGGCGTTCTTGGCGGCGTTGCGGATGTGGCTGCCGAAGCGCTTGCCCGTCCACCAAAAGATGGCCAGTAGGAAGCCGAGCAGGAAGCAGTACTTGAGGGCTGGATAGATCTGCGAGAAGATACGAGCAGGTCCGATGGCACCCCAGACCACGGAGGCAGAGAAGTAGACTCGGGAGCCGTTGGCGCAGTTGAACTTGGACTCTTGGTTGGGGTCGCAGATGTGGGGGATCTGGGTATCGGCAAACTGAACAACGGCGTACGCGATGAAGCTGCACACAAAAGCGCTGAGAACCTGGCCGCGGTACATGGCGCGGGGAGGTAGCTTGGCGTAGAAGCCCATCTTCTGGTCCGAGATGTAGTTGTCGGCTTGACCGTTGATGTTGTAGCCAAATGCCTTGACGAACATGAGGGCTTCAGGGTGGCCAGGAAGGGCATATCCAACAATCAACTCAGTGACGACATTCAGTCCCTCGGTTGTACCGGAAATAGCGTACAAGTAGGACATGGGCACAAGGAAAACCAGGTTCAGGCCGATGACGAAGAAGATGGTCCAGACGGGCGTGTCAAGCTGGGGCCACTGGGTCAGGATGATGATGGAGAAGATGAAGGAGATGAGGGCAATGATCAGGAACCACCAATCAGGGACCTCGGGGTACTTGCGGACCAGGTTGGTCAGAGGGTTGTCAAATCCATCATAGATGGAGGTCTCGGTCTGGGAGATGCCGTAGATGTGGCGAGCGCTGTCGCCAACACGGCCGCGGGCCAGAGAGCCAACCGACTTGCCGATTCCGCTGAAGAAACTCGTAGTGACGCCAGCAATGGACGCGCACATCGACTTGGTGGCGCGCCAGAGAGGACGCCAGGCATCCAGAAAGATGAAGACGAACGTCAGAGGGTAGAAGGCGAAGAAGGCTCCGTAGAGAACCAGGTTTCCGGCGCTGTAGAAGGCAGGAGAGTACTCTTCATAGGCAGTCTGGTTAAGAGTGCCAGTTCCAGGGACGACGACGCGGGTAATGTTGTAGGGAGCACCAGTGTTGTCAAAGATGCCAGAGTCGTTGATTGGGAGGTATGCCGACCACCGGACGTTGCTCCAGTAGAGGCCGACAATGCAGAGACCTCCAATGATGGTGCCGATGTACTGCTGGATGGTGACGAAGAAGGGAAAGACCAGCGGCTGCGAGTAGACGGACATGTAGTTCCAGTCAAAGGTCGGGATCGGGTTGAAGCCGAGACCGGCCTGGGAGCCCGTGATGATGTTGAGGTTAAAGTGACGGGGCGCGATCCAGGTCATCCAGGCAAAGGTGCTGAGGGCCGGGAACAGATAGCCGGGGAGCCAGAAGTAGACAAACATGGCGGCGAAGACGATGAAGAAGAACTTGTAGCGGGAGATGGACCAGCCGTGGATGGTCTCGCGCTTCTCCGGGACCAGCAGGGCGCGATTGAGGGCGAGGGTGGGCAGGACGCTGGGCCAGATGGCCTCGACGGGATAGATGACGAAGCGGCGGAGGAGGCCGGAGAAGCCGAGGCCCATCATCTGGGTGGCGAGCAGCAGCAGGATGCTATACGCGGGCGTCAGCCACTTGTCGCCGTAGTAGACGGTCTGGGTCTGGATGTTCCAGAAGCAGTAGGCCGAGGTCGAGCCGACGTTGATCATGATGGTGGCCAGCATCTGCTCCTTGTAGGACCAGGCGCCCGGGTTGAGCGAGACGCGGGAGCCGCGCCAGGTGAAGCCCCAGTCGGGCAGGATGTATTGGAAGAGGATGCCGCATGGGTAGAGCAGGATCTGGGCGACGGCCGACGACAGGATGATCTGCGGGTAGCGCGAGTTGAAGAGGGAGTTTGTGAACTGCGAGATGACGGCCCAGCAGAGGCCGAGGAAGACGGCACGAGGGGTCTCGCAGGGCATATCCTCGTCGTCGGTCGGCGTGGTGATGGCCCGGACCTCGGGATACGGCGAGAAGAACTTATTGACGGCCGTCTCCGTTTTGAGCTCCGTCTCCCACTCCTCGGGCGTCTGGCCGTCCGCGGGACCGGCGATCAGCTGGGCGAAGTGGGTGCGCGTCGTCTCGCTGAAGTTGTAGTCGTACTTGTGGTATTCCAGCATGTCGGACAGGATCTGGCGACACTCCTCGACGCTGAGCACCTCGATCTTGGTCATGACCTGCTCGATGTCGTCCATGGGCGCCAGGCCGTCGGCGCCATCGCCGCGCTTCTCGGCAAGGTGGTGCACCTCGGCGTCGACGGCAGCATGATGGGCGGCGATCCCGGCCTTTTCATCCGCAGTGGTGAGAGTAGGAGGGCCGTCATTGACGGGGTCCTCGTGGGCGTAGGGCGTACGCTCAGACATTGTCAAGGATGTCCTTGCTCGGAAGTCTTCAATTCAAGGAAGAAGTCTTCAAGGAACCCGTCCGAGACAGGAAGATAGGAGATGAACAGGCACAAGGGAATAGGTCAGGATGAGAAGTGTGTCGGGGGATGGGGGATTATGGATTATTATACCAGCAGACACATTCCGGGGATAATAATAGTTGATGCTACCTACTCCCACCATCTGTGCCTTTCCATACTCGATACAAACCCCCCCATCTCCGTGCCGGTGCCATCCAGCTGACGGAAGGCGCAACATGCCGACTGGAGATCTTTTGGCAGGAGGCTTGGGGACTTGGACGTTGGGGAGGGG